CAATCTTAGCGCACGATATATATCAGATAAATGGTTGCCAACTTGCCAGAAGTTGTAGAATTATATATATAAACAACGCCAAGTTTGATAAGCTAGGCATGAAATATATATACATATATATATATATATATTGAGATAGATATATATATGTTCACACCTCAATACGCTAAGTTTATACTTCTGCGTAAAATATTTTTTTTTCTACCATGCATTAATTGGAGGTCCCATATATTCTCCTTATAATTGGAGGAACGTATTAGCATCAATGCATGCAAAACTAAATCTTTCTTGTCTCCCATTGCTCCTCCTTGTGGACAAGCAGAATAGAAAAAGCCGGAAGAGCAATGGGAAACAAGAAACAATATAAATTTCCACTTTCACGACACAAACAAGAAACAAATTTTGTCGTGTAAGACATGTAAAAAAAGAAAAAGAAAAAAGAAGAAAGGTATCGTTGGAAAGAACATTAGAAATAAAGTCGGTATCATTAGATTTATGATCGATTGATGTTCTTGTAAAGGCCACGATTTTGCCATCTAAGTGTCCATCCAAAAATGATTTTGGCCACGGTCTCTTTCTATCTCTCTCTTCCCTTTTGTAATTTACTAATTGAGAGAAATATATATAGGTGAAAGAAACGTGTGGGAAATGGAAAGAGTGATGGCATAGATCACTACGGAGGACTTTCAGATTTCGTGAGGTATAAATAAAGGACAAAAAACGAAAACAAGTCATAAAAGTCATTGAAAGGACAGCAAATCTTTCAGATTTTGGATTCAACTTTTAGTGGGTTAATCTTTTCCTAAACCCTTTTGTATAAAAAAATATAAAAAGGGTTTAGGAAAAGATTAACCCACTAAAAGTCGAATCCAAAATCTGAAAGATTTGCTCCCCTTTCAATGACTTTTATGACTTGTTTTCATTTTTTTTCCTTTTGTATGTTATTGTAAAAATTGAAAAAATAAGGACTAACATGTCTTAAGGGTGTAACCACAAGGTACTAAACTGTAATTAACCCTTTTTTTTAAAATCAAGATTGTAATTTTTTTTAATCTTTATGTTGGATTGTTAGTTAATGGTAATGTTTTTGCATTACCCTCAATATTGACAGCTAGAGACGTCTATTGGAGAAACTTCCTACTTGCTTTTTTGGGTTGTATTATACAACCATTAAAGTAGTTGAAGCTCATGATGCCATGAAACCAGAAGTTCATTGACCCAAATTATGTTAAGGTAGTCTTGGAAATCCATGGTCCACAATGATGCATAAGATTTGTATAAATTTGTAAGGACATCGTTTAAAGACTCAAAATATCGTTTTATCCAATGAATATCATTGCAAACCATGCTCACAAAGGAAAGCTGTCATAAGACCATCTCAATCAAAAATTGACTTTGAGCCCTTTATTCTTAAATAATTCGAGATATTTGTGAGCCTATAAAAGATTTATTTATGGACCACTTCCCCAATTTTACTGGATGCGCATAACAAATGGTCACATATTTGTCTCTTGTCATGGAAATTCCGAGCACAACTCCCATATTATCCAAGTAAGTCAATTTGACTCAATAATGGTGGTGAGTTTATTTTCCCAAATTTTGATGACTATTGTTGTGAAAATTTTCTCTCCGTCAGGGGGAGAAATGATAGTTCCTAAGGAATGTCGTGAATTAGCGTTGAATACAACTGCTTTTGTCTCATCAAGATAATGCATATGTATAACTTGATTAAAAAGAATATCCCTTGACTAAAAAGAACGTCTTATTTTGTTAGGAGCACACATCCAAACTTGACTTCACATGATCAATAAGCGTCACATATCCAACCTTGATTTGACATGATCAATAGTAACTGCCATTCTTTAAAAGACGGGAACTAAATTGTAACATGGCCCAAACAGGAGTGCAAAATGCACCCAGAAAATAAAATTAATGTACAAGACAGTTAAAGTTTCTTTCTTATTTCTCTACAAAAATGAACTTAAAGGTTCGATTTCTATAATTCCGTATTGATCGGATTAACTCTAATACAAGCCGACATAATCCTAACCCAAAAATATTAGAGAAAATATGAACTAGTAAAGTTTCAGTTAGATTTCATACCTTGGATCTGATGTATCAATCCACAAGAGCCATGTTCACCGAGTGGTTGTGGAAAACTACAAAGTGAAGAGGATCTCAGTGGCTACGCTTCATGGACCTTCATTGGATGCATTTGTGAGCCCGGAACCAGAGTTTGTGGATGACTCTCTCACCCACCTGCATATCGTGGAAAAAGACCTACAAGCAATGGCTCCGATGAGATCGATGTCCAATCTAGCATCGAACAAATTCGTCTTTAAACTTGATCTGCAGACAGTTTAAATTGTGGGGTGTCAATAAACTTGAACAAGATACAAGTAATTTGTTCAAAATTTGTAGTTATAGAAACTGCGCAGTAAGCATATGTCATGTGGTTCAAAATGTTACTTTCAGTTGTCTGAATAAATTTGTATTTCCTAATAGATATTATGACACTGATTATCTTTTTCTCAGTTTGATTAACATTGACGAAAATATGTTGGAGATATGTGTAATTAGTCACTGCATAAATTATGCTGTCATAATATGCTCTAAACTAGGCCGTGTCCTGGTTCACAATAAAAAGACGCTTAAAATTCAATTTCATCCATATCTCACTTGTCATCCTTAACCATGTCATAGAAAAAACAATTTCTAAGATGTCAAAACTGTTCTAACACAACTCAATAATTTCATAGGAAACCTTGTCACTCAATTTACATGCTACAATCGCTTCTTCAACTGCCCAATAAGGGAAAGTACTGAAGTCCTAATTGTAGAGGGATTGGTCTACTAACCTAATTAGGAAGTATTCCGACTCAAAAAAGAAAAACTAATTAGGAAGTAAAGCTCCTAAATTATCTCATTCTAAGACTCCTAATCAAATTGACGGATAAATATTACCAATGCCCAACTTGGTTTCATTTAGATATAGAAGTCATCTATAGTTTATTATCATCTATTTATCTTGCATTCGCACAGCATGAGCTGAGCCACCTCCTGCTATCGATTCATTTCTTATATATAGCTGGCAGCCTTATCGATTCATCCTTAGACTAAGTACAAATATATAGGAATAGATGGTCATTCTTATCAAGCAAGAGAAGTAATTGAGAGTTACAAAATAGAGTTGGTATGCGTGAATGGCAGTAGCTTTATAAGAGAGAGAGAGAGAGAGAGAGAGAGAGAGAGAGAGAGAGAGTACTCAAATTATTATGTTAATAAAGTAGGCCCTATTGTTCCCCAAGTTTTGGACTCAATCCGATATCGATTGGTCCATGAAATCGGACTATTCAGGTTCGTAGGAAGTTCGTTCTGAAATGGAGTGGTTGGTGTATTGCATAGTTTTAGCCATTGGATTTCACTCAAACCAACCAAATGACTCCTCCCACCATATTATGTTGTTCCCCAAGTTTTGGACTCAATCCGATATCGATTGGTCCATTAAATCGGACTATTCAGGTTCGTAGGAAGTTCGTTCTGAAATGGAGTGGTTGGTGTATTGCATAGTTTTAGCCATTGGATTTCACTCCAAACCAACCAAATGACTCCTCCCACCATATTATGTTGTTCCCCAAGTTTTGGACTCAATCCGATATCGATTGGTCCATGAAATCGGACTATTCAGGTTCGTTGGAAGTTCGTTCTGAAATGGAGTGGTTGGTGTATTGCATAGTTTTAGCCATTGGATTTCACTCCAAACCAACCAAATGACTCCTCCCACCATATTATGTTGTTCCCCAAGTTTTGGACTCAATCCGATATCGATTGGTCCATGAAATCGGACTATTCAGGTTCGTAGGAAGTTCGTTCTGAAATGGAGTGGTTGGTGTATTGCATAGTTTTAGCCATTGGATTTCACTCCAAACCAACCAAATGACTCCTCCCACCATATTATGTTGTTCCCCAAGTTTTGGACTCAATCCGATATCGATTGGTCCATAAAATCGGACTATTCAGGTTCGTAGGATGTAGAAATTGTACGTTTGTATATGGACCCGAATAGAACTACTAGTGAACAGTTGAAATGGAAGAAAAATAATTTGCGTGCACTGTAACAAGAAAGCTATAGCCAATCAATTGATTGATCATCATCTGTGTGGTTGGCTTTTTGTGAAGGCTACGTTTTTGCCACCTCAGTGTCAAAAACTTGTGGATATGAAAAGAGTGATAGCATAGATCACTATACATGACATGGAGGACTTTTAGATTTGTGAGGTATAAATAAAGGAAAATAACACAAACAAGTCATAAAAGTCATTGAAAGGGCAGCGGTCTTTCAGATTTTGGATTGGACTTTTAGTGGGTTAATCTTTTCCTAAATGCAGCCAATTTTTTCCTAAACCCTATATATATATATATATATATATATATATAAAGGACTAATTACAATTTTGGTCATTGGATTTAGTGTTGATTTCAATTTTAGTCACTGTACTTTCAATTTTTCGATTTTGGTCATCACACTTTGCATCGTCAGCAAATCAAGTCCAATTAAGTATTTCGTCAATCAAGACGCATGTAGTGCGTGTGTGTATTATTGCCCTTTCACATCAGCTCAGCTCTCTCTCTCAGCAAAGGCCTTGCTAGATCTCCATCTGTGCTGCAAAGGATCAAATCCATCCACCTCTACAACTTCAGATCCCCAAAGCCACACACCAACACCTTTGAGAAAAACCCAAATCACATGAAATTATTCCGTTTCCGGTCATTGCCTTGTGACGATAAAGTGACATGTGTCGTCGAATGTCCGATCACCATACTAATTTCTCCATACTACATAAATTGAAATAACTTTATTATCAAAACAATAAACCTTATTCATAAGTATTAGCACTGCAACAGAAAGTTATTTATGAGCAATTCTATTGAATTACTTCCACACATTATTATTTTAATGGTTTAGCACATAACAACTCCTTGCCAGCATGAACTCTAGTTCATAGCCGAAGTTGTGCCATGCATGATTTTCCATCGATCTCATGGTAACCATTGGCTTCCAAGGAGTCCTTGTAGATCATCCCTCGGTATGCTGGTGGGTGAGACTCGCCCACAAACTCTGGAGCTGGTTTCACAAATGTGTCAAGTGATGGTCCATGGACTGTGGCCACAGAGATTCTTCTCACCTCGTTGTTCAGGATCACACGATGCATAGGACTCTTGTACTTCCCATTTGTTAAAACCTATTATATATAATACAAGCAATGAATTAAAAACAAGTAATACACATTGGGAAACTTTTATATTAGGCAAATCTACTTCTCTTATTTGCTTGACTTTGTTCTTAGTTTTGGACTTTAAATTCTATAATCAAGTCTTACACAAAATGAACTTTGATTTCAACCTCGTGATTCAGATTGAAAGTCAAACAATTCCAAAACAAAATATATACTTTTCTTGCATCGTGGACTCATGGATCTCATTTGGGAGATATTTTCGAGTGATGAGTCCACCTTAATTTCTTACAGGGATGTGAACGTAGAACTCATAAGTTCACATCTCTTGTAGGCCAACTCATTCATGAGTTCAACCTTTGTGAAAAATATGATTAATAATAAGATCAATAAATATGATACATGTAATGTGCTCATTTTGGAGATATCTTCGGGTGACAAGTCCATATTAATTTCTTATAGATTTCTTGTAGGTCGGACTCATTCATGAGTTTGACCTTTGTGAAAAATATGATTAATGGTGATGGGATGAATAAATTTGATTCATATTCGCACTTATTTATCTTATGTCGAAAATAAATTAAGGACTTCAAATATTCAATATGCATGTACCTCAGCATGATCCCCAATCTTAATGAAAAAGACATTGGAAGGCATATCAAGATTGATCCACTTTTGTTTATAGTTTAGTTGGAGACCACCGTTGACGTTTTGTATGAGGGAACCAAAGTAGCCAGGGTCGTAATGAGCCGGCAAACCGATTTGAGTGTTGGGTTTAAACCCGGGCGGATACACGTTCATAGTAGAAACATCAGCCCCAGTTTCTAACTCAAATTCCTTCTCTAAGTAATTTTCTTCAAATCCCAATGTTTTCGATACTGCTTTAGCCAAATTAATTATCACCTCTCGATTCCTTTGGTAATAATCTTCCAAGGCCTCCCTGTAAGTAACATATATATATAGTCGGACATAAATTAAGCTTAATCTTAGGCCATTTAATAAAGACAAAGTAGGGGATGAAAAAGTCGAGTTAGACCAATTATTAGGATCCGTACTTGTGCTTAAGGGTAAGCATCAATCTGGCTGAAATGACTAAACTGACTTATCCGAATCGTAATGACAGCTTTGATTTGGTTTTGATAATAGAAAAAGTCAAACAAAAACCGAATCGTAATGGTTTGGTGCAGTCGCGGTTTTAATTTTTAGAAACCGAACCAATCACATGTATATTTTACTGTTAAATCCAAACCACGGTTATTTTTAAACTCAAAACTATGTTTAAAAAAAAATACAAATATAACCACAATATAACTTTAAAAGATACAAATATACAATCCAAATCCTTATGTGTGAGATGCTTCTCCCCATAAGTGATTCTGGTCATCCCATAATCAAGGACAGTTCCTTAAACATGCTAACCTGGGCTATAGCAAAGAGATCCTTTCTTTTTTTTTTTTTTTTTTTTTTTTTTTTTAAGAAAAAAAACCCTAATCCTAGGCCACTCAAATAAAACCTTATTAACTAATCCCACTAGATTGACGAACAAAAATAAAACCTAACCCCCCACACAACTCATGAAATATTAGACTCCCACTAGGCTGACCGCACGACTAGGCTAACCACATAAAATTCTTCTTCTTTTTTTTCTTACCTACCTAACTACCCGCCTACTTTCTTTTGATTTTTTTTTCTTAATGTTGAAATTTTGGGAAATTATTTAGGGTTTATGAATTATGAATTAATGATTTACAATTGAGGTTTATCAATTAGGAATTTTGATCAATTGATTAGTTATTGACATGTTGATTGAAGATGTGATAAAGGCCTAATTTCTTATTTATAATTGATGATGTTTTTATGTGTCCCCCCCCCAACCAACATGTATTTTTTTTGTTATCAATAAAATTCACTCGTACCGTTGAGTTTTCTATAAGTTTGTACGTAAGGTAAATTAAGCCCATACCATTTTGAAATCATGGGTCCGTCCATGCCTATAATCACTCCCCATCACTCCCAAACAAGCCCTTAAAACTCTTATTTTGGTTTTGGTGGTCTTATTTGAAATAGGAAAAAGGCGCACAACACCATTACAAACAAACAAACAGAAATCCTTATCATAGTTCTGGATACGTCATCAGAAAATATTGAACCAACATTGTTACGATCTCCTATGGACCTTTGTTTTTATTGTATTTCCCAACCCTCCTCATGTCACTGAGAAGTACGGCTAGCTTCCATAGGGACCATAGTATATTTTTTTGTGAAAAATAATTTCATTCATGTAACTAAGGTAGCATACATAGACAGTAACACGAAACAATGGCCTCGTTAAAACTTTCCTGAAGGACAAACCTCAGGGTAGGAAAGAGTACCACACATATTATAGACTAACAAGAGAGTTTGAATCATAATACATGACAAGTATATATATATTTTTGAATGGAATTACCATCCAATTATTCTTAAATATAAGCAGCTATTAATTTGAAGTTTCAGAGTCGAATCTGATTCAAGTTTGCTCTCGCTTCAATTACATGGTGGTCATTGGATTCCAAGTATGCTTTGTAAGTCATTTGACGATAAGAGGGTGGGTTGTGGTCGTCCACAAACTCTGGTTCAGGCTTCACAGTTACGTCCAACGATGGCCCAAAAAAGAAGGGTAAACTCATCCTTTCCACTTCGCTGTTTAAGGCCACCCGATGCAACAAGCTCTTGTATTTTCCATTGGTAAGAATCTGCCATGCATCATGTGTATAACCCAAAAAGTTCTCAGACCAATTAACTGAGGAGAAAATATATCACAAACGTTTTAATAAATAAAACTAATATATAGTAGCTATGGTTAAGGCAATAATGGTAGTGATATTACAGATCGTACACATCTCATGTGTCGAGAACATTTTTTCTTATGAATTGGGACGGGGCAATTCGAACTTGTAACCTATTCGAACATTTTTTCTTATGAAGGCTTCATGTGTTGGGCCCAATAGCCACACGTGCTCCCAAACCACCAAATATGTGTTGTCCACGTGTTAGGCTTGAAAGTTTGCCACACGTGCGGGGGCATGTTGAGAGTATTTGTCCCACATTGAAAATTTAAGGGACTTAGCCTGGGTTTATAAGGAGTTGGGCTACTCCCCCAATTGCCAATTGGTTTTGGGGTGGAACCTCAACTTCCTTCAAGTTGATCATGTGTTGAGTTGAGAATATAAAACCCACAAAGTTGAATATTTAAAACTGTACATTATAATATAAAAATATGATTAGCCTCTCAAAACTCAAAGCCAATTGACTTAGATACCCTAATCTTAACATGGGGGAAGTACATACGTGGGGGAGCTAATTGATCTATGTGTTTAGCCTAATCCAATCATACGTTATTAGTTTTCATGGGGAGTAATTAAAAATTTGAGAATCTTAAACGCACCTCTATATGGTCGGCAACAATGACAAAAATGGAACTAGGAGGAAAATCTGCATTGAGCCACTTCTTCTGATGTTCTATCTGAAGCCCCCCACCGACGTTTTGTGCAAGGAGGACAAGCAAACCAGGGTCTCGATGAGGGAATTGGCCAATCTGATTCTTATCATCCGAGGACTGCGACAGTGCTGGATAGTAATTTGGTCCAAAAACATTGTAGCCCGATTCCAGCTTCATTTTGTTTTCTATGTAGCATTCTTCAAGCCCTAGAGATTTTGAAATCCCTCTAAGTAATTGCATTCCCATCTCTCGCATTCTCTCACAATACTCTGTTAAAACCCTGCCAACATTATAACAAGTAAGAAAATACGTGTGTGTGTGGCTTCTTTGTGTGAAAGGGAATGAATGCATGCGTTTGATACAAGCAGGTTTACACGGAATCGGCAGGCTCTGTTGGCCAATGGAAGGTGGGATGTGCCCTCATGTGGAGAAGCTCTCTTTGGGTTCTGCCGCCCCACCTGAATCTGATCCTATCCGTTGGATCATTCGTATCATACCTTCGCTTCTCCTCATCACTTTGATTAAAAAATTTGGAAAGCCAATTCATAACACTCCCAATCAGGCTATCTGGGATCCCATGATTTGTCACCTACAAAATCATCAAGGTGACTCAAACATCAGAAAGAGATATTAAACATTCCAAATGGTTAATCAGACTCATTCTTCCAATGCAATATATATTCATTTTTATCAAGAAACACCTAGGGCTTTTTAGCTAAATGGCGTCTGCATGGTAATAATGTGCGGACGTCCGAATGAGAAGAATTGCTATACAAATTTTCCCCTATGCAAAAAATAACAACCATTAATTGAGTGGTTTCTGTTAAATGGTTTCTTATTCAAGTGATTTTTTTTCAAAAATAATATTTGAGAGACCACCTAAAAAATAGATAGTTCGAACATTAAAATACAATGTGAAGTGGGCTTTACAAAGGTGTCCCTCGTATTTGAGGGATTCATTAATTGAAGATCTCTGTATACATTTCCATTATATTGAGGGATCACTCAAATAATTTTATTTGAGCAATACCATAAAGAGTCCAATATGAATTTTGCACCAATTATTTATCAAATGGTCTCTTTTGAAGTCATCATTCAAAGGTCATTCTTGCAATAATAATAATAATAAATAAATAAATAAATAATGGATAAAATAAAATCATTAAGACTTCTATTTGTGACTAGCAAAAAAAGGACCAACATGGTGTTTTAATAAAACACTAACATAATAACAATTTAATTAAATAATTAAATGACTTTGGATTGAAGTGAAATTTTTTAGATGTAATATTTGGTGGAATACCTAAAATATAAAAGGTTCCAATAGTTGAAGTAAAATGTGGAGTAGGCACTAAAAGGGTGCCCCACAAATACTTATTCTAGATATTCGTCAATTGAAGCTCCTATATATTAGTCATATTCTATTGAGAGATCCCTAAAAAAAAATTTATTTGAGGGATACGTTGTGTGGTCCGCTACGAATTTTACTTCAACAATATCAAACCGTCTATTTTTTAAGTCATCATTCAATGATCATCCTTGCAAAAAAATTCAGGTAAATTGAAAATCATTAAGACATCTAGTTTTGACCAAAAAAATAGATGAACATGGTGTTTCAAGAAATAGACAGTTCGGATCATTGAAATATAACGCATAATGTGCGCTACAAAGTGTCCCTTAATATACTTATTTGAGAGATCCTCCAATTGAAGATCTGTGTGTGTGTGTGCACATATACATATAGTTTGTGTACGTAATAAGTGTATATAAACTGAGGTATCATGTTATCAGTTAACATGGTCTAAAACGTGTTTAGTTGGCAATTTAAGTGGAGTGAAAATAGAGACAAATGGAAGGAGGAAGAAGTGGATACTGCGAAGAAGCCGTAGTTGAGGCAAGCTTGATTGAGGTCATTGATAGCTTGAGACCTTTTGAGACAATCATTGGAGATGAGCATAGAGTAGTCAATGATTGGATTTGGAACATGACATGATTCATGGTCACGTCCTGAAATGCAGTTTATGCTGCCGTTGGTACTTGAAACACTTTTTGAGGACTTAAAACAAGGGTTTTCACTTTGAGTAAGCTGTAGTGGAGTTGCTTGAGTTCCAGACATGGTGTGCGTAGTGAGAAAAAGAGCGAGGATTCAATGAAAGGGGCTAGCTGAGACTAAATGAGACTGAGAGCATGCAAAAACCAGAATCCCCAAGTGACCATATTTATAGCAAAAAGAAAAAAAAGAAAAAAAAAGGGGTAAAATAATTACTGGACCACTTTTTTTCCGGGACCACATAAAACGTGTGAATGCAAACTAGAACAACTTAGGCATAAGATGCAAATTTCAAATTAGGGTTAGCTATGCGTTCATAAAAATACTTGAATTAAAACATAATTCACACTTTAATTATGGAAATGCTTGAACTAAAACATGATTCACACCTTAATTATGGGAACTAACTATAACCAAAATGTAAAGAAGAATAAATAAAGAAATATTTTACATAGCCTTCAAACAGAAACCTTCAAAGCGAGTGGAAACCATTACTTCATAATTAACTATATAATATGGGGCCAATCAATGAGTATAGAACTATTAGTGAACAGTTGAATTGGAAGAAAAATAATATGCATTCACTGTAACAAGAAAGCAATGGCCAATCAATGAGAGCCTACATTTATTTGATTGCAGCAGTTAGCACGTCGTTCAACGAATGACACAGAAAGAGTCTTGTGGACACGCAGAATGGAAAAAGCTTGAACCGACGAGGGTTACAAGTTTCCACTTTCATGACAAAAACAAGAAACCGTCGTGCAAGACGTTTAAAAAAGGAAAAAGAAAAAAGAAGGGCATCGTTGAAAAGAACATTAGAAATAGAGTCGGTATCATTAAATTGGAGTGGGGAATTAACCATTGGAGTGGGGAAATAACCACTCTAAATTTATGATCAATTAATTGATCATAATGTGTGTGGTTGGCTTTATAGATGTTTTTGTAAGAGCATCTCAAAGGGAGATGTCAAATATCAAACATCAAATTTAAATTTGATGGCTGATGTGGCAATTTAACATTTACACAGTTTTACACTCCACTCGATATGTCAAATAAATAATTATTGTAACAGTCAAATCATTTAAGATAAAGAAGAAAAAAATAAAAATAAATAAATGAAAGTAACAGCCAACTATCTTTTAAAAATAATAAAATATTCATTTGACATCTTGCTTTTGGAATATCAAAAATAACATCTCAACCTCCAGCCTTCATTCCACATCAGCTTTGGCACATCGGTTCGAGTGATGTGAGATGTTATTTCTAGCCGTTAATTGTCTATGTGGCACTTTTGACATATCAGTTGGAGATGCTCTAAAGGCTACGTTTTTGCCACCTCAATGTCAAAAACCTGTGGATATGAAAAGAGTGAGCATAGATCACTATATATGGAGGACTTTAAGATTTTGTGATGTATAAATAAAGGAAAAAAAACACAAACAAGTAATAAAAGTCATTGAAAGGGCAGCATATCTTTCAGATTTCGGATTGGACTTTTAGTGGGTTAATCTTTTCCTAAATGCAGCCATGCAATTTTTTCCTTAAATTCATCTAAATGATGAAATTTAAAAATACAAAGGAATTTATAAATGACGGAAATTAATGTTCTAGATTTTGTAAAGTTTCTTGTTTGGGTGACAGGTTTAAAATACGGAATTTAACCTTTATTTGTAAAGCTATCTTTTTTAAAAACTAAATCTCTCTTACAATTTTAGAAATAACGACTCTTAGATAGAATTTAAAGTTGGGATTTATGACTTCCAAATTCCATTTTTTTCCATGCAGAATTTCTAAATTTCTATGTTTTTTATTTATCCAAATATGAGAATTGGTTCACGTCAATTTAGAAATTTTGACTTTTGTCAAAATCAAAAGTTTATTTCTCTCATCCAAATGATGAAATTGGTTTATGCAAATAACCTAAAATAGATTATATCAATTTAGAGTAAATTATGGGTGGTGATTTTCCCACTCCTTTTTTGTCCACTTATACTTCCTTTTTTAAAAAAAATAATTTTTACTATAACATACAATTTCCAACCAGGGAGTGTAAGTGGACAAAAGAGGAGTGAGAACATACAATTTCCAACAAATGGAGTGTAAGCAGACAAAAGAGGAGTGGGAAAATCAGCTCCCTAAATTATAGGTTGGGTTAAAAAACAATGGAACTAGTTGATATATTTGACCTTCTTTAGCTGTTTCTTAAATATTGTGTAAGTACAACAACATTCTTCAGTACCCAAAGAACAAAAATTAGTATAATCAGTGCAAACGTCATCAACTTGACTCAAGCTTAATACAATATGCCTCGTAAAAACTAATCCTTTAGTAACATTCTAGTAGCAACTAACTAAAACAAAATAAATAATAGGATTAATGTGACCACTGAGCATGATAGTTCGAATATCCCTTCTTCTATTGATTAAAAAAATTATCTTATTTTGTTAGGAGCAGTCATCCAAACTTGACTTCACATTATCAATAAGCATCACACATCCAACCTTGATTTCACACATGACCGATCAATGGTAACTGCCATTCTTGAAACTGTACATTTAAAAGACGGGAACTAATTTGTAACATGTCCCAAACAGGAGTGCAAAATGTAACCAGAAAATAAAATTAATGTACAAGACAATTTAGAGAAAGAATGAGATTACATTAGGCCATGCTACCCCTTAGGACTTTTGAAACATGTATATCTCAATCCAAGTGCAATCTTGATTGAGAGTGTAACAACTTAAAATTTAATTCAAAATTGTAAAGAATAATAGTCTCTGACTTGGTTGATAGGGAGGATTAGATTAGACTGGACTAGATTAGCAAAATGTCTATATTTCATGTGAATTGAAGGCATAATATGGATATGTTGTCTAACTTGGAGAAATAATGAGGACTATCTATACGATGTTGATGACTAAAACTTGTCCTCCTAATCCCATTGAAAATGGTGGGATTTTGAGGGATAAGTTTTCACTATCAACCTCTTATGAATAGTCCTCCTTCATCCTCAATGTTAGACAACAATATTCATATTATAGCTACTTTGCTAGTCTTGTCTAGTCTAATCTAATCCTCCATAATAAATAAGGCTCACATGTTGTGTTATCACATTATTAATGAATAGCATACATTCATATATGGCTATGCTTGATCAATGGTTTTAATTGACAATCTCAGCGCGCGATATATATCAGATAAATGGTTGCCAACTTGCCAGAAGTTGTAGAATTATATATATAAACAACGCCAAGTTTGATAAGCTAGGCATGAAATATATATATATATATATATATATTGAGATAGATATATGTTCACAACTCAATCAGGGGTGGCCCTGAGGGTGTGCAAGTGGTGCCACCGCACATGGCCCCTGATTTTTGAGGGGCCCCGATTTTTTTTATGTGTATAATATATGTTTAACAAATGTTATATATATACTGAGTGAGCAAATTGTTTACACAAAGACGTTCTTAGTTGTGTTGGTTTGCAGGGCCTCAACTTTTATTCAAGGCGCGACTTCAAAACCCGCTTGTGTTAAAGGTTTGTCCGATGTCAACACCAACATTCAATATCCCATCTACTTTCACAACCACAAACTGAAGTAATAAATACCCCAAACCCTATGCTCAGATATTCAATTTTGCAAAAAATAATGCATCCAACTAACTCAACCATAATTAATATTGCATCGAATTAATGATGTTCCTAGAATATTTATGCATCCAACTAACTCAACCATAATTGCATCGAATTAATGATGTTCCTAGAATATTTATGCATCCATCCAACTAACTCAACCAAAATAATTGCATCGAATTAATGATGTTCCTAGAATATTTATGCATCCAACTAACTCAACCATAATTGCATCGAATTAATGTTCCTAGAATATTTATGCATCCAACTAACTCAACCAAAATAATTGCATCGAATTAATGATGATATTGATACAAAATAAATTAGGTGTTAAAAAAATTTAATATCTAAATTAGGTGTTAGCTTATGTGAGGCCCCGATTTAAGGATCGCACAGGGCCTTCAAAATCTCAAGACTGGCCCTGACCTCAATACGCTAAGTTTATACTTCTGCGTAAAATATATTTTTTTTCTAGCATGCATTAATTGGAGGTCCCATATATTCTCCTTATAAATTGGATCAATGCATGCAAAACTAAATCTTTCTTGCACTACTACAAAAAGTGAAAAAGACGACCAGAAAAACACGACGGTCTAAGTGAAAACCGTCGTCGTTTTTTAAAAGACGACGGTTTTATAAAACCGCCGTGTAATAACACATTAGACAACTAAAAATGGAGTTTCAAATGGCTGTTCCTAAAACACGACGTACTTAATTAAAAAACCGACGTCTTATTGAAATAGGATTTTCAAGTGGTAAAATCATAGCCAACAAATAACGGCGGAAGTTATGAACCGACCGACGTAGAAAGTAAAGACGACGATTTCAAAAAAAGCCGTCGTTTTTACCCAGAAATTAACACGACCAAGTTTTCGTATAAGGCGCCGTATAATTACAAATAAATCCACGGCGGTAAAACATAAAATACCGCCGTATTAAATTAATGTACAACTACGGCAAAGGTAAATATAACGACGTCTTTCTCGTATTTCTACGACGATATCTTTAAATCTTACCAAGTTGGGGTTTTCATTTAACGACGTATTATACAATTTAACGTCGTATTTGTCCACTTTATACGTCATACATTATATTTAAACCGTCGTCTGAATAAAAAAATTTTTTAACAATTTATTTCTTGGATTTTGTTATCCTACGTCGGTAGATCTACTTAATGACAAGAATTGAAATAACCACGACGGTTTATATAGAAAACCGCCGACATAATCAGATTATTCTGAGATCACAAGGGTTAGGAAATCTTACAAGATGGAACTCTGTTGCTCATCATAATCTTACCAGAAAGACAATATTTTAGAGGTTAATGATGTATGTGTATTTGTGTCTTTGAGATACACAAACGCACATATACATTAACATCCAAAAAATTGCTTCTAAAATTTGACGACGGCAGCCTCAGATTTGCAATCAGAGAGACAATTTTTTGGAAGTGAATGATGTGTGTGCGTTTGTGTATCTACACAAACGCACACACACATCCACATCCAAACAATTGCCTCCTAAAACTTCACGACGGCAGCCACAGATTTGCAATCAGAGAGACAATTTATTGAAAATTGGTGATGTGTGTATGTTTGTGAATCAGATACACAAACATACACACAAACCAACATTCAAACAATTGCCTCCCAAGAGATGAGGTGAGACAGAGAAAGGGGCAAGAAGAAGTTGAAACCCTAATCGAATACTAAAACTGAAAGAACCCATGAAAAAAAACCTTATTTATAATTAAAAAACCAAATCCACGTCGGTTATATTACATATAACGACGTTTAACAAAAATAATCCACGTCGGTAAACAAATACATTACGTCGTTTTATTCTTACTTAAGACAACAAGAAAAGACGACGGTATAACAAAAAACAGTCGTTGTTTTTATATTTTTATTTGATTTAAATCAGTCACCCAGAAAAGAAACTTTACAAATTCTAGAACATTAATTTCCTCAGGAAAAAAAACTATATTTATAAGGCACTATTTTTGAAAAATAAACTGAAAGAAAAAGGGAAAAAAATTATATTTAATAAAAAAAATAAAATCCACGTCGGTTATATTACACATAACGACGTTTAAAAACGAATCCACGTCGCGAAAAAAATATTGCTCCGTTTTAGTTTAGTGTTATCCACGTCGGTATATTACAATAAAACGACGTATATTATAAAAATAAACGTCGTAAATTTAAAAAAACCGTCGTGTTAAATATTTCTACCATGACGCGAGATATTGAGTTATCGACTTTTATTTAGGAGTTTACTACGGCGGTACCTACAACACTACTGTCGTATTTCTGTACCACGTCCTAAGTTCAAATTATCGTCGTAGTTTGTCTATTAATACGTCGTCATTCTATGTAAACCGCCGTCTTATTACTATGAAACGGTTTGTATACATATACAACTTTTCGTCTACCTGACTTACACATGCACTGTTTCCAAACCCTAGAAAAATTTCAATCTCCCAGAGAAAACTTTTCATCTTTTTTCCTTGTCAGAGCACTGTCAGAGTATCTCATCGTCTTCCTCTCGTCTTCATCGTCGTCTCTGAACTTAAACACCAAACTCCGAGAGAAAGCTTTGATTGCACGCAAAAGGTAAGCTTTCATTTCTCACTATTTTTGTTGCTATTTTACATGCTCATATGGTTTTTGTTTTGAAAATCTTTTTACCTTTTTTCTGACGAAAATCATTTTTATTCTTTCCAAGTTTGATAAAATACACAGACAGAGAGGGAAAGTTTTCAACTTTGAACACAACTAATTCAACTAAATAAGACGACGGTAGCTTCTTATTTACGTGGTTAAATATGTAGACCACGACGGTTCGTCAGTCGTCCTAGCGTCGTCTTAAAATTGATTTAAGTTGTTTTTAAAATGACGGTCAATTTTTATTTGCTTGTTTAGTTGCAGGTTTGATTTCTCTGAACCATGGTTTTCGTTTTTCCTAATTTGATAAAATACAAAGACAAAGAAAGTAGGGTTTGGTATCTTATATAGACGACGGTATCTTATTATTGACGCCGTGTGAATGTTCATACCACGACGTTATACTAAGATACCGTCGTCTATAAAAGATGCCAAAGCTTTCTTTCTTTTCTTTGTATTTTATCAAATTAGGAAAAACAAAAACCATGTTTCAGAGAAATTAAACCTGCAATCAAACATTCACAGAGAAAGAAAAATGTTTTGGTTTCTTATAAATACGACGGTAGCTTATTATTCACGTCGTGTGAATATCCATAACACGACGTTATATTAATATTTACGTCGTGTTAATTTGAATATCACGACGTCGTGTAAATATCGCCGTAATAAGTTCTTATTACGTCTTATTTAATATTGTTTCGTCGTTGTTTAAACATTTATATTGTTTCTTCTTTAAACATTTATTACTTCTGATGTTATGTTATTACGTCGTGTAAAATCTTATCATACGTCGTATTTTATAAATAACCGTCGTTTGTGTTCTAATTTTTTTCCTGAAATATTTTCACTTGCAGGTTTTTTTTCTGTAACCATGGTTTCTCAAGACCAAAGTAAGGACTCTGGCTCCAAAAAAAATGGAGGTAAGGAGCTTGGAATGGTAACTCCTCAAGACAAGCCCTTGAAGAAGATGAATTTTGTTTCATCTGCTGAGACAGAACCAACCGGCACGACAACAATTTCTGAGGATTCAAAGTCAAGTCGAGATATGAGCACAATGCCTCGTGTTGTGAAGAGAAAATTGCAGAAAATCAAGCCAGTTGTTGAGTACAATAAAAGGGGGAAAGGATGTGGCCCTGCACATACTGAGATGCAGTCCTACATTGGTGTGTTGGCACGCTCCAGAGTCCCACTTGTGGACAAGAAATGGGCTGAAATCCCCAAGGATATAAAGGAGCAGATTTGGGAAGCCGTTGACATGGCTTTTGTGGTAGGTCAAGGGGGCAAGACCTCGGTGTTATCTTCTGCTGCCAAGAAATGGAAGGATTTCAAGTCTACACTGACGAGGCATTATATCCTTCCATACATCAAGGAGAGGGAGAAATTAAGCCAACCCCCTGAAGAATATAAATTCATAGAGAAAGCAGAATGGGATGCCTTTGTAGCTTCAAGGTTATCCAAAGAATTTGAGTCTGTGCATTCTCAACATTCACAGATTAGGGAGAAACTTGAGTACAATCATCGATTGTCTCAAAAAGGATATGCTGGTTTGGAGGATCAATTGGAGGAAACCATGCCTGGGGTAGAAATTGATCGATCTACCTTATGGAAGAAAGCTAGACAGGACAAACATGGTAACATCCCGGATCCAAAGGTGGCAGAGAAAGCAAAATTAATTGTAAGCCTACACACTCTGTTTTAAATTTTTATTAAACTGTGTATAATTCTTATTACGTCTTATGTTATATTTTTCCGTCGTGTGAATGATTTTACTACGTCGAAATGTTTTAAAAAACGTCGTGAAAGATCTAAATCTGGAATCACAACTCTGTTTTCTGTAATTATAGCATAAGACGTCGGTTGTTAATTTTTTCGTCGTGTTAATGTTATTACTACGTCAAAATGTTTTCAAAAACGTCGTGAAAGATCTAAATCTGGAATCACAACTCTGTTTATGTAATTACAGCATAAGACGTCGGTGGTTTATTTATTGCGTCGTTTGAAACAACTAACCACGTCGTTTTTAATTAACGTCGTTATAAATATATTATAACGTCGATTTCTATATTGTTGCGTCGTGTAATGCGTCGTTTGTTTATAAATAACCGTCGTGTGTTTTCTTGTGCTGACTTTTTTGTATGTCTTTGTTTTAGGATGAATTGCAAAAACAAGTGGCTGAAGGCAGTCTTAGTTTAACTGGCAGTAATGATGTGTTGACCTTGGCTTTGGGTTCCGAGCATCCAGGGAGAGTAAGAGGGGTAGGTGCTGGGATTTCCCCTAGGCAATTCTTCAATTTACCTAGACCACAGAGGATAAAGTTTGCCGATCAATTGAAGGAAAGTGTAAGAATTGTCCTTCAAGAAGAGACTAAGAAGATGGAAGCTAGAACCAAACAATTGGTAGAGGTTGAGAGGGAACATTTACTAAGTCAGCTTTCCCACCTCATCCCCAATTTTGATCCAAGCATGCTTAAACCGAAAACTAGCCCCTGTCAAAACCAAGGTCTAGAGCAAAGTCCCAAAAATCCAATGTCTGATAAAGCAAGCTGTTCTGGGGCTGAAGTGAGATCCCTACATTTAGAGGATGATACTGCCAGAAATGGGGAACAGCAGGAAGAAACGGTAACATATCTGAACTTTGAATTCTCTGTTTTTTTTTAAAACATTAGACGTCGTTATTATGAAGAAACCCGTCGTTTTAAAACCATACCACGACGATTTTATAAATAAACCGTCGTTTTTATTTAAATACCACGTCGTATTTAGTTTACTTGTTTTACACGCCATTAGACGTCGTACTTTGTGGTTTTTAGACGACGGTTTTAGTCCTTACCGACGTAATAGACAATTACCACGACGTTTATTATTTACCATCGTTTAATAATTTTAAGACGTCCATAATTCTTACATACCGTCTTATGTTATGCCTTACCACGACGTTTTGATTTAATTTTTTTACTTTCTGTACAATCTGTCTTATATATATATATATATATATTTCTTTATTACTTAAAACAGAAATCTGGGGCTTTAGATAATCAAGATGAAGAGAAGAAAGAAGAAAAAAAAGATGAAGAGAAAATGGGAGAAAAAAAAAGATGAAGGGAAGAAGGAAGAAAAAAAAGAGAAAAAAGATGAAGGCAAAAAGGAAGACACAAATGATGAAGAGAAGAAAGAAGAAAAACAAGATGAAGAAAAGCATGACGAAGAGGTATATTCTCATAACTTTGCCTTTTTTATTTGTTTTTCACATTTCAGACGTCGATATTTTTCTTTAAACCGTCGTTTGTTTTCAAATTAGACGTCGGAATTTATTTTCTATGACGTAATAAATTATCTAAAACGACGGTTTTTAATTACCGTCGTTTAAATTATAATCAGACGACGTTTTTTAATTTAAACCGTCGTTTTTATTGAATTACCACATCATTTTATTTTGCTTTATTTCTTTAAACGGGGTAATGAAGTAGTTGATTATTCAAATGTGGAGGTGCCATCTTCCTTACAATCCCTTTGTCGTTATGTGGAAACGACACTAAAGCCACAGGGGAAGATCATGACCTTCAACATTGAGAAGGAGGTGTTTGGTGCAGATCGCAGTACCTTCGTCTTGCATGAAGATATTACACAGTTTGCAGGCATTGAAGAAATTGGGGCTACTGTGGTTGCAGTATATATGAGGTTTGTCCTTATCAAATATCAAATATTATATCATAAGACGTCGGTGGTTTAATTATTACGTCGTTTTAAACCACTAACCACGTCGTTCTTTTTTTACCGTCGTGATAAATTAGTTATAACTTCTGTTTCTATTTCAGTTCGTCGTGTGAAATTGTATAATACGTCGTTTGTTTATAAATAACTGTCGTTTGTTTTATATATTTAGGTGCTTATAAGATCGTTTGAGAGAAGCAAATATGTGCAGCATGGTTGGCTTTATCGACCCTGCTCAAGTTAGTGCCAACGCTGGGTCACTAACTGACAGATCACGAATTGTAGCCAGTCGACTTCAGAAAACAGATGGTGAACAGATTTTCATGATGCCTTACAGTCCAGGGTTAGTCTCCTTAAAAGGATTTTGTTTGTATTATTTTCACTAACTGACCACTTATAAAACTGTTTAACTAATTTTGTGTCGTTTGAAACATCTAACCACGTCGGTTATTTATTTATCGAGTCGTTTGAAACAACTAACCACGTCGGTAGTTAATTACCGTCGTGATAAATTTATAATGACGTCGATGATTAAATTTATAATGACGTCAATAATTTCATAGGAAACCTTGTCACTCAATTTTACATGCTACAATCGCAATAAGGGAAAGTTCTGAAGTCCTAATTGTAGAGGGATTGGTCTACTAACCTAATTAGGAAGTATTCCGACTCAAAAAAGAAAAACTAATTAGGAAGTAAAGCTCCTAAATTATCTCATTGTAAGACTCCTAATCAAATTGACGGATAAATATTACCAATGCCCAACTTTCATTTAGATATAGAAGTCATCTATAGTTTATTATCATCTATTTATCTTGCATTCGCACAGCATGAGCTGAGCCACCTCCTGCTATCGATTCATTTCTTATATATGGCTGGCAGCCTTATCGATTCATCCTTAGACTAAGTACAAATATATAGGAATAGATGGTCATTCTTATCAAGCAAGAGAAGTAATTGAGAGTTACAAAATAGAGTTGGTATGCGTGAATGGCAGTAGCTTTATAGGAGAGAGAGAGAGAGAGAGAGAGTACTCAAATTATTATGTTAATAAAGTAGGCCCTAACTTACGAGTGGAAATTGTACGTTTGTATATGGACCCGAATAGAAATATTAGTGAACAGTTGAAATGGAAGAAAAACAATTTGCGTGCACTACAACAAGAAAGCTATAGCCAATCAATTGATTGATCATCATCTGTGTGGTTGGCTTTTTGTGAAGGCTACGGTTTTGCCACCTCAGCGTCAAAAACTTGCGGATATGAAAAGAGTGATCGCATAGATCACTATACATGACATGGAGGACTTTTAGATTTTGTGAGGAATAAATAAAGGAAAATAACACAAACAAGTCATAAAAGTCATTGAAAGGGCAGCAGAGTCTTTCAGATTTTGGACTGGACTTTTAGTGGGTTAATCTTTTCCTAAATGCAGCCAATTTTTTCCTAAACCCTTTTATATATATATATATATATATAAAGGACTAATTACAATTTTGGTCATTGGGTTTAGTGTTGATTTCAATTTTAGTCACTGTACTTTCAATTTTTCGATTTTGGTCATTACACTTTGCATCGTCAGCAAATCAAGTCCAATTAAGTATTTCGTCAGTCAAGACGCATGTGGCGTGTGTGTATTATTGCCCTTTGACATCAGCTCAGCTCTCTCAAAGGCCTTGCTAGATCTCCATCTGTGCTGCAAAGGATCAAATCCATCCACCTCTAAACTTCAGATCCCCAAAGCCACACACCAACACATTTGAGAAAAACCCAAATCACATGAAATTATTCCGTTTCCGGCCATTGCCTTGTGACGATAAAGTGACATGTGTCGTCGAATGTCCGATCACCATACTAATTTCTCCATACTAACATAAATTGAAATAATAATTTTATTATCAAAACAATAAACCTTATTCATAAGTATTAGCACTGAAACAGAAAGTTATTTATGAGCAATTCTATTGAATTACTTCCACACATTATAATTTTAATGGTTTAGCACATAACAACTCCTTGCCAGCATGAACTCTAGGTCATAGCCGAAGTTGTGCCATGCATGATTTTCCATCGATCTCATGGTAACCATTGGCTTCCAAGGAGTCCTTGTAGATCATCCCTCGGTATGCTGGTGGGTGAGACTCGCCCACAAACTCTGGAGCTGGTTTCACAAATGTGTCAAGTGATGGTCCATGGACTGTGGCCACAGAGATTCTTCTCACCTCGTTGTTCAGGATCACACGATGCATAGGACTCTTGTACTTCCCATTTGTTAAAACCTATTATATATAATACAAGCAATGAATTAAAAACAAGTAATACGCATTGGGAAACTTTTATATTAGGCAAATCTACTTCTCTTATTTGCTTGACTTTGTTCTTAGTTTTGGACTTTAAATTCAATAGTTAATTTCTATAATCAAGTCTTACACAAAATGAACTTTGATTTCAACCTCATGATTCAGATTGAAAGTCAAACAATTCCAAAACAAAATATATACTTTTCTTGCATCGTGGACTCATGGATCTCATTTGGGAGATATTTTCGAGTGATGAGTCCACCTTAATTTCTTACAGGGATGTGAACGTAGAACTCATAAGTTCACATCTCTTGTAGGCCAACTCATTCATGAGTTCAACCTTTGTGAAAAATATGATTAATAATAAGATCAATAAATATGATACATGTAATGTGCTCATTTTAGAGATAACTTCGGGTGACAAGTCCATATTAATTTCTTATAGATTTCTTGTAGGTCAGACTCATTCATGAGTTTGACCTTTGTGAAAAATATGATTAATAGTGATGGGATGAATAAATTTGATTCATATTCGCACTTATTTATCTTATGTCGAAAATAAATTAAGGACTTCAAATATTCAATATGCATGTACCTCAGCATGATCCCCAATCTTAATGAAAAAGGCACTGGAAGGCATATCAAGATTGATCCACTTTTGTTTATAGTTTAGTTGGAGACCACCGTTGACGTTTTGTATGAGGGAACCAAAGTAGCCAGGGTCATAATGAGCCGGCAAACCGATTTGAGTGTTGGGTTTACACCCGGGCGGATACACGTTCATAGCAGAAACATCAGCCCCAGTTTCTAACTCAAATTTCTTCTCTAAGTAATTTTCTTCAAATCCCAATGTTTTCGATACTGCTTTAGCCAAATTAATTATCACCTCTCGATTCCTTTGGTAATAATCTTCCAAGGCCTCCCTGTAAGTAACATATATATATATAGTCGGACATAAATTAAGCTTAATCTTAGGCCATTTAATAAAGACAAAGTAGGGGATGAAAAAAGTCGAGTTAGAACAATTATTAGGATCCGTACTTGTGCTTAGGGGTAAGCATCAATCTGGTTGATATGAATAAACTGACTTATCTGAATCGTAATGACAGCTTTGATTTGGTTTTGATCATAGAAAAAGTCAAACAAAAACTGAATCGTAATGGTTTGGTACAGTCGCGATTTTAATTTTTAGAAACCGAACCAATCACATGTATATTTTACTGTTAAATCCAAACCAGGGTTGTTTTTAAACTCAAAACGATGTTTTTTTTTTCAATACAAATATAACCACAATATAACTTTAAAAGATACAAATATACAATCCAAATCCTTATGTTTATTTTTTTCACAAAAATAAGTTCTCTTTTTTCTTTTTCAAAAATGGAATTTTTTATTAAAATTGTAGCTTAAGTGGTTAAAACATTTACTTATTCATCAAAGAAGAAATGAAAAACATTTTTTTAAATTAAAAAGAAAATTTAGGATTTTTGGTTGGTTAGGTGAGTAGGTTGATGCATGGGTCGTACACACACGATTTTTCCTTTTCTTCAAAAACACTATTTTCTTGTACCTGAAACCAGCTGGTTTAGCAGGGCCTTCAAACTTTGGATGTGGGAGCACCTTAAGATACTCCCTCTTGACAGCTTCATGGTCCCCGGGTGAGAACCCTAGCCCCCATCTGATCCTATCCGTTGAATTCTTCTTCTCATAATCCTTCTTTTCCTCCTCCGTCAGATCAAAGAAATCAGAAATCCCATTCAGTGCTCTCTCAATTACGCAATCAGGCACCCCATGATTTACCAGCTGCCAAGTTACCAGGCAGCATGTTACATGCATGTGTAATTTTGTACGCAATATAAACATGCGACAGCAAATTATAACATAACACAAAACCCTAATTAATTAACAGTTTTGTTTCTTTTCTTTTAGCCAAATATATATATATATATTTACAGAGCTAGTATTTACAATGCGATAACACTAATGAGTTAATAACAAAGCCACATAACCTTACAGAGTGAGTAAAATTTCTTAACTTTTCCGATGTGGGACACTACTTCACATCCTTAGAGAGTGATCAGCAGCATGTTGTATGCCAACATGTTCACAGTTGAAGCTCTATGTGTGTGTGTGCGCGCGCACATAGTGAATTGGTTTTGAGGCATTGTAGTAAGCAAAATGGTGTGCTATGGGGGAATGAATGCATATGTAGATGAGAGGAAATTCCATACATAGAAAAAGCCGTACTCCTCGCAGACATAGGCAAGGTATTGGAGGGCTTTGAGTCGTTGATCAGGATCATTAGAGCAGATCAGCATGCTGTAATCGATGGTGGGGATTTCATCATCATTATTTGAATGATTAAAGGAGGTGGTCCTTTTGGTATCAGAAAGGCTTTGGGTCAATACTACAGAAGCTGTTTTAGCCATTGAAATCAACTAAGAACTAGCGATGGCTGCAGTGAATAAAGAGAGAGTGTACGTTTTGATTGGATTGAACATCGATCATTGCCTGTTTTTATAGGCACATTGTGAGATATCAAGGTAAGGCTACGATGCCTCTATGTAATTTCTAGGAACATGCTTGTCAAAGTTAATTAATAAGATTATCTGGGAGGTTTTATTTAATGGGGGGTTTCACCATTAATCTTTGCTGAATCACTCACTTTCGTCACGCTTCTTTAGAATGATCACCTCTTAATTTCCGCTTCAGATCAAATTTAATAATTTTACGAGAAGAAGAAATTTAAAAAGTTTGTAAACAGGACAGATAGTAGATATCAAAATCATGAGCAAATGGTGCGTTAGAGGTCAAGACAAATTTGGACATATATTAATGAAGTGGATAAGATATGTGTGTGTGTGTGTACAAAATTATAAATTTGAAGGATCTTCCACAATGGTAGGTACGTACATAGGACATAAAACAAAACCAAGGTGGAATGAGAAACTTTTTTCACAAGGCAATTTGGATTTTAGTCACCAATATCTTTAGACGGATTTGCCACACCTGTCGAATACGAAACTTCAAGTTCAAGTGCATGACTATCATCCACACAAATTCTTTACGCAATATATGATTGTCAACCAAAATAGAATGGCAACTTGGGCTTTGCCACCTGTGGAAATCGAGTCATTTACACACGTGTTTACTCATGCACTTGAACTTGAAGTTTCGTATTCGATTTCTTCTACTCTCAAATTTTGACCAAATTGAAAGTAGAAAACGAATTAGTTATGAAATTGAAGCTACGGTGGCTCTACCTTCATTTTTCACTTCAACGTCTATTAAGTTATCAAATTCAATCCAATCCCAGATACCAACAAAGTTAAACCATCTTTAAAATACTTATGTTATTCAAACGCTAATCTTTTTTACCAAATTGAAAGTAGAAAATGGATTAGTTATGAAATTGAAGCTACGGTGGCTCTACCTTCATTTTTCACTTCAACATCTATTAAGTTATCAAACTCAATCTAATCCCAGACACCAACAAAGTTAAACCAGCTTTAAAATACTTCTGTTATCCAAACGCTAATCTTTGTGTGGATATGATGTAAATAGCCTGGCAACTAGAAGAGGTCAGTTGACCAGTAGCCGCACACATGAAAAAATCTTCAACAATAATAGCATAGAAATCTATTTCTTCGTTAGGGCCAACTCAAAGGCAAGAAAAGTGATCAAACCCTTTATTTTTGTCTTCATCTCTATTTTGAGCGAAGCAAAAGTGCCAATCCTCTAAGGTCAAATCCAAATATTTTCTTTTTTAGGAAGAAAAAAGGCTCATTATTAACTCTAAGTCTCTCCACTCTAGGTCACATGTGTTGGTATCGATAAGTTGATGAAGAAAGTTAGTGCCTGTAACATTATTGTATCTTAAGTTCTTGTTGACATGATAAGTGCACCTTATCTAGCATATATTAGCAAAGTTTTTCTTGCCCCCAAAGTAGTAGTCAGTCCAAAAAGGGGTAAACTTGAGGGGAAAAAACATGAACTGACTAGTTATAAACGTTTCTACTAGTGAGGCCAAAAATGGAAATTTGTTGTTAGAAAAAACTGTATTTTTTTGAACTTCTAGACTGACTACAAAGTTTTCTACTAATCAGTCCAAAATAATTATTTGCCTCAAATTTCCGAGAAGAAGAAATCTAGAAAGTGTGTAAATAGGACAGAGTAGATATCAACATCATGAGCAAATGGTGCGTTAGAGGTCAAGAGAGATATGGACATATATTAAGGAAGTGGATAAGATGCGTGTGTGTGTTTGTGTTTATACAAAATTATAAATTTGAAGGATCTTCCACGGTGGTAGGTATGTACATAGGACATAAAACCAAGGAGTGCGATGGTCCAAGGTGGAATGAGAAATTTGTTTCACAAGGCAATTTGGATTTTAGGTTTTCACCAATATCTTTAGACGGATTTGTTATTAAATACAGGGTGCATATCCACACAAATTCTTTACGCAACATATGTTTGTCCACCAAAATAGAACGGCAACTTGGGTTTTGCCACCTGTGGTGGGAGTCATTTACACACGTGTTTACTCATGCATTTGAATAATTGTAATTATTTTCATTTTTAAAAAAATCATATATGATATATACTAATCAGACAGAGAGATTGCAATTGTTTGAGAATAATGATAATGTACATACTGGGGATTGTTGTACAAATATGAAGTCTATTTCTTATGGCATCCAGATGTGTCAATATGACCTCTCCTTTATACATCAGAAAGTGGAGGAAAAGAAAAGGCACAATGAAAATTGATAAGAAAAATTAGAATTCGATTCATACTAAATGAAGGGACTGCTAAATTTCTTCAATTCTTCAATGGAAGGACTGCTGAATTTCTAGGGTTTTTCGGAGAGGAAGAAGGAGGTTTAATGCTAAACTACAAAGGGCTTATCTGTAAACATGACGTGCTAGCTTTTGAGGCCGAATTCAAAGATGGTCGTGAAAGCAAAGAGTGGTATGGCAATAAGCGCCTTGATCTTGACTCCAACAAACGATCTGGGCCAAGTTAGGAACGTTTTCTCGGTTATTGAGTTCTTGACCTTGGTAACAAAGCTACTTGTATTGCGTCATGTTGAGTGCTTGGTACTGACGCGCTCAATGTTGTCGTGCTCCGTTGTCAAATGATATCTCAAGTCATCTTTGAGATGAAACGAAACAAATAGTTGGTGAGAGAAAAGGTGATGTAGATCATATGGCCGAGTTGATCGAGGAACAGTTGGACAGTGGCACACATCATCATGCCAGCAAAGCCCAATTTGTGCAAGTATGGGCTCTGAGCTTAGAATCAATCCCATGATCTATCGTTTCGAAGAGAACGGTGTGACAAATACAACTCACTGCTTTGTTGTGATGTATGGGCTATTTTAGCCAAATTCTATAGTTTACTTTGACTTTTCAGCGTTTAAAGTTTTTAGAATATTTTGGGAAACTTTTATTATTTTCCTTTTTGTTTTCTAATTAGCTTTCTTAGCAAGTCTAGGGTTTCTCATTACCTTGCCAAGCAAGTCTAGGGTTTCTCTTGTATAAAAGGAATGCGTTGAAGCATCCTAAGTTTATTTTTATTATTTTCAATCAATATATTTGAGGTTTACTCAATTTCTCTAGTGGATTCCAATTTGTTGGTGGATTCCGACATTTTTACTTATAGGGTTATCGTTTGATCTCTCTATCCCTTATATCTCGCTGCGTCAAAAGGGATTGGATGATGCTCAAACAAACTCTGAAGAACATAGTTGTTTGTTGATATATTTAATGAACGATTAAAATGGTGGTGCTCAAGAACTTAGAACAAGCTTCAGAGTTCTTGGTGAGAGTTACTACGTTGAATACTAAGAAAGCAGTAAAATTTATCTAACCCTAGTTTAGGGAATACATTTAACAACATTTCGGCTTGATTTTCTTGTTAAGAGATTTGTCTTCCTTAAAAATGAGACCTGCCTTGTTATTTATAAATTGCCGCCTTCAAAACGTGCCAAGATATATACGGGGATGGCCCAAATAAATCATTTGCGTGAGCCGCCTTCTATCTCCGCCAAAAAAACCTTCTCGATCTCGACTTTCAATGGTACTTTCTCTTCAAACCTTCATTTTAAGTATCGGGGTTTGACGTCCCATCACTTCTTTTACCATGTTGCTGACACTTTTCTGAAGACGGTGCATGTGAAATCCCCTTTTCTAGTCAGTGCCTGCAATTTTACTTGGTCGAGACCCTCAAGGCCAAGGAACAATGCCGAAGTTTGACTTTGGTCAAACTCTACACCCTGCTCAAAGTATTGGGTTCGACTTAAGACTTGGGTCATCTCATCTCCTAGTGCTTGGGCCGAGATTTTGAGCAATGGTATTCAGGCCTTGTGAATTTCAGTCAACACTTTCTTGCTTTGGGCCGCCTTGTTCAGCTTATTTTGAGACCTAGGCCAAGCTTGTTGTGCAACCTCTTAGTTTTGGGTACTTCCATTTCTAGGCGTAAAGTCCAGCTTGATGGGCCTTTGCCACGTTGCCTTTCCTTTTTGGGGCCGAAGGGGAAAAATCAGGTATAAGCACAAGTTACCCATGCACGCTTCTACAAAGCTATCATATGAGTTCTAAAGAGAAAATATGACTAATCAAGAGTTAGTTGTGAGTTTTAACTTTTGGCTAAAGGTTATTTAAATTTTCAATTTTAAAGAAGCTATGTATGTGAGAATATCATGATGCATGTATTAGGAATAGGAGATGTTTCGCTCTCTTTGTTTTTTTGATTAATAGGAGAGGAGACCTCTCTTCCAAGATATAAAGAAGAGAAAACCACTTTTTCTTTTTTTCTAGTTTTTTTTTTCGAGTTTGCTCTTAAACCAAAAAAAAAAAAAAAAAAAAAAAATAATAATTTTTATATTTTTACAACAAGAAGGGTTTCTCACATACACACTAACAAGGTGTCATGGAAATTCGAACCTTAAATCACTGATCTGCAAGTCAAAGCCATTTTTCACAGAACTAGACTCAGTAAAAAAAAAAAAAAAAAAAAAAAAAAAAAATAAATAATTTTATTGTTATTTTATTTTATAATGTTTATACTCTTTTTTTTATAAAAAAAAATTTTATCAGATGTTCAGACTCTTCTTAAACAATCAATGTTTTTGGTTTCTTATTTATGGCCCAAAGAAGGATATAGCTATAGTTAAGCTCACGAGGCCGAAATTGAGCTTACGAGGCCGAAATTGAGCTTAAGTTCAAAAGGCCGAAACTGCCGCTCATCCATAACACAGCCTTTAAAGCTGCAAGTAGGTTGGGCCTCTGGGCACTAGAAGGAGGTTGACAGCTAAAAATTGAAGCAATAGCACAAATCATTAGGATTTATTGGGGTGCAGATGGAATGGAAGGGGTATTCTATTCAGGCCTCTTCTTTTTTCTTATTATTTTCTATTGAATTGTTCTAGCGTGAGATTTTTTTAAGATCGTATATTTGTTCCTATTTCTCATGTTTGGATATTGGATAGTATTCGCTAATTTAGTCTTATCTGTTGTACACTCTTATGGTGCTCTTTTATTTTTTATTTTAATAATAAAGTATCTCTTCCAACAAAAAAAACAAAAAAACAAAAAACAAAGATCATTTATCTCTACACCTAAGGTCATGATTCTCCCTTCCCTCAATATCACTTGTATGAAAATACAACTTAAAAAACAAATCATGTCCATTTATAAAAACGTGCAAAAAAGAGGTGTGTCTTCAAGTTTTAAAACACATGTCGAATTACATTTTTGATCCTCATTGTTGAACTCAGATTCTACTTTGGTCTCCGTCATTTTAATTTTGACAATTTTAGTCTTCTAATTTTATTGAGACAACAATCAAGTCCTACAAGTGTTAAGAAAATAGACAAATAGATTAAATTTTGGAGATATAAAAAAAAAGTACTCTTACATATTACGACATCAAACTTCATATATTAATATCTTAATCTTACATGATTAAAATTACCAAAATCAAAATGACATGAACCAAACTGGAAAATTAGTCAAACTACACGAACCAAATATAATTTATAAAAAAAAAAAAAAAAAAAAAAAAAAAAAAAAAAAGTCGCAATTTCGTCTCTTTGAAATAGAAGATCATATATTTTATTTTGCTTCTTTAAGTGGGATATGTTTAATTCTGCTTCAAAAGTCCACAACTGACTAGAAAATTTGCCTTTCGTACAAACAATTTTTCTTTATTTCTTTATTCAATGGTGATGATGTTTGCCAGCGAATAAGGGCACACATTAATTATAATTCGCATTCAACTATATATAATATGAATAATATAAAAAAAATTATCTTGTCCAGCCGTGTATCATAATATATCATTATATTATCAATTAGACTATTAATTTGGTGAGGTTTGTTTTGACATGTGGTTTACGACAAACAGATTAGTTACATAGCACCCCAAAAATATGTGGCAAGAGAATTATTGTTTTAATGTATTTTCATAAATGAATTGTAACTAATGCTTAATATAAATACTAGGAAAGGAGATCGATTTGCTTATAACAAAAAATAATTTATTTTAGCTGGTACGCTAGTAAACTATTGATTTTTATCAATAAAAAGTAGGACGATGTAAACTTAGAACCTCTTTTAACATTAAAAATATGAGTACGACTAAACTAATACTGAAATACAGTTACTCGGTATAATTTATCCATGTATTATAATATAACATGTGAATGAATGGGTTATATTAGGTGGTCTACACATTTTCCTCGTGTATTTGATCTAACACATTATTAAGTAGATGAAATTAATATATTAGAACTGATTATGATGAACAAAAGCAGGACAAATGGAGCTTCGAGAATGGGGGTGACCCAGTCAACCCTGGTATTGGTGGAGGTTTTGTAAACCAGCGGGTTCAATTGACTTTTTTAATTCCACCTGAGCTCAAAGAATTCAACGCAAATGCCGAGTTCATGTGGGCCCAGTCGCCGCTTCTAACTTCTAAGACGCGGAGTTCACGGTTCAGATAATTTCGCAATCAGGAAAAGTCAAAGCCGGAAACTCTGAAGGAATGAAAATTTGCTATTTACAAACGACGGAAACAAAAAGTCTATTCACACGCAAGGAAATAGTTGCAGAGGATGATACTATTAGTAAGAGAAGACTCTTCTGTGGACGGTCTTATGCAAAGAAACAATCTTGCCCTTGTTAGGGTAAACGGTTCTATAATAATGTAAAAACTAAGGGTCTTTTGGTAATTTAGTTCGTCCTCACTTTCAAGCCATTTACCTTCTTGTGTAACTTGTCATCACACATCTCAACATAAAAAATTTCTCATCACGCATAAAAAAGTATTGTAGGATCAGATTTTTTTTAAAAAGCATTGTAGATGTTTCTAATTCCATAATTAAACTAGCATTTTGGTTTAAGAAAATTAAACAATGTAACTAGAAACCCTCACGCGTATGGGGTGGCATCACAGTGGAAAAGTATGCCAAACTCTTCACCACATGGACTGCTTGAGTAGAATACGAGTTTTAGGTTGAGCAAGGTTGTATGACGCCCTACCCTTCGGTATATAACAACCTATGACCCTTATAAGCATACACTCATAATACTTGGGTCAAATGAACAACTCAAATCTTTCCCTCAAGGTTTATATAAAAGGAAAATAATCTCATATATTATGCCCTACTAAAGAGAATGGGCATAAATATATAGTTAGTTGCCTCAACAGGAAGCTAAGGCATTAAAAGAAATAGTAATAAAACCACATAATTGTCTGCCCCTTTTCACAAACTTTACAGCTACAATATTAACAAATTAATGGCAAAACAATGTAGCGATTGCAAAATAGAAATTGTTGAACCAAAACTAAAGCAAATGATTTTTGAATTCAAATCTTTAAATGCCAAAGGCATTGAAAACAATTAAGTTTGCATGAAATTGCCACACCAAAGCTTTTAGAATAAAGCTGTAGAAAGACCTTTAAAACAAATCAATAATTATCCTAATTGAAGACTAAAATTGCTCCAACTAAAACTCACACAAATAAGCTTTTGAAATCAAAATTAATATATACAATCAGATCATAACAGTCAATTCATATAATAAATTTATAAAATAAATTCAATTTAAACTTGTAATTGAACCACACAAAATCTGAAAACATAAAATAAATAATAAAACAAATTTTATATTTTGAAATACTTACAAAAATTCCAACACCCCTTCCTAGCGAATGACAAACAAAAGAACTAGAAACCCTCACACATGTTATCAATGTGAGAAGAGTGGTTATGGCAGGAGGGGAAAAATAGAGAGGTGAGAAAATTGTGAAGACATGTTTTTTAAAAGAAAATTTATTGAATAAATTGTAATTACTTTTTTTTTGGTTATAATAAAAAATTATAATTACTTGTTTACTCTCACTAAGTTTGTCTTTATTTTCTTCTAATAAAAGTAAATGTGATAAAATAAGTAAACGAGAATAAATACTTTCCATTAGATATCTATTGTTTTTTCTTCGTAATTTTATATGTGCTTAAAGTTTGTACTAAATATTTATAGTTCTAATAGTTCTAATGATCTTCGACAGATGGTATAACTCGTCCAATTGGGATTGACAAGAAAGTAGGAATTACTACTTCGAGAAGAAGAAAACAAGTACTCTCCAAAAAATGTCCCCCCGATCAAAACACTAGGAAAAATTAGTTTACCATGATATCTTTACCCAATTTTTATGTATTAAAAGTTAAAAATTATAGATATGAACAAAATTTAACGTCAACGATATCAGCATATGTGAAGTCAATCTCATCGATGGTCCAGGTTATCCATGGGACGAAAAACTGGAAACACCATGGGAAAGGAAAAACAAAGAGACTTTTTATTTTATTTATAAGTCTTTCTATATAAAAAATTAAAAGGTCCAAGCTTTGGTTCTAATCTAATTTCTAAACAGCAAACGCTGACGCAAAGAAACATTACCACCAAACAAGCAATCAATCCCCCACACAAGAAATCAAAGTGAGAATAAGGAAAACCCACTCCCCAAATTATCTCTATTTCTCTCCTCAAATTCTCAATCTTCGCATTGCGAGGGCTTTGATTCTCTTTCGATACTGGGTTTTGACAGGTACGCCTTTTTCCTGAGATCCTGACCCCAAGTCTTCGAGATTTACTTATCTTCTTCGTTTTGATCCTTTTGTCAACTGGGGTTTTAAGGTTTCTTTGTGGGTCTCTCGTGTTTGTGGCATAGGACCATTATCTGTGGCAAATTCAAAATTTGATTTTCATTTGTAGATACAGATATTATTTTGGGCTTTGCTTATTTGTTTCAAAATTTTGTGAGTTTCTTGTATGTAGTTGATGTTAAGGTTTGGTTGGTGTTAATGATGCTTTGTTGACGATCCGATTGCTAATTCTTCTAATTTTGGGTGTGTATTCTGATGGGGCTTTTGTTGATGAGCAGATATTTGAATTTGATTAGACCCCTTTTGCTTGCAGTTTGTATTTTGGATACTTCTGGATAAACTTTCTAGTGGAAATTCCGGTTACGCTCAATTATGATTATTGTTCATTCCCTTGTATTTGTTTTCTGAATTCTCATAGAATGAGTGCTATATGTTTGGATTGGGATTCTCATAAGTTTTATCTTGATGGGTTAATGAAAATAATTTATATAGTTGTTGGAATTAAATAAAGTTACTGATATCCAGCTAATTAGTGATTGGTGCCTTATGATTTTCTGTTTCTTGCATTTAATTAGTTCTTGTACATTCACAAATGTCAGGACTGTACATAATTGAACTTTTGTTTGGCTTATGATCTTAGGAAATTTTGAGGATAAAGGACTTGAGTGAAGGGGGTTTAGGACATCAGACATGGCTGGTAATGCTGCGGCCTGTGCAGAGAGGGCAACAAGTGATATGTTGATTGGTCCAGACTGGGCAATAAACATTGAATTATGCGATATTATTAACATGGAGCCTGGGTATCAATACTTTTCTTCCCTCAATTTCATTTATCAGATTTGAATTTTATATATTGGTTTATCCACATGTTAAGAGTTGAGATCACTTAAATTGTTGAGTACTTGAATCTTTTTATATTGTGATGGAGTGGTCGTTGGTGGAAATGCTCATAATTTCTTAAGAGATAATTTGTAAATAGATTCTTCCTGACTGTCCAACAAGGGAAACAATTCTAAAATGGGTTTTAGCATATTGTAAAAACATCTGATGTGAAATAATATTAACAAATTATGTTCTCTGTCATCTCTCTCTCTCTCTCTCTCTCTCTCTCTCTCCACACACACACACACACACACACTACCTCAAAGGATAATACTTGGCTTGGCTCCTGATAGAAGAGGAGGAGCTTTTCCTGAAATGGAGATGTGGCTCATCTAGCAATGGACATGTGCATTTCAGAAAAATAACACCTGAAAAAGTAACAAGTAGTAGCATGTTTTTGCTACTGTGATTTTGGAGATTTCGTAAAAGTAGTCACTGATTTTTCACTAGGTTCTATTAGCATCATGGTGTATCTTCCTTTGATGTTACGAACATTTCTGATGTGTAAAACTCTGCAGAAGATGGATTGTTTGATGTTTTTAAATTATTTTTATTTTTATTTATAGATATAGTTCATGATTATTTGTCCTATATAATCCCTTTCCCATTTTAATACTCAAAATGCAAGTATTTTTCCTTTGCCAATGAATTGGATTGAAATTTGCAGGCAAGCAAAAGATGCCTTGAAGATACTCAAAAAGCGCCTGGGCAGTAAAAATCCGAAAATACAACTTCTGGCTCTTTTTGTTAGTACTATTCCTTTTCTTTTGATACTTTCTTGATATTTTTTGTGTTATTTCTTGTCATAAGTTTTATATTTCTTTTTGCACGTTTAAAATTTTTTTTTATAAATTTATGATCTAAAGTTTTTGACAGGCTTCCCATGCCAAAATTATGCATAGGCATGTAGAAATGTCAATAAATTTGTGATTTATGGTGGACCCGTTGTGGTTCCATAAATTCCTTGCCATCATCACCAAAAAATAAGCTTTTCCGAGCAATGATTTCTTTTTTCTTTTCTGAATGGATAATTTGATCCAGGCATTGGAGACTGTGAGCAAGAATTGTGGTGAGAATGTTTTTCAGCAGATCGTTGAGCGTGATATCTTGCATGAAATGGTCAAAATAGTAAAGAAGAAGGTGCTAATATTTCTCTCACAATCTTTCTTTTTTTCTTTTTTACTGACTTGTTGCTTCCTTCTCCTCCCTTTTCAATTTGTGCATGGATAGGATATTAATATATTTTTTGCTTTTTTATTCTAATTCCATTTTGCAGCCAGACTTGAATGTTAGGGAAAAGATACTAATTTTGATAGATACATGGCAAGAAGCTTTTGGAGGAGCAAGAGGAAGATATCCCCAATACTATGCGGCATATAATGAATTGAGGGTAATTGGTTTGCTAAATCTTTGTTAAGCTCATTTTAAGTTCGTGTTGTATTATTTAAGCATAAGTCGTATTTTGCTTCAAGTGTTTCTGTATCTTTGCCCAACTCCATTTTATGTTGTCATTTTGCGAGTTGCGTTATAGGACATGTTTTGAAAGATTGCTCTTTACATTTTAAGACCTTCTCAAATTTGACTTCTTTTAAGATGATTGGGCAAACATGTCCAGCCCAAGTACCTTCAGGTTTGATGGATGGACTAAATTGTGTGTGCAATGGAATTAATAGAAACTTTATGGAGGAGAATAAAAAGAAAACTATGGACAAGAAAAATTTAACCATTTAAGTAATGCCGTGTGTGGTGTAGATCAGTTTTATTTTTGTTGTTATTGTTTGTATGTGTGCGGTCTCTGTGGGTGCATGTGGGGAGGGTAGGGGGAGATTTCCACAAAGCTGGGTCCAACTTTCTAAATTTGCCTGTGAACTTGATAGCCTTCTTGACCTTGTTGGCAATGGGTAAAAACAAAATAAAAATTCTAAAGGAGTTGCTATGTGTATAAAATGAACCTCACAATGTGTACAAACTGAGTCTTTATACCTTTGCCTTTTTGTATCTCATGGTGGTAGTTTTGGTTTTGCACCTCACAATGTGGGACATATAGTCTGCTCTAAATTACATATTTATCTTGGTAGCTTCTCTTCAATTTCATTTTTGACTCTGTTATTGTAATTTCCGAACACACTTATCCTTTTACTTTACTAATGATTTTAATTTGGAACGAATTGGACATTTGTTGGTTTGGCTGACAGGAATTATAATTGGGAATGGTATTATGGAAAATAAGTTGGCTAAGTTTACACTTTCAATCTTTGCAGTTTAACCCTATCTTCATTTTTGTACTCGAAATTTCAACACAGATTTACACCTTGTTAATAATTTGAACTTAATCTGAATTAACATTACAGGCAGTTGTTCATTAAATATTGTTTAGGCTTTTCCATTTTCTCATTATAATTTCATATTTCACAGCCAAACCACATTCTGATTTGGTTGTTTTGTTCAGAAGGTGATCTCTTCTTTCCTACATAGGTTTTCCTGCAAATTGATAAGTAGTCTATTTTCATTAACTTCTGTCTAAAATAGAAATTAGAGTAATGTTGCATTTTTGTAGGAAGAAATTAAGGTTGTGCTGTTTCTTTCCTTTTCTCTTGAATCAACGTATCTTATTTATTTATCTTCCATTTTTATTGATGCTATAGGGACCTTTTCCCCCCCCCCTATAATTAGGATGTTTTATATTGTTTAATTTGAACTCTATATTCCTCCTTGATGAAATTAAAGCTGCAATTTTAGTTTGGCTTTAATTTGAGCTTGTAGTATTAAGAGTATTTATACTCTTTAATTTTGTTTCAACTGGAGTCCACTGAAAGTAATAGTAAACTTAGTATTAAGATTTGGGTTGTGTTTATGCTCTAGCCTTACTTTGTAATGATTACAGTTGTCATTACTTTTGTCCATTATAATTTAGATTCTTAGAAGATAGATATGTCAACATCCGCAAGGTAAGGTTTTTGCACCAAAGTTTCACTTTTTTGCTAGATGAATGAAGTTAATGACGCAAGATCAGATCATAGTTCTAACAATGGAGATGAGCTTGGTTGTGGGTGTTGATTGATGTCATTAATTTCATTTGTAATATTTTTTGTACTCGCACTGCATGGGAGTTGGATCAGACAGAATTGCTAGAGCAGTGTCCATGCCTGGTACTAGTATGTGATTGGAGTATTATCCAATTTGATTGTAATATCTTGCTATTTTTGAGAACATCAAACATGGTTCTTCGACTATTTCCAATTTATTTGATTTTAGTATAGTCTAGATCAGTGAACCAAAAAAGGCCTTAGTGTCTAAGATTCTCTCAAATGTTTGGCCATGGTGGCCAAGTATAAGTAAGTTTATGCCAGTTGCCTGACTTTAGGTGTCTGCCTCAGCTTAAACATTCTGTGCTGGTTTTCTAGTTGGAAAAGTATAGAAATTTACATGTGTTACAAAACATTGTTTCCTTTCATGGTTAAATCAGAATGGGTGTTTGTATCATGATTTTCTGGTTTATTTAAAATTTCAATTTTGTTTTTCTGTTAATTTTAGACATAAGCTTGCTCGATATTTGGTCTAGATTTTTATTATTTTCTTTTATTCTACTTCTTCCCCCTTAACTCTCTTTATTGATAATTGACAGTCTGCGGGAGTTGAATTTCCACCACGAGAAGAGAACAGTGTACCACTCTTTACTCCGCCTCAGACCCAGCCAGTAGTTTCCCCTGTTGCAGTATATGATGATGCTGCTATTCAGGCTTCTCTTCAGTCTGATGCTTCGGGACTTAGGTACTAGCTGAACAATATTATCTCCATCGGAACAATACAAATTTCAGCCTTTTTCAGTTTAATATTTACCCGCTGTTTTTTTGTTGCTTTTGTCTTACATGTGTTTTTATCACAATTTTAAACGTGCATGTCGACTGCCTGGGAGAGATGAAAAATATTTGTAGATAATAAAAAGTGTCCTAGGATTATGAACCCTCAGTCTAGAATGTTGCTTTACATATATCTGAAAGACCTTGTGATTTGTGCATGCTTTGCCGAAATGTTGACTATATATAGGAAAGGCCTTGTGATTCATTTCGGTAACTTGTTAACCTTGTCAATTATTTCTGTCAATGATTGAAAAAGTTCCCCTTGACAATAAGGAAATTTCTACAGCCTTGTTATTGGAAATCCTGTTTAGTCCTAGGTCTTAATATTTTATGGAAGATTTCAGTCGGCATTGAGTTTTAATGCTTATACCGCTGTCTCAGTTGCTGCTTGTGCTTGTATGTATCTTGTTGAATGTCTTGATCTCTAACTGTAATCTATGAAAGAATTTATGTTTGCTGGATTGGATATTGTACTAAAAATTGATATTGTGACAGATGCTATCGTTTATTTATTTATTTGTTATTTATTTTTTATGTTTTAGTTGGTCTATGAATTATGTCTATGATATATCCTGCCTGATTCAAATTGTTTCTAATCAGCTTGCCAGAGATTCAAAATGCTCGAGGAATTGCAGATGTGTTGATGGAAATGCTTAATGCCTTGGATCCTAAGAATCCTGAGGTAATATATTTTCCTAGCTATCGTTGAGTTTTGATTTCTCTCTTGACTAAAAGGTATTAGAAGATGATTTCTCATTTATTTTCCGCTAAAAATATGTTATTTTAGAGGTCAAGTATTTTATTTTGTCGTTATTGTGTATGGAGTAATCTGGTGGTGTTTTCATATGGGACTGCTACCATGGTAAAAATTCTGAAGGTTGTATCTGATCAGTTGTGGAGCGTTGTTGTCCATTATTATAGTTTCCTTTACACATGTACTTGTGTCTAAATTGTTTGAAGAGAAATATTCGTAAGAAACTTTATTTCAAACTAGTTAAAGATTAGTTGTCCAGGGGTGAAGGAGGCTAGTGATCTCTCTCTCTCTCTCTCTCTCTCTCTCTCTCTCTCTCTCTCTCTGTGGGTGTCAATTACTCTGATTGTGAAAATCGTGCAATGGTTAATTACTTGAAACTCTGTATGCTTAAGGGCTGCACTTTCCTTGTGCTTGTAGAAGGGAGGGAGGTGGGGGGAAGGAATTGGGTTGAAATGAAGGAGATTTTGTGAAATAAAAAATTGAAACGGAAGACTATTTGAAATTATTTTTTGTTTTCATTTTAGTTACCATTCCATATACATTACATCCATCCCTCTCCCTTCTTTCTCCCTGCATCTTCAATCTAATCTCTTTTTTTTTTTTTTTTTTTTTTTTTTTTTTTTTTTGTTTTGGTCTCTCTCTGTCCAATAAAAACTCCTTACTTTACTAAAGTAGTAATAATAGTAGTGTAGCCCCCCCAACAACTGTTAATGTTAGTGAGGAACACTTAAAGAATCAACTGTTAATGCAGGGTGTTTTTAACTATGGAGTGTTGATGGGCTTATTTGTGAAGAGCCCTACTGAAAATTAAACACTGAAAATAAAAAACCAGTGTTACCAATGGGCTCTTAATACATGCAAATTTTTTAGTCAGCTTTAATTTCTTACAATGGTCAAAATGACTATTATGGTAGGGTCTGAAGGAAGAAGTGATTGTTGACCTTGTTGATCAGTGCCGTTCGTACCAAAAGCGCGTCATGCTTCTTGTGAATGAAACTGTGTAAGTGATTAATATAGAAAATTGTTGATTTTTAGTCGTAGATTTCATGCTGGTGACAGTTGTGGTTGCTTTCCTTTTAGCAATGAGGAGCTTCTATGTCAGGGATTGGCTTTGAATGATAATCTGCAGCGTGTACTTTCTCGGCATGATGATATTGTGAAAGGAACAGCAACTGGAGTAAGAGCACCAGAATCTTCAGTTGTGCCACTTGTGAATGTGAACCATGAGGATGATGAGTCAGAGGATGAATTTTCCCAGCTAGCTCACAGGTAACTTCTTAGAGGACCTCTTCCGAGTTTTATCGTAACATTATTTTTTAGACACACCATTTTTGTTGTACAATTGGGCTATTTCACTATTCACTCATTTCTGTTCTGTGCTATTGCCTGTTCATTTTTTTACTCTCATTTCCCTTTTAATAAACTTCAGTAAAATGCATTACAGGTCATCAAGAGATAATTCACAGGGACCGGGCCAGAGATCAGCCAATGCCAGGACTGAACCTGTGCGACTAAGCCCACTTCTTCCTCCTCCTCCATCTCCAAAAAGGCCAATCCCTACAGGTGCTGGCATGATTGATTATCTCAGTGGTGATAACTACAAATCTGAAGGATCCACTGCAACATCAGAATCCACATCTTTTGCAGCTCCAGTTCATTCCAGCTCAAATTCCACCTCTCGATTGACTCCACTATCACCCTCACCCCCTTCTTCCCTAAACACGACTCCATCCCCTATATTCTCTGGAAAGCCTGTATATGATGAACCGGCTCCTAGAAGCAAATCCATTGATGGGTTGCCTGCAGCTCCTTGGGATGCTCAGTCCCCAGGCAATCCTCAGTCTCCTGGAAATGGCAACTCTCCTGTCAGCCTTCCACCTCCACCGTCCAGGTATAATCAGAGACAACAGTTTTTTGAGCAACAAGGCTTCCCAGGCAGTGGATCCGGTTCTTCTTATGACAGCTTAGTGGGACAGACTCAGAATCTCTCTCTTAATTCGTCTACCCCAACAAAACAAGTAAAACAGGAAGATGCTCTATTCAAAGATCTCGTTGATTTTGCAAAAGCCAAGTCATCTTCGTCTTCAAACCCCAATAGGTCATTTTGAGTTGTGCCTAGCAGTCAGTCCAGCTTCTGGACGTTGTTCCTCACTCTCACATACATCAGATCACGAGATTATTACCTGTTACTAAATAAATATTGGTAGGAACTTTTTGGTTTTGGTTTGTCTATGCCTTTTAGCTGGTATGTTTCCGAGATGACCTGCGCATTGCATATAATTTAATATATTGATGCACCTTATTGTTTGGTTTCTTTGATCTCAGTTTGTTTTGAACGGTTGGCCAAATTTCTCTCTTTTATTGTATATGTTTGTATGTACGTATGACCGGACGTAACAGTGTATCATCAAATATTGTACTGCTAGAAGATTGTTGCATTGATGGATTAATATAACTAATCACATTACTCAAGAAATTGAAGTTCAATATTGGTAGGTTGGTCACTTTTTGGCGGACAAAGTTTGGAGTTCCTTTTGAAGAGTGTAACCAGAAGAGATTAGTCCTCTTGACGATTAGCATTTTCTGAAGTTGTAGCATCTTGCTTTGATTTCCATCAGGCAGCAGCTGTGTGATGGCAATGGAGATGGTACTGTATGCTTAGTTGGAGTTATCTTTTCATTGTTTTCTCTTAGTTGCGTTTTAGAAATCCATTTTCCAACTAACCATATTTGACACTAATAATGGACTTGTCAATTTGGTAATTCCTGGCAGAATAATACTCCCAATTTCCCAAAGGAGAATTTTAGGGAATGATATGATGGGAAAGTCTCCATGAAGGATTGGTTAAGAACTTCTAATCTCAATCAATGATAGTATGCGAGATATATAATAAAAAGAATATATATATAGCTCACTAACACATCTAATGGAAGACTAAGATTAGAATTCCTTAACTAATTTTAACATGAATGCTTATTGCAGAAGCTCCATGACATAATTAATATTGATCTTGTCTAATTGCCTACAAATTTTTTCCAGTCAACAAACTTGGTCTATGAATTAATGAAAGGAAAGCCAAACTGTTAGCAATTTTATTTTATTTTATTTTTTTTCAGCCGGCATCAACATAAGCATGCAATTGCCCCTTAAAAAATTTATATTTAAATAAAGACTTACAATATAGACGAAAGTCATTGAAGTAGAATTCGTAGTGAACACACAAGGTGTCCTTCAATAAAAATTGACTAATATATACATACCTACAATTAGTCAAGATGAAATACAATAATGATAGGTTTGTCATTGAGCATATAGTTTTGAGGCATAAATTTGAACGTTCTTGCATTACTTTTAGTTGGAATCATCTTTTCATTATTTTCTCATAGTTGTCTATTCGAAATCGACTTTGCAATGAACAATACTTAACAGCTACGAAAGATTAAAAAAAAGAAAAAAAAGTGACTTCTATAAATAAATAATAGGGTTATTTACTCAAATAGTCCTCAAACTTGTATTTGATTTACATTTTGGTCCCTAAACTAAATTATTCATTCAAATGGTCCATCAACTCTATTATTCGGTTCATTAGTCTCACCGTCTAATTTTTTTGTTAGATTTAACCAAATTTTAGGGAAAATATGACTTCATAATTAACAAATAAAAATAGAATTAAAAGAAATACAAAATTAGAAAAAAAAATTTGAAGAAAAAGAGGAAAAAAAATCATGAGACCCAAACCCAACGCCCCCTCCCTCATATTTCTTCTCCCCCATTCCTCCATAGACCCCTCCCCCCTTCTGTTTTCCCCATCTCCTCTTCGCTCTCTAACACCCCATTCTTCTCTCTCTCTGTGCAAATTCAAAAACCAACAGATTGGAAAACAAAAAATAAAAAATTCGAACATTGTTTGCATCTGTAGGTTGTTTGCAATGATAAGTTTAGGATTTGTGGGTGAAAAACAAAATGGGGGAAGAGGGGTGAGGGGTTTGTGGGGTGGGGATTCTGTTATGGTGGAATCTGGGAGGGTGGGTTGGGTGTGGCTGTATTTTTGAGTGTCCCTTGAGAATATTTTTTGGTGGATGAGCGGTAGTTGCTAGGTAGGGAGGAGGGTGGTGGGTTGTTGTCTCTCAACAACGAAGGGAAATCGAGGGGGAGCGGTAGAGGGTTTGGGTGGCTGTTGAGTTGGGGTTCTAGGTTCATTAGAAGGTGGGTATGTGAGTGATTTTTTTTTACAAATTTATAAATAAACCCAATTCTAGACATGTATTTATAAAAAAACCCAAGCACTATTTAAACATAGAAACACACTCAAAGTCAACTTTTTGAGTGTGTTTATAAATGGGTTTTGAGTGTGTGTAATGATGAGTTTTGGGTGTGTTTATATGTTTAAATAGTGCTTGGTTTTTTTTTATAATTTCAACCCCCATTTTGAGTGTTTTAGTGAAACTCCCTTTTTTTTTCTTCTTTTTTTATTTAGTTGCTGGCTCAAGTGGAGGGTTGGGAGGCGCTGAGGTTCTGGGTTCATGGGGCCTAGGGTGGAGGGTGGTTTTGGGATGGCTTTGGGGGTTGGAGCTTGAGGGTGGTGGTCATGAGAGAGAGAGAGAGAGATAGCTTTTTATTTCATTTTTTAGTATTTATTTCTTTTTTAACGTACGAAATGATCAATTTACCCTCATATTTAATGGAAATATCGTCATAATGTAACGGTATGACTAATGAACGGAATAATATAGAGTTGATGGACCATTTAAACGAATAATTTAGTTTAGGGATCAAAATGTAAATGGGATACAAGTTTGAGGACCACTTGACGCAGCACAAGCAAATAGGCTACAAGCGTAAGCTTAAAAAGAACATAAACTTGGAATCCACCAGAAAGTTAGAGAGAAAATTCTCATTGTTTGTATTATTTGATAAAAGATGAGTTGAGTCCAACCATACACAACGGATATCTAAATACATCATTCTCACCCATTGGACTGCCCTGGGGAGTTATTGAAAGCTTAACAACAAATAAACGAAAAGTCTGTAAATTGATTACAATCTTTAAATGCTCTTTTGGAAGCCCAAACAATCTCAGCAGCTTAAAATCCACCTTATATCACAGCTAAGTAGTGAGTTGAACTCATGGCATCGTTCCTTTTTCAAAAAGGTATTATGCGATCCAATCGGAGCTCAGATGCCAAATCTATAAATTCCTGCTGCGTTCTTTTTTCCCTTCAATCCATTTAGCTATTTGTTCTACATCACCATTTCAATAAATAACCCATAAATAATACAACAAAAGAACATAGTCACATTGATAATGTGCTTCTCAATCTGATAATTTCTGACACACATTGTCAACATTTTTCTTTCTGGATGGCAACATTGTAATCATCTAATAGCCCTCAAATAGATGCTATTTGATTAAAGAAACTTGTGGACAAAACATAAAAAGTAACAATGTTTTGACAGACGCTACCAAAATATCATGGAGTTCAAACCAAAATTATTAGACTGCAAGTTAAGACACTTTTCAACTTGACTTAGACCTTCTTATACGCTAAAAAAAGAAGCTCACAGTGATATGAAATTGAGAGAACGTTTTGCTTTTGGTCCACAAACGTGCTATGATACCAAATTGATATTCCTTTCACACCAATAAAACCACACGCTACATACGCTTAATTAAATAAAATTATCTAAAAGTTTCAAACGAAAAGGATTAATACATGGAAAGTTCCTAGTTTTTAGAGTCTGATAAGTAAAGAAATAAAATAAAGCAAAGAAATATAACTTTAAGAACAATAGTCATAAAGATGAATGGAAAATCACATTCAATGTGTTTCTTAATTTTTATTTATATTACTAGTATTAAGAATGAATATATAATAAATATTTCTTTTTTTTTGCTGGCGTAAGCATGCAATTAATGGCGGAGCCAACTAAGGCCCACAAGGGTCAGTTGACCCTCCTCCAAATTATACAACAAATGCATTTGTTATGTGTTATATTTGATTTTCTTGGGTTTCTTTTATAGCTGACCCTTCTAACTTTCTAGATCAATTACCCTTATAACTTTCTAACTTTAGTTAATTGATCTTTCCCCCCTAATTATGTCTTTCATTATTACTCCATTTTTTCATTTCTAACTTCATTCTTTCTGTTCTTTCATTTATTGAGTTCTCTTATATTTTTTGTTATTGAATCGGCCATCAGAAGTAAATCTCCCAATACTAGCTATTCAGCTCTCTTTTGAGCAATGCATTATGGTTTGATTCATGTCAAATTATTTGTTCAATTCATTGTGCGATGCGATTATGATTTTAAAAGATGACATTAAATTATAACATATAAAAAATATTATCTTAATGTTCACCAAGTCTTTCTCAGTCTAATAATATTGATCCTTCTTAAGAGAATTTCTAGCTACGCCATTGCATGCAATTGCCCCCTAAAAAGATTTATATTTAAATAAAAACTTAAAATATAAACGATTTGGATCGTTGAAGTAGAATTCGTAGTAAACACACAAGATGTCCTGCAATAAAAATACGGTTACCTACAAGTAGTCAAGAAATTGAAATGCAATAATGATAGGTTTGTCATTGAGCATATTGTTTCGAAGCATAAATTTGAATGTTCTTGCATTATTTTTAGTTGGAATCATCTTTTCATTATTTTCTCATACTTGTCTATTCGAAATCGACTTTGCAATGAACAATACTTGACAGCTACGAAAGATTAAAAAAAGAAAAAGAAAAAATGACTTCTATAAATAAATAATACAACAAAAGAACAAGTGACACTGATAATGTGCTTATCCATTTGATAATTGCTGACACAGTGTCAGTGTCAGCATTTTCTTTCTGGATGGCAACATTGTAATCATCCAATTGCCCTCAAGATATTTTTTTTTTTTTTTTTTTTTTTTTTTTTTTTTTTTTTTTTTTTACAATGGAGGAAGAGAAAAACTTGGGTTTCGAATCTGGGTGCCATGGAGGACTGGGCACCATTACTGTGTTGGGAACTTGGGAACTCATATTTGATTAAAGAAACTTGTCGACAAAACATAAAAGAAAGAAAGTTCTGACACACGCTAAGCATCTCCAACCGATGTGTCAAACGTGCTACATAGACATTTAATAGTTAAAAATAACATATCACAACTCCAACCGATATGTCAAAGCTGATGTAAAATGAAGGCTGGAGGTTGAGATGTTATTTTTGACATCCCAAAAGCAAGATGTCTAATGAATATTTTATTATTATTATTTTCTTTTCTTATTAATTAAAAATGAATCAACACTAAAATGTAATAAAGTAATAATTTAATTTGACATATCGAGTGGAGTGTAAAGCTGTGTAAGATGTCAAATTGCCACATCAACCATCAAATTTAAATTTGATGTTTGGTATTTGACATCTCTCTTGGAGATGCTCTTAGATGTTCAAACCAAGACGTCTGCAAGCTAAGACACTTTTTCACTTGGCTTAGACCCTCTTGCAGGACGATGAAAGAAAGGAGCACACAGTGATATGAAATGGAGAGAACCTTTTGCTTTTGGTCCACAAACGTGCTATGATATAAAATTGATATTCCTTTCACAACAACAAAACCACAAGCTACTTACGCTTAAGTAAATACATGGAAAGTTCCTAGATTTTAGTCTGATAAGTAAAGCAATAAAATAAGTAAAGCAAAGAATATAACTTTAAGAACAATAGTCATAAAGATGAATGGAAAACCACATTGCACGCTTTTCTTTTTCAGGCTGCATCGTAAGGATCTAATTGATAGAAATTTGTGCACAAAAAAGTATAAGAAGGAATTTTCTTTCACATATATAATTAATTACTGTCAACTTTCGGTCACAAAGAAGAATCACTAGTGTTGTGAATACTATATATATCAAACAAACAAGATGATCATTTGAATTACCCTACACAAAGAATTTGCAGTCAAGTATAGAGAGTGAAAGAAAGAAGAAAGGAGATGGCTTCAGCTGGCGTAGATCTTTTGATCGGCAAAATAGGTTCATTTCTTGAAAGCAGAGTTCCTCTGTTAGGAGGAGTTGGTGATGAACTTGAGCATCTCAGGAGTGAGTTGCTCACCATGAAAGCCTTCTTGGAAGATGCCGAAAGAAACGGAGCTCTCAGTGAAATTGAGGAAACCTGGGTGGCAAATGTGAGGGACCTGTCCATCGATGTTGAAGACATCATTGACGAGTTCAAATATCACGAAAATGAACAGAGAAGTTGTGATCCATACACAAGAGCCTTTCGTCAAACTATTTTCTTACCGTTGAACCTTTGGGAAAGGCATCGGATCACCACCAAATTGCAGAAGCTCATCATCAAAACAATCAGAGCCATTCCGGAAAGAAACCAACCTTATGGTGTTGATCGTATAGATGGCATGACTAATTCCCATGTTTACGATCCCAATCGAGTCGAAATCTTCGGTGAGTTATCTCTTTTCTTTAAAGATGATGAACTTGTCGGAATCGAAGATGCTAAAGAGAAGTTAGTTGGATGGTTGCTGTCTGGAGAGCCTCAAAGGACTGTAATTTCTGTGGTTGGTATGGGGGGTTCTGGCAAGACCACCTTAGTTGCAAACACCTTCAACACTCAAACTGTCAAGTTTGATTGCTATGCTTGGATCACTGTCTCAAAAACTTACAACATTGAAGATCTTTTAAGGGTCTTGATAACAGAACTTTTTACATCAGCAAGGGAAGATGTTCCTCAAGACTTGAGCAATATGAGCTACACACAAATGGTGGAAATTCTGGTCAACTATTTGCAGCCAAAGAGGTATGTGATTGTGCTAGATGATGTGTGGGATATTAATCTTTGGAGGCAAATACATGTAGCAGTTCCAGATGGAGCACATGGAAGCCGGATCATGCTCACAACTCGGAGAGAAGACATCGCTTCTTTCTCATTTGGGGCTGGATGTCATGTTCATCACGTTCAGCCTCTTAATGAGAATGAGGCTTGGGATCTCTTTCCAGGAAAGCTTTCTCTAGCCGGCCTGATAATTGTTGCCCACCAGAGCTTGAACCCGTTGCTAGGGATCTTGTTGGAAAATGCCAAGGCTTACCTCTGGGAATAGTGGCTTTGGGCTCTCTCATGTCAACCAAAAGGCTTGCGTCTGAGTGGACGGAATTTAACACTCGTTTGAGTTGTGAGCTAAGTAACAACCCGTTGCTTGAAGTAGTGAAGAGCATCTTGTTGCTAAGCTTCAATGACTTACCTTACCGACTCAAGCTATGCTTCCTATATTTCGGCATTTTCCCAGAAGATTACGTGATTGAATGTGATAGGCTTGTTAGATTGTTGATGGCTGAGGGATTTGTGGAACAAGTTGCAGGGGCTAAGCCAGAAGAGATCGCCGAAGGCTATGTAACGGAGCTCACTTGCCGATGCATGGTACAAGTTGTTAAGAGGGAACCATTTGGACGGGCAAAAGCGTTCAAGATGCATGACCTTTTACGAGAACTTGCTCTTTCAATTTCCAAAGTTGAGAACTTTTGTACCGTCTATAATGAGCAAAAAATGAAGGATGATAACAGACCTCCCCATCGCTTATCAATGCAAGCAAACTATGGAGAACTACAGCCACACGGAGACATGTCAAAGGTTCGCACATTCTTTATTTTTGTTCCTAAGATGGCTGATTCTTCTTCATTTCAAAAATTGCCATCTGGTTTCAAACTGTTAGAGGTCTTGGATCTTAGACATGTCCCGATTGTTCAACTCCCAGATGAAACAGTGAAGTTTTTTAACTTGAAGTATTTAAACTTGAAAGGAACAAAAGTGAAAGAGCTTCCGAGGGACATAGGAAACCTTTATAATTTGGAAACCCTGGACATTAGGCATTCCAAAATTAGGTCACTTCCAGATGGGACTGTTAAGTTAAATAACTTACGACATCTTTTGATGTACCATTGCAATTTTGAAGATCTTTTTAGGTCTTATTATTTCTTTGATGGCACACAAGTACCGCTGGACATATGTAAGCTAAAGAGCTTACAAGTTTTGGATGCTATCGAATTACAAGACGGGTTAACCAAACAACTTGCATACTTGACCCAACTCACAAGAATGAGCTCAACAAATGTGAGAGAGGCCGATGAGAAGGACTTGTGCAAGTCCATCGAAAGCATGAAACTCCTTGAACACTTGTTTGTCCATACAAGTACAGAGGATGAAGTGCTACGCTTGGATGCATTGCCGTCAGCTCCTCCTGTACTCAACGCACTTGGTCTAATTGGAAAATTAGAGAGGGTTCCGCTTTGGTTTCATTCTCTTCAAAACCTTACAGCACTGAGATTGCATTGGTCAAGATTAACAGAAGATTTTCTTCCTCACATCAAAGCTCTGCCTAATTTGGCCATACTTCGGCTAAACAAGGCATACGTCGGAAATCAATTGGTCTTTCATACAGGATTCCCAAAGCTTGCTGAATTGTACCTAATGGATTTTCCTCAGTTGAATGAGATCGTCATAGAGAGGGGGGCGATGCCTGCATTACAGACACTGGTAATTACTGAATGCATGGGGTTAAAGCAATTGCCTATTGGAATCGAACACCTTACATGTCTCCAAAATTTGAGTTTGGTAAGTGTTCCTAATGAGCTCGTAGAGCGAATACGCGGAGAAGGAAGCTTGGATCATGCCAAGGTTGAGCACATCTCTGAAATCAGTTATCACCACAAAACTGAACTTGGGTGGTCGGGAGAAAGACTGCGATCCTCCCTACAATGGGTTGTTCGACCCTCATTTTCTTCGGTCGACATCCTTACCCGGGATGGGCTACCTATTTTACCAGGTGATGACTCTTTTTTCATGCTTGGTTTCTTCTATTATGCCCTGTTGTTTTCCTGCTCTCTTAATTAGTTGTAAATTTTTTACAGGTAATTGACTGGAGCTCAACAAATTAAGGAGCCTCCGCTTTGGATTGATCAGTGTTCATCTCTAAATTGGAGCAAACCATTGCAAAATTTGTGTGCCTTTCCAATCCTATGAGATCATGTCCAAGACTAATATTATTACCACATTTACGGCTTAAATGTAAACTGTATCGGTATTGCTACTTCTTTTTCTTTTTACCACAATTTAAGTTAAGGACCAAAGCTACTAAAACGCTATAGAAGTATTCTTAGGCTATGTTAGGTGAGTTGGCGTGGACTAGACAAGTACACAATTAAATTAGAAATTTGTCCAGTCTGTTGTTTGGTGGGCTTATGTTGATCACAGACTCGTTAAGACTCATATTTTTATTTCGGATATCAATCCATCATATGCTAGATTTGAAAACCCACGTAGCAACATGGGTTTCGAATGAACTTGAGCTCGTATTTGTAAACCACGTGTCCTTCTCGTACAAGTGACTTGGGCCCTGGGCTGACGCTTGAGCTCGTATGTAGCCACGTAGATGAGTAATTTCCTATGGAGGATCTGCACACTTGGAACAATATCAGAATAACGGTGGACTGGGTTTGATCCCAATTCAGACCCCTTCGATGGTTAAGTCAGAAACTAACTTGAGCTAGAGAGAAATGGATATAGGGTTTCCACAGTGAGTTTATTTATTACCTTTGTCTAGAGATAGGTGAGGGGTATTTATAGGAGAGAGAAGGAGAGGTCAAGATATTTTTGGAAGAGATCTTTTCCCCTCTCCTGAATTACATTTAATGTTCTATTTCATATCACCATGCTGCTTGACAGGAGTCAAGCAGTGAAGTGACAGGCGGATATGAATGGGAGGTATATTAAATGATCCATTTTCATCACCAGCCTGTCCACTTGGAGATGAAAGGGTAAGGCGACACATGGTCGAGGATGGGACACGCATTTAAATGACCCTCCTTGCTTGTCAAGTCTGTTCATCACAAGGGCGAAGTTTGCTAGTCATCCACGCGTTTCTGGTGAATAGAACAATATCCTAGTGATCGGGTAGACATAAAAACACCACTGGCCCAGTCTATGGTCCATCATACTCCTCCGACTGATCGGTACGCAGGTGACTTGGTGTGTCATAGCCACATCTCTCTTTTGATGGGCTCGGCTCGTAGGGGTATGAACTATTAACAGTATTCCTCTGCTCCCTTCGTGTCTGCTACGTCTTCTTCTCTCTTCTATACTTTTGTTCCCTCTCCCTTTTTGTCATGGAAGACTTGTGTTTGGCTTCTGATTTCGCTCAACAGAAACATTTTTGTTTCAATTTTATTGTTAAATATTGAGATATTTTGATGATTGTTGTCTTGATTTTATGGGTTAGATGTTGAACGCTATGTTTCTTTAATGTTGACCTGAAACTAACTATTTGAGTTCTCTTTTGAGATAAATCCACTCATATCAAGATTTTGATACGAAATGTATGGTCGCTCTCTTGATCCCAAATGAAAATAATTCGACTTAAATTCACCCAACATAAAAAAAATTCTGTCAACGGTGCCACCAGTGACATGGCCTTGTCCAATTAGGGAGGTTATTTATTTTTATTTTTTGGTGCAGCCCTAGTTTACTTTATTGAGCCCTGGGCCATTTTCGGCCATATGATATTTGCTTTTTGGCAATACAGAAAAAGAGTCACTGCTGCTACCCATATCTGTTTGGAAAAGCAAGTTCAGGTTCAATCAATCGAGACCTTCTGTGGTGCATCAGCTGTACCGGTACAGCCACTCACGTGGGGGTGTTTTTAAAACAAGGGAAAACGGTTGTGCTGGTTAACAGGTTAAAAACAAGGGGAAAAATTGACGCGCCTACTTCACGACACTCCTTCCCCTTCTTCCTAATACCTCACCTACCCTTCTCTCTGGTTCATTTTCTCTCTGTTTGGCTCAATTCTAACGTAGTATCATGACTGATTTCTCTTATTCACATGCTTGAATCAACCCTCTTCTTAGAAATCCCAAATTTATTTGATTTCTTCTATTTCCCCAAATCTGATTCACCTTTGATTCATTAAACTTCAACTATTATTTATTATGGCTTGTACTAAATCTCTAGTTGCTGCCCTTCTACTAAATCCAAATGGAGCAGATGCACACAAAGTTGCAGTCATGAGCTGATGAAAACTTCCATCTCCTGCGAAATATGTGAAAAATGGAGAAGCTGGGATGGGTTTGATTGATTTTTGGGTTTAATTGATTTTTCATGTTTGGGTTTGATGGAGCTGTGTTTGATTCTTGATGTCTTGGTTTGATTGATTTTGATGTGTTTGTGTTTCTTTTAGACTGTAAGAGAGAGAGAGAGAGAGAGAGAGAGAGAGAGAGAGCTGAGGGAATGGGGGAGGGGTAGAGGTGTCGGGAAGGGAAGGAGGGGATGGGTTAGCTATTTTTAGTGGATGGGCAATTTGCTACATTCAGAGTCATTAATCTATACAAAGTCATTCCGTTTTGGCGTCATGATACGTGCAATTGCATAGTCTTTTTACAATTATCCAATTATTATGAGTAATTACATGTGAGTTCACAGTATGTCTTGAAATTTTATATGCAATTATTTACAATGGATGTGCAATTGCACAACAATTCTAGGACATGCATTAACAACTGAAACATCGACAAAGGCATAGTCTCTTTGAAATTCCTTCCACTATATGGAAATTGCATGGTTGTTAATACAAATGCTAACGACACAAATTACGTTCAATTACACATTACTCATATCACAATTGAATTTGTAACTTACATCCTAGAGTCGAATAAGTATAAGAAATCGTTATTACACTTCATAACTTAGACCCTAAAGCCTAATAAGCATATAATTTAAATAAATAAAAAAACCCCTTAAATATCAACATACCATCCATTAGAATCACTAATAATCCTATCGCTCAAAATAAGTGACTGATTAATTGGTTCTCCATTTTTCTTGGCAAAAAAAAAAACTGGTTTTCTTTTTAATTGTTTCATATACTATATACTCATTAAAATATTATATTTGACTAAAAAAAAATTAAAATATTATATAATAATGTATAGATACACATAGAAAAGAATAATTAGACTATCTATATTATATTTAGACCAAAAAAATAAAATGAATATAACTAATGTAGGGTTTAACATTGCAATTGAGAGCCATACTGTAAATCTAAGCTATTTACTCGAGACCTGAATCCAATTTCTTCACCTCACAGAGGTAAGGCCAAGGATTAAAATATCAGCTATGCAAATGATATCGGGCCTCCAATTTATGGATATTTCGGGGGATATATTGTTATCGTTTTAGGTATCAAGAAAAAAGAAGACAGATATAGGCATTGAAACATATAATTTTGGTATAAAATTTTCATAAACGTTATGTACATTATCAATGAATGTATTGGACAAATAAAACTCAAAATTTACTAATAATAAGATATACATATGATAAAATATAAGTAGTATGTAATGCACGTTAATGAAAAGTTTGAAAATAAAATGTTGATTAAAATGAATAAACCATGCATAAATCCATAGTTTGTTTTAACATTGGATTACAATTTAGATAAGTGTCCATAGCTCCAATGAGGTTCAAACAATGAGAAACAACCATCTAGATTCATACAATAGTCATACTAAGTCACGTAACTCGAGCAGTTTGTAAGCCATGTTTGAACATGGTGCACATAGGTCTCTCTTGAGCTCCCTACTATCTTCCCATTTATGAGATAGTTAGGATTAACCCAACTAGTAGGAAGGGGCGGCCCTGGAATAATGCAAGCGGCGCAATGCACAGGGCCCCTGATTTTTGAGGACCCCTTAAATTTTTTTATTTTATATAATTTATATTAATATTATAACAACTGTATATATACTCCAACGTGCAACAAATTGACACAAAAATTTATTTAGTGGAGTTGGTTTCTAGTGCATATCCCTTGGTACAAGGGTTATGTGGAAAATTTTAAGAACAAAATTTTAATAGTTTTAAAAAAGAAGCATGTGAAAAATATAAGGGGAAAGATCCAATTAAATAATAGTATATATCACACCCATACACTTTTTCTTTAAATAATAATAATAATAATTTCTTCGACTCAAAACAAAACAAAACAACATAAAAAATAAAAAATCATATCTTCTTCTTTCTCATGAACTATTATTTTTTCTTACTGAACATACCAACATTTAAATTTATCAAATGAACGCAACATACTCAACAAACGCAACCCTTGCGTTCACATGAAAAAAAAAGTGCATTTGTTTGAAAAATAAAGTTAGTGGGGTCCATTTTCCCAGGGAACGGGCAACTTTACTCAACGAACGCACTCCTTGCGCTTGCGTGAATAAATATCCCGTTTCTTTGAAAAAGTAAGTTAGTGGAGTCCATTTTCCTGGGGAACAGGTAACTTTACTCAACGAACACAGCCTCTACGTTTGCCTAAACAAAATAGCCCGTTTGTTTGAAAAAGCAAGTTAGTTGGGCCCATTTTTCCGGAGAACGGGAAACTTTACTCAATGAATATAACCTCTACGTTAGCGTGAACAAATAGCCCGTTTGTTTTAAAAAGTAAGTTAGTTGGGCTCATTTTTCCGGCGAACGGGCAACTTTACTCAACGAACGCAACCCCTGCGTTTACGTGAACAAATAGCTCGTTTGTTTGAAAAAGTAAGTTAGTTGGGCCTATTTTTCCGGGAAACGGGCAACTTTACTCAACGAACGCAATCCCTGCGTTTACGTGAACAAATAGCCTGTTGTTTGAAAAAGTAAGTTAGTTTGGCCCATTTTTCCAGGGAATTGGCAACTTTACTCAACGAACGCAACTCCAGCATTTGCATGAACAAATAGCCTGTTTGTTTGAAAAAGTAAGTTAGTTGGGCTCATTTTTCCGGGGAACGGACAACTTTATTCAACGAACGCAACCCATTGCGTTCGCGTGAATAAATAGCCCGTTTGTTTAAACAAATAAGTTATTTGGACCAATTTTTCTTAGGAGCTGGCAGCTTTACTCAATGAACGCAGCCCTTGCATTCGCGTGAACAAATTTCCCGTTTGTTTGAAAAAGTAAGTTAGTTGAGCTCATTTTTTGAGGAACGGACAACTTTACTCAACAAACGCAACCAATTGCGTTTACGTGAACAAATAGCCCGTTTATTTGAAAAAGTAAGTTAGTTGGGCCAATTTTTCCAAGGAGCGTACAACTTTACTCAACGAACACAACCCTTGCATTTGTGTGAATAAATAGCTTGTTTGTTTGAAAAAGTGAATTAGTTAGGCCCATTTTTCAGGGAATGGGCAACTTTAGTCAAGGAAAGCAACTTCTTGCATTCGTGTGAACAAATAGCACGTTCGTTTGAAAAAATAAGTTACTTGGGCCCATTTTTCTGCGGAACGGCCAACTTTACTCAACGAACGCAACTCTTGCATTCGCGTGAACAAATAGCCCGTTTGTTTGAAAAAGTAAGTTAGTTGGATCTATTTTTCCGGGGAACAGGCAACTTTGCTCAACGAACACAACCCCAGCATTTGTGTAAACAAATAGTCCGTTTGTTTGAAAAAGTAAGTTAGTTGAGCCCATTTTTCCGGGAACGGGAAACTTTAATCAACGAACGCAACCCCTACGTTTACATGAAAAAAATAGCCCATTTGTTTGAAAAAGTAAGTTAGTTGGGTCCAATTTCCGGCAAAACGGCCAACTTTATTCAACGAACGCATCACTTGTGTTGGCGTGAAAAAATAGCGCGTTTGTTTGATAAAGTAGTTTAGTTTGTCCAATTTCCCGGGGAACGACGAAATTTACTCAACGAGCGCACCCCTTGCGTCCTCGAAGTAAAATACCTTGTTTTTTGAGTAAATCATGGAGTTCATTGGGTAATTTGGTCAACGGACAACATCATTTACCTGACGAATGAGTCGCTTAGCGTTCGTTAGGTAGGTTCGTTGGCATAAATTACTGAATATAATTTCGTGATTTACTACTAATTTAACCCAATGAACTATTGGGAATAAAATTGAACTTCGTTGATTATCTCCAATTATTACTATATTGTTAATTAAAGTTAATAATAATATCAAACATATGATTGTTGATACAAATATAAATTTAAAAACTTTCAACAAAAATTATTACTTAATGGTCGATTGATTGAGCCACATTGAATTGACGAAAAAAAAATTGGACTTTTTCAATTATGATCAATGCCCAACTGATAATATATGACCATGAAGTGAAGTGGAAGTATGAGAAGTCTTCTTATATCCAATCTCATTGCATAGCCCACATACGAATCATATTCCAAGGATTGTTGTGCTATTATGATTATGGACTAAATAACATAGAGGCTTATTATCACAAAATGTCCCTAAGGTTGACGAAACTATCAGATTTCTTTTTTTTTTTTTTTTTTTTTTTTTTTGTGATCCTCAAGATTAGTATGCATTATTACAAATGGTCTCTGCCGTTAGGTTCCGTAAAAAACTCTATTAGTTTGCTGACGTGACATATATGTACATCACAAAACATCCTTGAGGTTCACACACCTATCACAAATGGTCCTTACAAAATTTTTTAATTTTTTAAATTTAAAATTCATAAAATTTTTGTTTTCTTTTTAAAATTTTATGAAGTATAATTATTTTAAAAAATATATTAAATTTTAAATACATGTGACATTATATTATTGTAGATGTGGGCTCCATATATGCCACATCAACAAACTAATGAAGTTTTTAAAAAATAATTTAAAATTCATAAAATTTAAAAATGAAAAAAATTAAAGGTTTAGGGTTCATAAATGGTCCCCAAGATTAAAATCCTTCTATAAATGGTTTTTTCATTTATAAATAATTTTAAAAAGAAAACCAAAATTTTATGAATTTTAAATTAAAAAAATAAAACAAACATGGGGACCATTTGTGATAAGTGTGTAAACCTCAGGAATGTTTTGTGATATATATGTACGCCACGTCAGCAAACTAATAGAGTTTTTAACAGAACCTAACGGCAAATACCATTTATGATTGCACATACACCTTGAGGACCATAAGTAACACAAAAAAACATTAAGAATGCAATCTGATAGTTTCGTAAACCTCAAGGACGTTTTGTGATAATAAGCCTAACATGGATGAAAACAAAGATTTTGCCCATAAATGATGGTGAAATATCCAGAAAAGAACGCAATATCACATGTTTGGCTTTAAGACATATATTTAACATCCTTTCATATTATTTTATTTTACATAATTCAATTATGCTTAACGTATGAAATGACCAATGTGCCCTCATATTTAATGACAGATTGGACGAAATGTTAGGGAATTAAACGGCAGGGGAGACATTGGCGATAAAGAAAATTCATATCCGTAATTTTATAAAAAAATGTCATGCGATAAATTGAAAATTGAATACAAGTTCAAGGACTAAATCAACAATTTAGCCATGTTAATGGTTTTTGTGGGCATATATCGCATATTTGATAGCACATGTGTGCAATTCTCAATTTGCAGTATCCATATGCATATGCCTGTATGCAATCTCGTAGCATCTATGTGCAATCTCATTTTACAATATGCAATTGCATACATATGTATGCAATTTCGTAACATCTGTTTGCAATTATTAGTTTACAATATGCAATTGCATTCCGCCCTTATTTTGGTTTTTAACTTTTTTCGTTCATATACCTGTATGCAATCTCGTTGCATCTATGTGCAATTCTCATTTTACAATATGCAATTGCATATATATGTATGCAATTTCGTAACATCTGTTTGCAATTCTTAGTTTACAATATGCAATTGCATTTCGCCCTTCTTTTGGTTTTTAACTTCTTTCGTTTTTACTAGAAGGCTCATTGGCTCACACTCTTATAATGTATGCAAAGATCACCAAATTTCCTCTTTTTGGCTAGAGGGCCTCTTTTTTTTGTGTGTTCATTTGCATGACAATACAGATAACCTACTGCTACCTAAAAGCTTTAGAAGATTAAATGTGATATCATCTATTTTCTCTAACCAAGACTACATGTCACATAAATAAGAAATAAGATCTCAAAAAAGAAACAGAAACAAAGAAAACACTTCACCTAAAATATTTTGTAATACGTTTAGCTCAATTTATAACTTGTAGAGTACACAAATGTTAGCCCAGAAGAAGGTGAGAATCTCACCAAGTACGCATGAAAAATCCAAGTGAGCATACCCCTTCCTGCAAATGAGACGGAGGTAGAGATAGATTATTTAGACACTGTGATGGTATCTCAAAACATATATTTTAGTGCAACAAAAATGCACTTTTCTTAACTGCTCTTTTCCTGAATCCTTAGCCAAAGCAACCAATATATAGCAGTTACGGCAATCACAGCAACCAATACCAATCATGAACATCACATTTGAACCATACACTTACCGATTTAGCAATACAATCTTTGAAATGGTAATGGCAACCCAAGACACTGAGCTCCATTCCGCATATACAAACAGCAGCCATTGTGTTAGGAAGCTCTTCCCTCATAACACCCATCAGCTTTTCAAGTGACTGAGTTGGTCACTTGAAAGCCCTTGAAAAAATCACGTTGGGAATTCACCTTCCTAAAAATGATTGCACAAGAAAACCATAGCCAATTTTTTTTTGGTGAGACATCGCTGATGCATTTCATGAGCATTTTCATAGAGCTCATAAACTTCTACGCTAAGACTAATTATATCAAATTTGACCAGATCCAAAAGCATTCAGAAAAAGGAATAAAAATAGAATTTCAACATCCCATATGGTCAACTTCAATGCTAGAAATGAAAGAACAACGAACATTGCATTAACCACCAAAAGTATGCAAATTACATAATGAAATTGCACTCATATAAAAGCAAAACAATGACTTGGGAACAAGTCACAGTCTTGCAGGAACAATGAGCACTCTAATGGAAATTAAAAGTATACTCATCCATAAGCCATAAATCAAAACTAGCAGTTAGCTACAAAAGTTTACAACACATAAAAGCATTAAGAATGTGCATAACACAAAAGATTAAAAACATATAAAAGGAGTGTCCAAGTTTTCTGATTCCTTTGGGATCAAACATAACATTGATCTCATTAAATCATACATGTGCAACAGATAATGTGTATCTTCTCTGGCATATCTGACCATCTCCTCAGGAAGAGGGCGTAATCTCCAATCTACATTCTGGTATTCTTTGTTAGCAGTAACACCACATAACTGATGTAAAAGATATTCCAAACTATTTCTCTCCATTTTCAATACCCTTGAGGCCTGGCCAGTATCAAACAAATTGCAGATATAAATGCCAAAATCGCGTTGGAGCCACATGATATCTCCAATTGCCAATGCTAATGCAAATTAAAATCACGGAGTATTCAAGATTACAAACCAGAATCGTGGTGATTGCAGAGCAGAAGAGCCACGTCATAAAAACTGCTACCTATTAGGAAAATCCAAAAACAAAACTTGACTCAATAGCAGAAACATACCACCAATTTATGTAATTCTTTCAAAAAAAATGTTAGCTGAGATTGTTGGCTTCGCTTTCAGAATACCCTGAAGGAAAACCCACTTTAAAGAATCTAATTTCCAAAGCATATTAAGCTTCAATTAGAAACAGAACAGTGCATCCAAAAGCTGGGTTTATGGAGAGAGAGTATGAAAACATGAGTTTACGATAACTTACATAACTCTATACCTTTTTCATGATGAGCTTTCACTTATGAAAACACTTCAATTTAGACATGTGAAAACTCTAAAATTGGGTTCCCAAATTAAATTTCTTTGTTTTGTTTGTCATATAATTCACACTATTAACAAGAAAGATTACGCAAGCAGTCAATTGGAGTTTTCTCTTTCGTACCAATTTCCTTCGGCGCTACATTCGTCAAAAGCTGCCATTTTTTGCATTCCGAAAGTTACCTGCAAAATGTTTATAAATCAAAATTAAGAAAGAATACCAATTAAAACCAAATTGGGATGAAAGTTAAAAAAAACACACTGAGAAATTACAACAATTTGTAAGCTGCAGCGTAAAGGAAGAGTTGGAAAGCATTGAATTTTCCACTCTCAGGTTGCACCCTTTGTAGCCAAAAAGATAAGAAGGATCAACGCCCAAATTGAGAATTGGAGTTTCGTATACATTTAGTTTTATTTTTGCCCAATTATTTCACAGAGAGAGAGAGAGAGAGAGAGAGAGAGAGAGAGAGATTACATGGGAAGCAGGTGAGAAATTGAAGCTAGCGTGCAGGAAGCCATCGTTGTCCGTTGGCCGCTGCGTTATCCTCCATTCCGATCTTAGGTTTAGAGTTTTAGCAGTTCTTGTATAAATGTCCGATGGCTGTTGCATCTCGGCGTCGGCAGAGGTGAGACGCCCAGATTCTGATTTGGGGACATAGATGACGATTGGATTTCCAAGAGAGAGATCGATTGCAGAGATAAGCAGCTCCAGTGCACGCGAGGGCTTCCGCGCGTTCGTCGAAGCTTTTTACTTGTTATCTCAGTCACGTGTATGTCACGTGATAATTAATAACAATACAAATTTATAAATAAACCCAATCCTAGATATGTATTTATAAAAAAACCCAAGCACTATTTAAACATAGAAACACACCCAAAATCAACCCCAAAGTCAACTTTTTGGGTGTGTTTATAAATGGGTTTTGAGTGTGTGTAATGATGAGTTTTGGGTGTGTTTATAAAGTGTTTTGGGTGTTGGGTTTTTTTTATAATTTCAACCTCCATTTTGGGTGTTTTAGTGAAACTCCCTAATAACAAAGGGCTCAACAAGTCTTCAGGTCATTCAATCTCAGCCCTTCATTTTTAAAATGCAAACTCAACCTTTGGATAAGTGGTACCGGTACAGCTGAGGCACCACAGAATTTTCGCAATCAATGTGCCATTTTAGTGTATTGAGCCCTGGCCTGTGGCCTTGCCTGATGAATCTGACATCCACTATTTATAGAAAAATCAATTCCAAGTTGCCAAACATAGCTGTTTGATAAAGCACGTGACGACTGTTTGGAAAAGCACTTGATGAATCAAAATATCAATTTAGTATATTAATGGTAGGATATAAAGGTCTTTCTAGGCTGCAAAACCCTGGTTCTCAATTGCATTCATATGAAATATGTTTAATCATGTAGGAGTTGATACTTTATCTCAAACTAGACCCTTGGAGCTGAATTTTTTTGTTATCTTCAAAACTAAGTTATATACATACCTTTGGAGGCGATTTCATGGTGGAAATGGTGTCACTTGACTGTATGACTACTGCCAGAGAAGTCCTCCCTAAATCAAAGACTACTACAAAAAGTGAAAAAGACGACCAAAAAAAGATGACGGTAGAAGAAAAAACCGCCGTTGTATTTAAAAAGACCATGGTAACAAAAAATCGTCGTGGATAAGTGACTTAAACAACAAAAAAACGGAGGTACTGTTGAATATTTTTTTATAACGACGCACACAAATAAAAAAGTGTCGTCTTATTAAAAAGGTTTTCTTCAGAGTTAAAATCTGACCAAAAAACAACAACAGTATGTATGACAAGCTTCGTCTTTTAAAAATCAAGTGCCTTTTTTTTGGTAAAGACATGGCTGTTTTGAAAGAACCGTCGTCTATTATATGTAAAGATGACGTTTTTTATACAAACCGTCGTATATTATTTGTAAAGATGACGCTTTTTATAAAAACCGTCGTCTATTATATGTAAAGATGACATTTTTATAAAACCGTCGTCTATTATATGTAAAGATGACGTTTTTTATAAAAACCGTCGTCTATTATATGTAAAGATGACGCTGTTTATAAAAAACCGTCGTCTATTATATATAATGGATGACGCTTTTTATAAAAATCGTCGTCTATTATATGTAAAGATGACGCTTTTTATAAAAAAACCGTCGTCTATTATATATAATAGATAACGCTTTTTATAAAAAAACCGTCGTCTATTATGAAGTAAAGATGACAGTTTTTTTTTAAAAAAAAATGGTCGTCTATTATATATAAAGATGACGCTTTTTATAAATAAATAAAAAATGATCGTCTATTATATGTAAAGATAATGGTTTGTTAAAATAACCATTAAATCATGATTTTTCATTTATAACCGTCGAAATTTTTTGTCCCGTTACTTGATCTCTGAATGTTTATTTTTTCCGATTTTTGGTGTATATGATCTCGAAGTATAAACAAACAAGTTTGATGGTTGGATCGTTGAAACTAGTTTCTTAGAATGTGTATGCCATCAAAACAATATATTCACTAACAATTAAGAGTTTATTTATACTTTCGTTAAATATAACATAAGATTTTGTGGTATCCACTAGTGTAAATATTTTAAATTGAAGATCAAATTCAATCATTGTATTCATATAGGGTCAAGGAGTGTAGCGGTAAAAAATCATCAAAATCGGAGTTAAAATAACCGTTAAATCATGATTTTTCATTTATAACCATCGAAATTTTTTGTCCCGTTACTTGATCTCTGAATGTTTATTTTTTCCGATTTTTGGTGTATATGATCTCAAAGTATAAACAAACAAGTATGACGGTTGGATCGTTCAAACTAGTTTCTTAAAATGCTTATGCCATCAAAACAATATATTCACTAACAATTAAGAGTTTATTTATACTTTCGTTAAATATAACATAAGATTTTATGGTATCCACTAGTGTCGTCTATTATATGTAAAGATGATAGTTTTTTTTTAAAAAGGGTCGTCTATTATGAAATAAAGATGACGATTTTTATAAAAAAAACCGTCATCTATTATGTAAAGATGACGCTTTTTATAAAAACCGTCGTGTATTATATGTAAAGATGACGATTTTTATACAAACCGTCGTCTATTATATGTAAAGATGATGCTTTTTATAAAAACCGTCTTCTATTATATGTAAAGATGACGTTTTTTTATAAAACAACCGTCGTCTATTATATGTAAAGATGACGCTGTTTATAAAAAACAGTCGTCTATTATATGAAAAGATGACGCTTTTTATAAAAAACCGTCGTCTATCATGTGTAAAGATGACAATTTTTTTTTATAAAAAAAAGCGTCGTCTTTTAAAACACGCTAAAAAATGGGTGCTTAAGTGCATTCGTGCTCGACAAATTTTCAAATTTTCACCCGTCTTTGAAAACTTTATCTCTCATTAACAAGCGTCGTCTTTTAAAACATGCTAAAAAAAGGCTACTTAAGTGAATTCGCGCTAGACAAATTTTCAGATTTTCCCTCGTCTCTGAAAACCTTATCTCTCCCTCCTTGAAACCCTCCTGCACTTTCTAAAACACCCTCATGAAACTCTCTACAAAATCATCAAAAAATCGATATCAATGAAGGAGTTGAGAGATTGAGGTCTTCGCAGATCCATAAATGTAGAGGGATGTTCTGTATTTGAGAATCAAAGCTGGTTGAAATGTTTGATTTGAAAGTCACCTAATCTCTTAATACCCTTATATATCTTGCTAGTGAATTCTAGATTAGTCTCTTTGCGTTTCTGGTATGTTCTTTGTCTCCCTAATTTCAGATTTTGTCTCTCTTGATTTGTCTGGTTTGTTTACATATTTTTTATATTTCTAGTTTCTTTTTAGATTTTCTGATTTGGTTATCAGGAGATGAGGAGGAAGCTTGCAAATTTATAACTTTTTCTTTTGCAGGTTTTCTATGTGAGTCGTATGTTTTTTTGTTGTTGAAAATTTGCAGGTTCTCGATGGTCTTTTTTATGCTCATTTTACAAGTTTTCTATAGAAATATGGACCAATGGTAAAATTTCTCTTCCACCTAATTTTTATGTTTATAATCTTAGTTTTTTTTTCTTTTTTTTTCTCTCTCTTTCTCATTTTGATTTATTTACAGGGATGATGGAGGAGACTTCAGTTGTGCATCATTTGTATGTTTGGATGAGGAATGCTTGGATTAGGAGTACGTAGGTCTTGTTAGGAATTATGTTTGTTGTAGAATAAAGATTGGTTAACTATGTAATAACTATTGAATCTTCAAGTTTTATGAAAGAAACTATTTTTGAGTGTATATATTCATTAATAAAGCATTATGGTTGGTTTTCTAGTTAAAATCGTTGTATACATCATAGGAAATAAAAAAGAACTAAAATGTAGCAGTTTGGAAACTTATTAGACGAGGGTTTTTATAATAAATCATGGTCTTTACAGATAATTAACGACGATTTTTATATAAAAAAAAGGTCGTCTATTATATGTAAAGATGACGCTTTTATAAAACTGTCATCTATTATATGTAAAGATGACGCTTTTTATAAATAAAAAAAAGTCGTCTATTATATGTAAAGATGACGATTTTTATACAAACCATCGTCTATTATATGTAAAGATGACGCTTTTATAAAACCGTAGTTTATTATATGTAAAGATGATGCTTTTTATAAAAAACCGTCGTCTATTATATGTAAAGATGACGATTTTTATAAAAACCGTCGTCTATTATATGTAAAGATGACGCTTTTTATAAAAAAAACCGTCGTTTATTATATGTAAAGATGACGCTTTTTATAAAAACCGTCGTCTATTATATGTAAAGATGACGCTTTTTATAAAAAACCGTCGTCTATTATATGTAAAGATGACGCTTTTCATAAAAAACCGTCGTCTATTATATATAAAGATGACGGTTTTTATAAAACAATCGTCGTCTTTTTAAACAATCCACGACGGTTTTCATAAAAAATCGTCCTCTTTACATAGAATACACGACGGTTTTATTAAAAATAGTTGTCTTTTCTCCTATAATTAATGATCTTTATCTCTAAACAACGACGATTTTCTTTAAAAACCGTCGTCGTTACAGATAAACAATGACGGTGAAAAGCTGTCGTAGTTTGACACCCAAATAGATGTCGGTCAATTTCACGACGGTGAATTCCCGTCATCTTTTGCCTTTTTTGTAGTAGTGAAAGGCTGTTTTGCTTCAAACATGGCTTACAAAGTGCTCGAATTATATGACCTTGTATGACTATTGTATGAATGTCGATGGTTGTTCCTCATTGTTCCAACCTAATAGGAGCTCTTCATTTATGTAGATTCTTTGGGAGCAAATATTTTCATCTCCAATTAAGATTTTTCTCAAGTTAGAAAGTAGAGAAGTTAAGTTTGCGATGTGAAAAAGAGTGAAAAAAAGCACTGCATTTCTACTGGTTGGGGATCCTAGGCAAGAAGGGATCGCAAACCCAACTCCAAGAAAAGTCAAAAGCCCAGTCTAATTTGGAATCCAATATGCAAAAGGAGTACAACTCACTGAAGAAAGCCCAGACACAGTTAGAGAGCCCGAAAAATAATGTCATCTCCTACATGCCACACAAGTGCCATGCAGAAGCTGGGGGCATTTGACAAGACCCGACCCAAATTCCACTTTGAAATCTACTCCGAACCCTGTGTATGTCTGACACCTGGAAGGTGCCGGGCACACTTGACCAAATCGCTCTTCTAACTAAGTCTCAATTTTTATTTTATTTTTTTAAAGTTTGACTTCTGCTAGAAATTTGGCAAAATCTCCCCTATAAAATAGACATTTACCAAATTATCTTCACCGGTAAAAATCACAATTTAATATTTCCCAACTTCAGCATGCACAATGCTAACACGCACAATTTACTAGAGGAGCCTCCGGCCTCAAATTCAACCTTACCGAGGCAATATCAACGTAATCTACGAATTTGTTTCACTTTACAAATAGCCACTAATTCCAAAGCATAACTCAACCGTTTATTTTGTTGCAGCACCTTGGTTAACCTAGGTTGCCTACGTACCCTTACCGAGGGATCAAGCCATACGTAATTCTTTCACTTTTTATATTTGCATATAAGAGCATCCACAATGGGAGGGTGTATAAGGGGGTGTATGTTAAATATACACCCCTTGTCACCGGAATCATCTTCAATGGGGAGATGTAAATGGTTGTAAACATACATCACCACCATGGAGATGTAAAATAAAATGCACATTTGCATATGTTTTTACATCTTTTTCAGGCAGGGCCCACCCGAGAAAAGATAGGGAAAATGAAGAAAATGGGATGTAAAAGTGGTTTACATCGTTTCCCATTGGAGCAAAAAACGTATTTACACCCCCCGAAGGTGTAAAGGGGATGTAAAAGTGGCTTTACACCCCCCGAAAATACACCCCCCCAATGTGGATGCTCTAAGTAGGCTACTCAAATAATTTCCTCAAATCCATAATTCAATTTATATTTTACTTGCATAAATCATATATAAAAACAACCAAATTCATAAAGCACTTTTAATTCTTCCTTCAAAACTCACATAAAGCTCATGTACGCAAATGAAGAACAAAACCATTCATTCCTCCAATTTTCAACATAAATTATAAGTATATAAAGATACTTAATCAAATAAAATAAAAAAAAACCCTCATGAGTAATTCAAATAAATCTGCTGAAACTCAAGCAAAGGCAATTGATTTCAGAACAATCTACCACCCATCACATATGTGCATACATAATTATATATATATATATATATAATAGCTCATTACTTAAGAGAATAATTGTGAATCGTATAAAATCCTTAAAACTTATAAACCTTCATTCCTTGTCTCATAAAATCAGAAAAATAGGTATTAAAACTTTTACCCAAAAATACCAAGATAAAATCCTCAATTTTAGTTTAAACATCTTAAAACCCGAATATTCTCCGCCTAGACGTACCCCCATTCATATTCCGTCAGCACATATATGTGACACATCCTAGCAGGCATCGGTAACACAAAGTCAACCTGAGCCGCATTCCTTGTAGGCCTCGAGAATAGAAAGTCAACCCTAGCCACATTCCTCACAAGACTCAGGGGACTCTTAGTCGACCTGAGCTGCATTCCACGCAGAACTCGAGAGACATGTAGTCAGCCTGAGAATGCATATCCTCACACCACACAATTCAGGCGTCCTCGAAACTCGTGGGGCATTATCATAAATGACAAAACTGTTTCAAGGCAACTGGGGAGGGAGGGTTGTGTACATTGGCATATGGTACGGATTATCGATCAGGGTTTCTTCATTATTGTATGTACTGCTTGCGGATAAGTTGGTACTCAAAATAATTACAAACTGGAAAATTAGCCAACTAATAGGAGAAAAAACTGACTATCCCAATTATATATATATATATATATGTTTATGGAAAGTATTTGTTTTCTTCTCCTACTTTCCCATTAATCACAATTTAACATATATTCATACATTTCTGATCGACATCGCACCAAAGCTTGAATTCAATGTTGGTGATTGGGTGTATTTGCGCATTCAGCCTTGGTCCATGCGCATCTCTTCTACTTTGTGAAATAGACTAATTATAATTGTAAAACCATATACCGAACTTTATCATAAAATTTCCCATACTCCACAGATCCATATTTCAAATCTTTTCTCAACTTTCCAAAATCAGTTCTCAACTACCTTTGAATCTACACCCCATATTGTTGAGAACTAGTGTCCATAATTATCATTTTCAAATCACTGAGTATATATATGTATAAATTACTCAAAGGGTCCTCAAACTTGTACTCGATTTACATTTTGGTCCATCAATTAAATTATTTGCTCAAATGGTCCATTAACTATATATTAATCGCTCCATTGGTCCAATCGTTACATTCTGTCAATGTTGCTGTTAAATATGAGGGCAAATTGGTCATTTCGTATGTTAAAAATAAATAAATACTGAAAAATAAAATAAAATTTTTGTACGTTAAAAATAAATAAATACTGAAAAATAAAATAAAACTCTCTCTCTCTCTCTCTCTCTCTCTCTCTCTCTCTCTCTCTCTCTCTCTCTCCATATTCCCTCATGGCCACCACCCTCAAGCTTCACCCCCCAAACCCATCCCACAACCACTCTCCACCCAAACCCATCTAACAACTACCCTCCAACCTAGGCCCCATGACCCATAACCCCAACTCCCCCTCCCCCTTGATTTCCCTTTGTTATTGAGAGACAACCACCCACCACCCTCTTCCCCACCTCATCACCCGCCAACCTCACCTCCTAAAATCACAGGCACTATCAATTTCTCACCCTCCAAGTGCACTCTCCTCTCCTCCCACCTCACTTCCTCATCTCCCAAACTACCCATACTCTTTCCCCACACCCACAAATCTATACCTATAGCAACCAATCCCTCCCTCCACCAAAAGTTCCTCCAGAAGCTTTTAGAACCATCATCCTACGTTCTAGAACCTTCTCATTCTTCCAACCCACCTGCCAAGTTCACGCCATTGGAGCAGTAAGTGGTGGACCTCAATGGAGAGGTCTATGGGGAATGGGGGAGAAGAAATCAAAGGGGGGGTTTGGGTCTTATGATTTTTTTTTCTCTTTTTCTTCAATTATTTTCAAATTTTGTATTTATTTTAACCCTATTTTATTTGTTAATTATGAAATGTCATATTTACCCTAAAATGTGGTTAAATTTAACAGAAAATTAGACGGTATGACCAATAGAGCAATTAATATATAGTTAATGGACCATTTGAACGAATAATTTAATTGAGAGACCAAAATGTAAATCGAGTACAAGTTTGAGGACCATTTGAGTAATTTTCCCTATATTAAATATAGACATGTACTTAGATATTTTACTAATTTATTATTCAAGTCGAAATCCGATTACATAGTAATTCATAAACATTAAATCATCCAACAACACTCAGTCAGATAATTTAATAATAATAATAATAATAATAATAATAATAATGCTTTTTGGCACAGGAAACAACACGTTGTTAGCCTTCCTTATGTCAAAAATTTTAATGAGAAAAATATACCTACTAAAGCTCGCCCAATTCAGATGAGTTAAGAAATAATAGAATTTTGTACAAATGAGATTGCAGAGTTGCTTCAAAAAGGCATAATTTGTAAGTCCCATAGTTGCTTCCCAGTCAGCAGAGCCCTGCCAAACCCAAGCGGTGGGCAGATTATGAAGACATCCAAGATCCCAATGATCTTGACTCCGACTAAAGCAAGCCAGTCACATGTGCCTCCACAGTTGAAAGTTCCCCGACAAGTCATCATAAAAGTCTCCAATTAAAAGTAGAAGTAAAAGTGAAAGTAAAAGCAGAAGTTGATTCCCCGACAAATGAAAGTAAAAGCAGAAGTCAAAGTTGCAAAAGTGAAAGTAAAAGTAGAAGTTGATTCCCCGACAAGTGAAAGTAAAAGTAGAAGTTAAAGTTGCACTAGTGTTACTAGAATGATTTTACCATAGTTGTTTTAACCAGAGCTAGTAGTCTTTCTATTTAAGTTGGCTTCGGCCTCAGTTGTAATCAGAATACATTTTAGTTTTCATAGTTTTAGAGCTCTCTCTGAGATTCCCTCACTGAGAACTTCCAGTATAAAACTAAGTACTATGATGTATCCTCCTTACTATCAATAAAATCTTCCAGTCATTATTATTATTATTATTATTATTAATAAATAAATAAATAAATAATAACCCCTAGAGATTCCATTACTTGCAATAAGGCATAATCTCCTAATATCCTAATATCAAAATTAACACCCATGAATACAATAAAAATACTTTAATATAGTCTCAAAATCCAACCATAATCAAAATAGTTCACATAACAATCAGGCCTCGTTTATAGGATCGTTCTTGCTCTTCTCGAAGGATAAAACTAACTCGGAAGACTCTCGGTCAACCGAGTGGTCAAACTTCCCAAATATGGTCCATTGGGCCTGATAGGATTTTTAGTACCTGCGCAAACAGGGTTAAAATCACTGAAAATACTTGCAAGAATACAAGGTAATTGTAGTATAAATGCTCATGCAAGGTCGTTGTCCCAAAAGATTGTTTGACTAATCTGTAATTAAACTAACTCTTAATTAATAACTAAAATAGATTTTATCAAAGATTTGAAGTTTATGAATTTGAAAAGATTAAACTAACAGTAAAAGAAATCTGAAAGTTTGGAAATAATAACAGCAAAGAAGAAAAACAATTTCTTCTTAAAGACTAACAATTTAGAGAAAACTAGGGTTTAGCCAACACCGTCGCAATCCTATGCAATTCTATCATTTACTTATGAATTCCTAATGCATATTTTCCTTGTGATGTTCAATCGAAAACGTATATCTAACATGCAATCCGTCTGTGATGTTCAGATCAAATATAAACATGCAAGACTCATTAAGCTTTGTGAAAACCCTTTGAAAAACCATGCAACCCTTAAGAGCGTGATGTTCGCCTTAAGTGAACTTACAATTACTAATCACAAGAAGCCCTCCTCAATTTCAGGGTGATGTTCCAACAGAAATTGCATCAAATTACTTGTCTACATATCCTAATGGTGATCAGTCATTAAAATAGATAGATAGTTTTAAACACAGTGATTAATAATTCAAAGCAAACATGCATCCATTCATAAGCAAATTAATAAAACTACATATTCATGCTAAGGCTTACGGCCTCGCCCTAGCAAAAGGAATTAGTTACACATAATCATAATTGAAATCCAAGAAAATATCATTCGAATGAATAAGAATGAAAACACCTGAAAGTCGCGAAAATCCAAAACCCTAGCAATTGCTCCAAAAGCCAAAAAGAAGTCAAAAAGGAAGTCCCTAAATTTCTGTGAAAAGGAACTTAAATACCTCCTAAAACCTAGCTACCCAATCCCCACAAGGAAACTAAGTTAAAATAAAGTAAGACTAGGAAATAAAGTCCAAATTGGATTAAGAGAATCTGCCCACAATCTGCCCAGCCATGTTTTGGTCTCAAATCTCCTCCAAATCTGGCCCAAGATAGCTCGTTTTAAAGATAAAAATATTCCAAACACTTCTCCAGAAGGCCTCGAACCCATACGAGGTCATCTTGGGCTCCAAAAACGCAATAAAAGCCCAAAACGTCACTATTTCAGCACAATGCACTGCTCCTTCATTTATTCGCCAGGAAATCATCGCTTGGTGGAAAAGTCTGATATTTTGATACGATCAAGCTAAGTGACTCACGTACGTCCTCCAACTGGAATTACTCCAAAATTCGTCCATTTGATTATGTTTTGCTCCAGAGGAAGTTGAAAGACTTATATTAGAAATATAATTCAAAGTATCAAAATTCTTCCAAAATATTAACCAAAATATACTAAGAATGGGGTTAAATATATAATATAAAATCGATTCATCAGGCCCCACGGGGCTCACGACATTCGATTTCCAATTTGAAAGTTCCTACGGGTTCAACAAGGTTTTATAAACATGTCCAGCCAGTTTGGTCCAAATCGAATGGTTGGATCACTCACGATTGCGCATTCGGACAGTTATCGTTTATCCTAAACTTTGAATTATTGAATCAGAGCATCCGGGACTCCGATTCACGATCCACGAATTCCTACACGGTCCTAGAGATGTCTAGATCAACATATTTTAAATTGGAATTGATCCAACGGTCCGAACATATCGAACCCGGATAACACCCAATATGCGATAAGCGATCGATGATCAAACGATAATCAATTTCAAATCCGAGCATACTGTCTTGCTCGGGATGACATGGGGATTACTTTAGAACCCAAAGCGATTCCGACAATTGAAAAATCTCCAAACTGCCGGTCAAGACCTATACCTAAATGATCAGAAAAATGAATGGAGCAACTTTTGTTCTTGGACTATGGCCAAAAAGTGGAGGAAAATGGTTGAAAAAGGGCCGGAACCGTAGGCCCAAAATGGGTGTTTAAATCAAACTCCAAAACTCCAAAGTTAACCCAACTTAACTACATAATCAAATAGAGCATAATGATTGGATGAATTTCCATACCTCAATCGACGAATTTGGCCGTCGAAATTGCCGGAAAACCTACTCTTTTCTGATCTTCGAATCGAGCTCATCGTCACCGAATCGGATCAGGTCTCGGCTGGGTTTTGTAGAGGAGGACGAGGGGAAGAGATTTCGTGAAGGTTGCAATGACAACCGGGACGAGATGGTGCCTCAAAAAAATGATGGAAGTGGAAGGAATGAAGAAAAAAATATCCAGAAAATCTGGTTATATTGCAAGGAGGAAGAAGACCCGGCACTGTAGCACTGTAGCGGTACTGTAGCTAGAGTAACAATTTTTAAAATTCCCACTATGTTCTTTTCGTTTCTAGACCTTTCCTCCTTCGTTACAACTTGGAATTGGGCGTGCCGCATGTCTACAAACTTGTATTGTCGAGCTCTACACAACGGTACCACCCAAATCCCAAATTCTTTCTCAAACAAAAAGTCAACTTTAAACCCATTAAAATATCCTCAGGGTATAATTGTCTTTTACTTGAATATTCTAATAATTAATTTAGGATTGGGTTATTACAACATTTGTGAGAGCAAATATTTTCGTCTCCAATTACGGCATGTCATGTGGAAAAGAAGAATATCCCTTAAATTAATTAATTGAGCCCATTTATTTGGCCAATTAATCAATACCAGGAAATTGAGAATCTCTTCCCTTATTCCACTCCGTTCCGAAGAGTAACTAGGACCAATTCAATTACGTTTTCATTCATTTGGAATCTGGGCTCTTCTACTTCATTTTTATTTACTTATTTATTTAATTATTTTTCCCTCTATTTTCTTTTTTTATTCCCTTCCACCTTTCCTTAAGTCCCATAGGTTTGATCCTGTAGAATCTGACCCATTTTCTCATTGAGCGAAAGGTACGAAATAAATCAAATTAATTTTTTGATCAAAAGTAATATGTGAAATCTTTGGTTTTTTCCTCTTTCTCTATCCTTATAATGTAGGTACAATGTTTGAATCAATAGAGAACCTTTTTTTTTGTATCTGTATAAATGTATCTAATCGATATTATTACATTCCAATTCCTTCCCAATACCTCCCAAGGAAAATTCGAAATTGTATCTCAAATTGACGGGTTAGTGTGAGCTTATCCATGTGGTTATGCACTCTTCGAATAGGAATCCATTTTCTGAAAGATCTTGGCTTTCGTGCTTTGGTGGGTCTCCATGATCCTTTCAATGACCTATGTTATGTTGAAGGGATATCTATATGATCCGATCAATTATGTAAAGCCCGCGGTAGCAACGAAACCGGGGAAAGTATGCAGAAAAGTTGACAGATAAGTCACCCTTACTGCCACTCTACAAAACCGTACATGAGATTTTCACCTCATATGTCCCCTCCTCGTTCAATTCTTTTGAAGTCATTGGATCCTAATAAGGAGATATTATTATCATCAAATTAGGAGATTTGGATCCCAATCAAATCCCTAAGGCCATCTCCAACCCAAGGACCTAAACCCAAAATATCCCCCAAAACCTCTCCCAACCCAAGAAAATGAAGGACCCACAATTTGGGAAAACCCAAATTTGGACACCCAAATACCAATCCACATTTGGCCTAGACCAAAAACTATTTAATAGAGCCCACGCTGAGGTGGCACAGCCCATGTGCATGAGAAAAACACTAGGCGGCTCTGATGGGTTTGTCTGTTGCCCATGCCATGTGCCTGCTCGTGGTGAGAGAGCCATTGCAATTCCAATGGCTCCTTTTAAAAATAAAAATAAAAATCTAATAGTATCTTTTAAAAGAGTCTGGGCCCATAAGCTGGCTTTATTCCAGCTCAAAGTGGGTTGCAATTCAAAATTTTTTTTTTTTTATAAAAAAAAAAAAAAATAAAAAAAAAAAAAAAAAAAAAAACTTATAAATTAACGATCTAGATTATATCTAAGCTATTTTTGGTAATGTAAAAAATAAAAGAAAAAAACGGCTGACATTTAAATACAATGGTCAAAATAATATTTTAAATTAATTCAAATTAGATCCAACCCCAAAAATCACTCCAAACTCTATAAATACTCACTCATTTCTCAATTAATCTGCCAAAAACATTTTTTCTATTTCTCAATTTATTTTTCCTTTGTCAATTTCATCAATCTCTTTCATTCTCATACTTTTGATATCATTTCAAGCACATCATCTTCTTCATTCTCATACTTTTCATATCATTTGAAGTTTTCAATGGATAACCGTGGCAATGCCATCTTTTCCTTTATGTTTGATGATGATTCAGATGATGAAGAACATCATCAGAGAGTGATAGAAGCCATTGTCCACCATACTTCATTGGAGAATGAAGTCGCCAAACATGGTGGGTTGGTAGTCGGTCGTGTGTACAAGAACCGTGAGAGGGAAGATCGCCATTGCAATCTCATGTCTGACTACTTCATTGAAAGGTCACATTTTAGTACTACTGACTTTCGTAGGCGGTTCGGAATGCGAAAAGAGTTGTTTTAACCGCATCTTGAATGATGTTGTCAACCACGAGCCATACTTAAAAAAAAAAAAACAAAAAAAAAAAAAAAAAAAAAACACGGGGCCGCCGAAGGGCTATCCCCTGAGCAAAAGTTAATCGATATCTTTCAGAGCAGTCTTTGAAGTTAAGTCAGCATAAGGTGCAATCCCGTCAAAACTGTGCTGCTGTGGAAGAATGACTATTTGAAGACTTTCCTGATTTTTCCTCAAGGTGTGTGATATATGGCTGGAAAGATAAGACAAAAATCTAAAATTTACATATTTTTTGCCGAATTTTCTTGGAGGAGGAACAACTCCAAACGTGCCTGCAAAGTAACTGATGTATTATCCTAGTCCAAGTAGGAAGATGAGTCAATTACTTACTCATTTTGGATTTATGTTTAACTTAGGTTTTTCTTTATTTTTGGGCTGCTGTCACTACTACAAAATAACACTTGCGTGACCAAATTCTGCGCGACGAAAAATTATTCGTCGCACAAAGACACTTTGCACGACGAAACTCAAAACTTCGTCGCTAAAAACCTTGCGCGACCAACTTTTGCGAGACGAAAAATAATTCGTCGCTCAAAGTGACTTTGCGCGACCAACTTTTGCGCGACGACAATACGTCATTGCTCAAAGTCTTGCGTGACCAAATTTTGCGCAACGAAAAATAATTCGTCGCTCAAAGTAACTTTGCGCGACGAAAAAAAATTCGTCACACTAAGTAACTTTGCGCGACGAAAAACAGTTCGTCGCGCAAAGACACTTTGCGCAACGAAACTCAACTCGTCCTGCAAAGCTACTTTCCGCGACGAAACAATTAACTTCGTCGCGCAAAGTCCTTATAAAAATAAATAAAATAAAAAAATTATTTTTTAAAATCTTTGTTAGAAAAATATATTATTGTTGTTTGGATTGGGTTTTTATTAGAAAATATATTTTTTAAATTGACGATCGAATTAGTTTATTGTATTCATATAGGGTCAAAGAGTGTAGCTATAAAAAATCAACAAAATTGGAGTTAAAATAACCGTTAAATCGTGATTTTTCATTTATAACCGTTGAAAAGTTTTGTCCCATTACTTGGTCTCTGAATGTTTATTTTTTCCGATTTTTGGCGTATATGATCTCGAAGTATAAACAAACAAGTTTGACGGTTGGATCGTTCAAACTAGTTTCGTAGAATGCGTATGCCATCAAAACAATATATTCACTAACAATTAAAGTTTATTTATACTTTTGTTAAATATAACATAAGATTTTGTGGTATCCACTAGTGTAAATATTTTAAATTGAAGATCAAATTCTGTCATTGTATTCATATAGGGTAAAGGAGTGTAGCGGTAAAAAATCATCAAAATCGGAGTTAAAATAACCGTTGAATCAAGATTTTTCATTTATAACCGTCGAAAAGTTTTGTCCCGTTACTTGATCTCTGAATGTTTATTTTTTGCGATTTTTGGCGTATATGATCTCGAAGTATAAACAAATAAGTTTGACGGTTGGATCGTTGAAACTAGTTTTTTTGAATGCGTATGCCATCAAAACAATATATTCACTAACAATTAAGAGTTTATTTATACTTTTGTTAAATATAACATAAGATTTTGTGGTATCCACTAGTGTAAATATTTTAAATTGATGATCGAATTAGTTCATTGTATTCATATAGGGTCAAGGAGTGTAGCTGTAAAAAATCATCAAAATCGGAGTTAAAATAACCGTTAAATCGTGATTTTTCATTAAGAACCGTTGAAATTTTTTGTCCCATTACTAGGTCTCCGAATGTTTGTTTTTTTATGATTTTTGGGGTATACGATCTTGAAGTATATACAAACAAGTCTGACGGTTGGATCGTTGAATGGTGTGTGTATATATATATTTATTTACTTATTAAGTAGCTTTAAATTTATTTATTTTGTACGTATAACACTTAAGAAATTGGTATATACATTTATTAAGTAGCTTTAACCTTATTTATATTTTAAATCGTAACAATTATTTTTATAAATATCGTGCTATGAACCAATTTTTCGTCTCTCAAAAGTTTGCGCGACCAACAATTCGTCGCGCAAAACTCTAAAAATTTGGGTGGGTACCAAAAATGGGACGCGGGATGAAAAAAATAAAATAAAAATTTAGACTTTGCGCGACCAATATATATTTTCGTCGCGCAAAAATTTCGCGGGTACCAAAAATGGGACGCGGGAATTTTTTTATATAATTTTTTTAGACTTTGCGAGACCAATATGTATTTTTCGTCGCGCAAAAATTTCAAAATTTGGGCGGGTACCAAAAATGGGACGCGGGATTTTTTTTTTGACTTTGCGCGACCAATATACTAATATTCGTCGAGCAAAACTTTGCGCGACCAATACTCCAATATTTTTCGTCGCGCAAAACTTTGCGCGACCAACAATGTCGTTCGTCGCGCAAAGTGATACGGTTTTTAAAATGAAAATAACTCCTCCACCATTTTCTCAATGTCTTTCTCTACTCTTTCCTCTCCTCTCTCTTTCCCTCTCCCCAAATCCCACCATTTCTCTCACACTCACTCCTCTCACTTAATCTCTCATCATCTCTCTCTTCACTATCTCTCACTCTCACTCACTCTCTCATCTCTCTTTTCACTATCTCTCACTCTAACTCACTCTCTCATCTCTCTATCACTATCTTCTCTAATTCTCTCACACTCATTTCTCTCTCTCATTCTCACTCACTCTCAATCTTGCCAAAAGGTAGATTCTCTCCATATTTTAATTTTTTTTTCATTAATATGTGTTTTTGGAGTTAGTTTTGAGTTTGTGTGGGGTTTGGGGTTGAGTAAAGGGGAGGGATTGGAGTTTGGGTTGGATTTGTGGTACAACAATTTTAGGGGAGATTATCCCTTTTTTTTTATTGTACTTTGTTAATTTATGTGTACATTTTGAATATTATATATATATATATTTATTGGATAATTTTATCACTATTTTTCATATGTAATTTTATTTTGAATATGTCAATTTAAATTAAAGTAATTAAATTTAAAAAGTAAACATTTGAATAAATTAATATCAATTTAAATTAAAGTAACGAAAAAAATCATACAATTAAATTAAATTTTAAAATTAAAAATTCGAAATAATTAATATAATTAAATTAATATTAAAGAAATAATAAAACAAAAATAAAAAACCAAAATATTTCGTCGCGTAAATATTTGCGCGACATTAATATTCGTCGCGTAAAACTATAAAAATTTGGGCGGGTACCAAAAATGGGACGCGGGAATTTTTTTTTAAAATTTTTTTAAAATTTTTTCGTTGCGCAAAGTTTTGCGCGACCAATATTTTTCGTCGCGCAAAGTTTTGCGCAACCAATATTTTTCGTCGTGCAAAGTCGCTTTGCACGACAAATATTTTTTCGTCGCGCAAAGTTGCTTTGCGCGACCAATATTTTCGTCGCGCAAAGTCACTTTGCGCGACCAATATGTTTCGTCGCGCAAAGTGACTTTGAGCGACTAATATTTTTTCGTCGCGCAAAGAGACTTTGCGCGACGAAGGAAAAAATTTCGTCGCGCAAAGTCTTTCTCCACGATCTTTGCGCGACGGAATCTGCGCGACGAAGTTTCAGTCGCGCTAAAATTTGTGCGACTATAATGTATTTTGCGCGACGAAATTCTCTTCGTCGCGCAAAGTGAAAAATGTAGTAGTGTGTAAAAGCCCAGCTAGGGTAATAATAGACGTGGGGTGTTTTATTTAAGCATGAGAAACAACTCCCTTGGGAGACACGAAAAGACTAGGAGAAATTGGAGACGCCGGAAGAGTACCGCAATTGGCTAAGTTTTATTGTTTCTTCTTTATGTTTTTGTTTATGTCGAATTCTATGATTATGTGTAACTAATCTTCTTTTGCTAGGGCATGATGTAGCCCTAGTATGATAATCTAGTTTTCTTATTTTACCTATCTATTCATTGCCGTTTGATGTTGGATTCTTAATCACTGTGCTTAATAACTTGGTTGCTTATCTTGATGCTTGATCACCGTCTAGACTTTTAATTGAAATAATCGGATGCAAATTAGAGTAAATACCATACTTAATTTGAGGCTTGCTTCTTGTGATTAGGATTTGTAATTCGTCTAGGGTAAATACCATACTCCTAGGGTTTACATGCATGTTCGAGGTTTTCATTGATCTTAATGAATTTCTATGTGTTGATATCTGACCTAAATAACATAGAAGAATTGCATGTAGGAATATACAAGTTAACCTAAATACCATAGGTAATTCATGAAAAAGGAAAACTAAGCGGCGACATCAAATGGTTAATTAATGGGTAGGTGAATAAGAGGCTAGATCGGATTACTGGTGGTGAATTCATTGTCCTAGTGATTCTATCAATTTGAATTTCTCATTCTTGTGTTTCGTGACTTCCTACTTGCTATGTCTTTTAATTTCGTTGGTGATTAAATCATTCTTTCAAAAACCCCTTTTGTGTTTACGTGAGTGTGCTACATGTTTAATTTCTTATTTATATAATTAGAGTAGTTAAACTATTGTGTGAAGTAAATTAGGTTAGACGAGTTGGTAGTTGAACTCAATCCTCGTGGGAATGACCTCGTGTTTGCCATACTATATTATGATTGACCTTGTGCACTTGCGAGTATAATTTGTGTTTAGACTAATCTTTATAATCTCCATTTTTCAGGTTGTCTAAAATTCACAACAATGCTCGCATGGAGATACTCAGCTGTCGCGACCGACGAGTACTGTAGATTGGGTGAAAGCACAGCTCTTAAGTCACTCCTTAAGTTTTGTTGCACTGTTGAAGCAGTGTATGGCCAATGATATCTCAGGTCTCCAAATCTAGCTGACCTTTACAAGTTATTGCACAAGGCAAGTAGTCGAGGCTTCCCATGCATGTTAGGAAGTCTTGACTGCATGCACTGGGAATGGAAGAATTGCCTATCTTCTTGGGCATGCTAGTTTACCAGTCACAAAATAAAACCCACTGTTGTACTAGAGGCCATGGCCTCGTATGACACATGGATATGGCATGCCTTTTTTGGAGCCACTGGATCCAACAATGATATCAACATTTTAGCTCGTTCTCCATTGTTCAATGATATGGTACATGGAGTGGCTCATCACATTGAATATATTGTCAATGGAAATCAATACCATTTGGGCTACTATTTGGCAGATGGGATCTACCCCCGTTGGGCTACTTTGGTGAATACCATATATTCTCCTGATAACCCAAAAAAGAGGCTTTTTGCACAAATGCAAGAAGCGTACATGAAGGATGTTGAAAGAGCATTTGGAATACTACAGGCTCGATCGGCTATTGTTTTGGGCCCTACACATATGTGGTGCAAGGATAACCTCCACTCAATCATGATGACGTGTATAATTTTACACAACATGATTGTGGAGGATGAAAACGAATATGTTGAAGAGGAATCTAATGATGAGGATATGTGTTTACAATGATCTAGGAGGGCCAGAGCAAGACAATATGAGCTAGAGCCAAGCATTACATATGAGTACCACCAAGATATCAGACTCTCTCTAATTACATGATTCACCATAATAGAGTTCGATCTCCACATATGCATAAGAGTCTCCGACATGATTTGATCAATCACCTTTGGAGGAGCTTTGGAGATGGTGAATGAGGTCGACAATTGTTTCAATCCTCATTTTGTGTTTCAATTATGTTGTGTTTTTTTTTAATGTTGTGTGTTTACTTTTGGAATAAAATTAAATTTATGGAATTTCAATTTTTTTTAGGTCAAATTGTTCAAAAAATTAAATTATGATGTTATTTAAAAAGATTAAATGAAGAAAAGTTATCCATTAAAAAAAAATAGACTTAAACCATTCTTAAACAATTTAATAAAGTTGCGGACTTAAAATTTGAGTCCGGAGGGTTGGGAGAAAAATGATTTGAGTCCAGGCAAAACCCAAATAGTTACTTTTTGGAGGGGCAAATTTGGGTTTAGCCCCTCATGGGTTGGAGAAGGCTTAATGGACTCAATCTCTATAATTTGGGGAAAGAATAAACTCCTTTCTAATAAGAGTTTTATTCTCTATGAAACCCTAACCTCTAAGGCTCCTATCATTCATCATTCAAGGTAACTCTAAACCTAGCTTCAAAACCCTGCAAAAATACCCGAGATCTTTCTCCCCTCTCTCTCCTAGCCAGTGGCAACTCCATTGCCGCCGCCAATATTGCTCTCATCTCTCCATAGTTTCTCCATAAGGCTCCGGCCACTCAGTTCTCACCCTAGAGAAATCTCCGTACCCTTTTTTAGCTATTGTTTGACCTAGATTCAATTGAACTAACTTAGGCATCGGAGGGTCTTTGGCCAACACCCCCCGAATGTGGTCTATTTACTCCGGCCTTTTTTACATGAATCGAGGAAGAGAGAGATGGAAGATCAAAGGGCGAAGAATCTAGAAGCGAATATTTGCCCGCAAGATTATTTGCACACCTAAATTGTAATCCAATGTTGGAACAAAGTATGAATTTATGCATGGTCTATTCATTAATTAACGCCCATTGCATACCACATATATTTAATCATATGTAGATGTCTATTGTATGTAAAGATGACGATTTTTATATAAAAAAAAGGGTCGTCTATTATATGTAAAGATGACGGTTTTTTTTAAAAATGGTCGTCTATTGTGAAGTAAAGATGACCTTTTTTTGAAAGGGTCGTCTATTGTATGTAAAGATGACGATTTTTATAAAAAAGGGTCATCTATTATATGTAAATATGACGGTTTTTTTAAAATGGGTCATCTATTATATGTAAAGATGACGGTTTTTTTTAAAAAGGGTCGTCTATTGTGAAGTAAAGATGACCTTTTTTTAAAAGGGTCGTCTATTGTATGTAAAGATGACGATTTTTTTTAAAAAGGGTCGTCTATTGTGAAGTAAAGATGACCTTTTGTTAAAAGGGTCGTCTATTGTATGTAAAGATGACGATTTTTATAAAAAAATGTCGTCTATTATATGTAAAGATGACGGTTTGTTTAAAAAAGGTAATCTATTATATGTAAAAATGACGGTTTTTTTTTAAAAAGGGTCGTCTATTGTGAAGTAAAGATGACCTTTTTTTTTAAAAGGTCATCTATTGTATGTAAAGATGACGGTTTTTATAAAACAACCGTCGTCTTTATAAACAATCCACGACGGTTTTATTAAAAATAGTCGTCTTTCCTCCTATAATTACGATATTTACCTCTAAACAACGATGATTTTCTTTAAAAATCGTCGTCGTTATAGATAAACAACGACGGTGAAAAGCCGTCGTAGTTTGACACCCAAATAGATGTCGGTCGATTTCACTACGGTTTGAAAACCGAATACACGATGGTGAATTCCCGTCGTATTTTGCCTTTTTTGTAGTAGTGATATCACTGAAATATCTGTAAATTGGAGCCCCATATTATTTGCACGACCGATATTTTCATCATTGATCATAAAAAACATGGACTTTGGCTTTTGTAAAAGAAACGCAATGTAGGTGGAGCTTCTGAATATATTCTTATATCGTGCCACAATAAAAATGAAAGATTCCTGTACTATTTTCGTTAATCTGAGTGAAGGGGTATTGATGCTTATATGATTATAGTGGTAAAGTTTTGAAATGGAAAGAAAGTATTTATTGATTGGAAAGGAGCACATGGCTTTAGACTTCTTGTGGGTTTGTTATTTTCACTTGATTACAAGGCCTTTTTTATAGAAACTCCACACACTAAAGTTTTGAAATATCATGATTTTTCTAGTTTTTGCTCAAGTGCATGTGCTTTAACTTTTAACATCTTTACCGAATGCAGGATAAGTGTTATCCAATTTAGACCAGACCAAACCAAGCCAAGCCAAGCCAAGATAGTCCCTAAGCATAGTTCCTGCCAAGACAGTCCTGTGTAATAAACAACCCCTTAACCTACATAGCTTTAGTTGATGGGATTAGCACTTTGAATATTTTATATTAAAGTACACTTTTGATCTCTCAGATTTTTTGTATTCACCGATTTTGTTTAAGTTGGTTTGCACATTCATTCAAATTCTAGACTTTTCTATATCATTCAAGACTTTCTATAGTATTCAAGACCTTTCTATATTATTCTAGTACTAGTACAAGTGTGCATTATTATTTTTCACAACGCAGAAAGAAAAGGAGCTTATATATGCCATTTTTGTTGACTTTTTTTCCGATACCTAAACCATACCGATATATCACTGAAATATCTGTAAATTGGAGCCCCATATTATTTGCACGACTGATATTTTCATCTTGGTCATAAAAAAACATGAACTTTGGCTTTTGCAAAAGAAACGCAACGCAGGTGGAGCTTCTGAATATATTCTTATATCGTGCCAAGAAAAATGAAAGATTCCTGTACTGTTTTCGTTAATCTGAGTGAAGGGGTATTGATGCTTATATGATTATAGTGGTAAAGTTTTGAAATGGAAAGAAAGTATTCATTGACTGGAAATGGTGCTGATATGATTATAGTGGTATAAAGTTTTGAAATAGAAAGAAAGTATTCATTGATTGGAAAGGAGTACACGACTTTAGACTTCTTCTTGTCGGTTTGAAATATCATGATTTTTCTAGTTTTTACTCAAGTGTGCATTAACTTTTAACAGCTTTGCTAAATGGGGGCTTCCACTTATACAAAACCAGAGCAACCCCAAGACAAGCTTCAAGGAAATTGAATTGGCAGTCTGAGAGAGAGAGAGAGAGAGAGTAAACAACAGAAAGAAGAGGAGATGGCTTCCGCTGTGATAGACCTTTCCATCGGCAAACTAGGATCGTTTCTCGAAAGCGAAGTGTCCCTGCTAGCAGGAGTTCATGACGAGCTTGAAGAAATCAAGCTCGAGTTGTTAACCATGAAAGCCTTCTTGGCAGACGCAGAAAGAAAAGGAGCTTTGGGTGAAGTGGAGAAAACATGGGTGGAAAATGTGAGGGACGTATCCATGGACGTTCAAGACATCATTGACGAGTTTCAATATCAAGTAAACAAGCAGAGAAGTTGGGGTCCATACAGAAGAGTCTTTCGTCAAACTATTTGCTTGCCCAAGGGTCTTTGGGAGAGGCATTGGATCGCCACCAACTTGCAAAGGATCATCAAAACAATCAGAGCCATTCCAGAGAGAAGCCGACGTTATGGTGTTGATCGTATCGAAGGCCTGAGGAATAGTTCTGATCATTACGATCCCAATCGAGTCAAAATCTACGGTGATTCGTCTCTTTTCTTTAAAGATGATGAACTTTTCGGGATCGAAGATGCTAAAGCGAAGTTAGTTGGATGGTTGCTGTCTGGAGAGCCTCAAAGGACTGTAATTTCAGTGGTTGGTATGGGGGGTTCGGGTAAGACAACTTTAGTTGCAAACACCTTCAAAACTCAAACTGCAAAGTTTCATTGCTACGCGTGGCTCACTGTCTCAAAAAATTACAACATTGAAGATCTGTTAAGGGTCTTGATAACAGAACTTTCTAAATCAGCAATGGAAGATGTTTCTCTAGACTTGAGCAATATGAGCTACATGCATCTGGTGGAAATGGTGGCCAACTATTTGCAGCCAAAGAGGTATATGATTGTGTTAGATGATGTGTGGAATATATACCTGTGGAGTCAAATCCACGTAGCACTTCCAGATGGAGCCTATGGAAGCCGAGTTATGCTTACAACTCGAAATGAAGACATTGCTTCTTTTCCATTTGAGGCTGGAAGTCATGTTCACCATGTTCAGCCTCTTAATGAGAAGGCGGCTTGGGCTCTTTTTTCCAAGAAAGCTTTCTCTAGCTGGCCTAACAACTGTTGCCCACCAGAGCTTGAATCCATTGCTAGGGATCTTCTTGTAAAATGCCAAGGCTTACCTCTGGGAATTGCTGCCTTGGGTGCTCTCATGTCAACCAGAAGATTGCCGTCTGACTGGATGAAATTTTCCAGCACTTTGAATTGGGAGCTAAGTAACAACCCGAGGCTTGACGCAGTGAAGAGCATCTTGCTGCTAAGCTTTAATGACTTATCTTATCGACTAAAGCATTGCTTCTTATATTTGTGTATTTTCCCAGAAGATTATGTGATTGACTCTGCAAGGCTTTTTAGACTGTGGATGGCAGAGGGGTTTGTGGAAAGAGTCGAAGGGCCTAAGCCGGAAGACATTGCTAAAAGCTACGTAGCAGAGCTCACTTGTCGATGCATGGTACAAGTTGTTAGGAGGGATCCATTTGGAATGGCCAAAACGTTTAAGGTGCATGACCTTTTACGAGAAATTGCTCTTTCAATTTCTAATGCGGAGAAATTTTGTACCATTTTTGATGAGCAAAAAACAAATGAAGATATCAAAGCTCCCCATCGCCTATCGATGCAAGCAAATTATGGAGAATTACAAACATACAGAGACATGTCAAAGGTTCGCACCTTCTTTATTTTTGCTCCGAAGATGTCTGATTCTTCTTCACTTGAAAAACTGCCCCCTGGTTTCAAACTCTTAAGGGTCTTAGATCTTAAACATGTCCCGATTTCTCAACTCCCATACGAAATAGTTAATTTTTTTAACATGAAGTACTTAAATTTGAAAGGAACAAAAGTGAAAGAGCTTCCAAGAGACATAGGAAAACTTCATAATTTGGAAACCCTGGATATTAGGCATTCCAAAATTCGCTCGCTTCCAGCGGGGATTGTGAAGTTAAAACACTTACGACATCTTTTGATGTACCATTGCAATTTTGAAGCGCTTTTTAGGTCTTATTATTTCTTTGATGGCACACAAGTACCGCTGGACATATGTAAGCTAAAGCACTTACAAGTTTTGGATGCTATTGAATTGAGAGACGGGTTACTCAAACAACTTGGACACTTGACCCAACTCAAAAGAACGAGCTTAACAAATTTGAGAGAGGCCAATGAGAAAGACTTGTGCAAGTCCATCCAACGTTTGGGACTCCTTGAACACTTGTTTGTCCATACAAGTACTGAGGATGAAGTGTTACGCTTGCACGCATTGCCATCTGCTCCTCCTATGCTCAAGGCACTTGGTCTAATTGGTAAATTAGAGAGCGTGCCGCTTTGGTTTCATTCTCTTTATAGCCTTACAGCATTGAGATTGCATTGGTCAAGATTAACGGAAGATTTTGTTCCTCACATCAAAGCTCTGCCTAATTTGACCATACTTCGGCTAAACAATTCATACGTCGGAAATCAACTGGTCTTTCAAACTGGATTCCCAAGGCTTGCGGAATTGTACTTGATGGATTTTTCACAGTTGAATGTGATCATCATAGAGAAGGGGGCGATGCCTGCATTACAGACACTGGTAATTACTGAATGCATGAAGTTAGAGCAATTGCCTAATGGAATTGAACACCTTAGATGTCTCCACACTTTCGATCTGGTAAATGTTCCCAACGAAATCGTGGAGCGGATACGTGGAGAAGGAAGCTTGGATCATGACAAAGTTCAGCACATCTCTGAAATCAGTTATCACTACAAAAGTGAATCTGGGTGGTCTGGGGAAAGATTGCGATCTTGTAACGAATGGATCGTTCGCCCCTCATCTTCTCCGCTCAATATTCTGTCCCGGGATGGTCTACCTTATTTACCAGGTGACAACTCTTTGTTATGCTTAGTTTCTTCTTCTAATATGCGCTCGCTCTTGCCTCCCCCTTCTCATATATTCAGTAACTGACGTTTTGTTATTTTATAGGTCATTGACATTTTGTACAATGAAAAGGGTCAGACAAAATAAAAGGTAGGGCCTGCATGCCAACCAATATCGTTATACTTTAAATTTGTTAACCAACTTCTGAAAAACTTGATTTACAATGTATGTTCATGCGACGCTCTCTCTCTCTCTCTCTCTCTCTCTCTCTTAATACTTCTGCAATCTTTTTATAGGTAATTGATGCGGGAGGTCAATAAAGCAGCGCCTGCATTGATCCATGTTCATCTCTAAATTGGAGCATACCACTTCAGAGATTTCGGGTGCTTTGAATTTCCAGTCCAATAAGATCAGTCCAAGACTTGATTAATTATTACCAAATAATAATGGCTTAAATGTAAAGTATACCGGTATTGCTATTGTTTACCTTAATGCTATATGTGTCCACTTTATTATGTATGCCTATGAACTATGCGCATTTCTGCGTGGTCAAATCCAGTTTGTGTCCACTTCACACCCTAGTCCCCAAAAATTCATCCAGTTTATGTGAAAGGAAATAAAACTCAATCGTGACAAAAGATGAGTCAATTGGTCAAATCCTATTCCGTTTCTTTCGTTGCGTAAATTGCAACATTTTTAACAAAAAGACAAAAAGCAAAAACTACTGGTTGTTTTATTTCACCATTTTACCTCTTCAAATAGATTAGCAAAGGGAAATTTAGGATTTTTTTTTATAACCAAAGTGCTCATGAACTTCTAATAGCTCTCTAAGGATAGGGCTACGTTTCTTTTTGTGTACACTTGTAGGAGGAGTAAGACAGGCAGGGATCGTATATTTCATGCATCCCAGGAAACTTCCGAACGCTTATGTTCATGACGAAGTCTGGGAACTGTATAGACAACACACTTCAGATTTTTTGGAGGTACATACTTGACAATTTTCGGCATAAAATTATCATTTTGATGAGGGAGGAAGAATTTCAGAGGGAAGTGGAGGAAGAGATGAGGGAGAGAACATCTTTTGCTTCTACTACAATTTGGAGAAGACCCATCAATCCTAACATTATCACCATAACTACTCTCAAATAATTGTCCGCCATTGCTTTTACCTTGTTTCAGATGTTTACTGTTTTCAAGTTGAACATATTTATATCTAACGTTTAAATCCTTTCACAGATTTTACTACATATTCAAATAATTTTAAATTCATAAACTTAGAGGCATCATATATAACATACTGAAAACCATCTTACGAAGGATACAAATGGTTCTCATCGTTGAATGCTTTGCGTAGCACTCTATCTAGAAAGGATCCCCGTTTTATTTATTTATTTTAAATAAGGGCATCCTTACTAGAAAATTCTCCACAAACATATATATATATATATATATATATATACAAGTATTTTAATACCATACCATACTTGTGTCCTCCAAGTTCAGTATGAGGAATTACGTACATGAATGTTGGGTTGCAAGCTTCAATCTTTTGAATAGAAGGGCAAGAATCCTACGCTTGATCCTTCCTCTAGGAGGGACTAGGCAGTATCTCTTGGAGCTCCTTCCTAATCCGACGACTCTCGACACTGCTTCCAACTCTGCGCCGATATGATGCGTAGTCTTCATGGTCGTCTTCCTCTCCATCTCCTCGTTACTCTGTACTGCATACAGGTGCCAATGAGATGAGCCTCTCATGTGTGTGTATCTAGTATTTAGAGAGTGAGAGAGGAAGAGAGAGTTGCATGAGAAGTAGCTTGCGCTAGCTAGAGATATCCAATATTACGTCTTTTTGGAGAGAGTAGGAACCTTCGTCCCACTTTCATTTCATGCACTTTACCTACAACACAGCTTCCATTCTTTTTGCTCAAAATAGTGATTTTGTTGTTTAGCGAGTAGTGAATTGTGGGGGTTTTCGCTTTAACAATAATGAGAAGTTCCAGGGGATTGAACAGTGCTGCACCCGAAGTCTTGTGTTTGAATTTCCCTTTTGCAATATTGTTTGTGTAAAAAAAAAAAAAAAAAAAAAAATAATTACACTTGGGCCTAGGCCCACTGGATTCCAGAATTTTGTTGGATCTTGAGTTCTCAGAGATCTAGAAGAGAGGTTTAAGTGAAATTGGACTGTCTACAGTCAAAGTGGACTCACGAGTCACATGGAGTCAGGAGACATAAACACACTCAAAAGCTATGCTTGACGCCTCATTCTATCAAACTGTTAGTACATTTACATCAGGGGCGGAGTTAAACTTGTAAGGTTAGGTTGCCGAAAATATGAGCATATCAAATACATATTGATTCAAGATTTACATGTTAGTATTAAATATTTTTAACTTAGCCATGTCTAATTTGTTTTAGAGGAGCCATTACGTCTATATTAGAACATGTATTTATAACATAGTAGATGAGAGATGTCAAAAACCTGGGGGCCAAGGGCACTCTAAGAGTGGCTCCGGGCCACTGGTTTGCATTGAGATTTTATATGAATTGATCTCTGCATTAGTAATAGAAAAAATAAAGTGGAATGCATGTAAACAAGAAGCAAAAGAGATGTCAAGCAACAAAGACATTAGCCATTGATTAACGCATGAACAAATTGGTACTAGTCACAGAAAAATTATGAATCAGTTTTATGAGCCCCAAGCAGTCCTTGTTTTACATCAACCTGATTTTCTTCCCTTTTTGCGTCTTCCCAAAGAATTATTTGAACTTTACACATGAAAGCTGATTCGTTCATTGCCTCTGGCGTTGGCTGTTGAAGTTGATGAGCCTCGAAGGTATTAAAAAAATTCGAGATCATAATACGCAATAGACTTCAAAGAATCAAAGAAGCAATGCAAATAGAACTTGAAATATGGATTTTGGCGTTCCCTGCTTGTCTCCGGGATGGGAAGAATCCATATGTGCAGTTATTCCTTTGGTATTATCCCCTTGTCTTCCCTGAAATAAAACTCTTGTTCAAATGAAAATTAAGGCATCATATGAACCTTAAATATGTAATTCCCCTATATTTTTCGGGACAACAACCTGTAATGACTGAAGTTGATAACAAGTCTTCACATAGTAACACATGGTGACTCACATGACAATTAGCAAGCAATCTTGAAAGGAGCAACATGCAGATTTAAGTGCCTAAGTGTGGTTACGCATGCACATGTTGAGTTTTACCTCTACAGCATCCTTGAGAGGCCCCCAGCATTCAATTCTATTGTATTTCTTCAAATTGGAATGAAAATAAACCCGAACCATGGCATCCAATAGCTCAGGATGCTCTCTGAAAAGTAGAGAGTCTCCATGTAACACAGCTTTGAGTACCTGCTTGTATAGAAACCAAAAGTAAGGAAATATTTAAGTAACACAGCATTCATTCAACCATCTCAGGCATGCCAAAGTACTTAATAAAGTCAAGCAACATCTCAGACTTGTGGCTGTCTTTAGTGTAATATCACCCCTTTCATGATATTTGGTATGAGAATTGCGACATTACTAAATGGTATCAGTGTATCTAACATTGTTTGGCTTGTGTTTTCTAATGTGTTGGCTGTGCAACGTATATGACTACGCATGGCGATGGAAGTTTTCATATCATATAGGCCTTTCAGAGTTACCTTCTCAAGCACCTCACTTTCCAAATTATTCCCTTTTGCAAATAGGATAGGATATCAGAGTACAGTCTTAGAAGAAACGCTTACCAAAGGCATTTCTTTGGAAAATATGTGATATCTGAACTCTGCGGCCAGGTCCAGCATGAGATTGGGACCGCTCACATAGCAATGAATATGTAGGCACATTTCACCATTCACCCGTTTCCATTCTGCAACCACGTCATCCTTGCTGTACCATCCTTTCAACTGCAATAAGGATCAAAATCGCAATCGTAAACACCAAATGGACTATCAGATGCAACCATCACATTGAAACTTCTTCAATCCTAGCATAGATAGGTATCATAAAAATAAAAAATAAAAACTTTAGAAGCATCAGAAGAAATAAAATAGAAAACAGACCTGATCGAGGTTGATGACATTGGAGATCGTTAAGGTCAGGTTAGCTGTGAAGTCACAATGTGATAGGATGTAAGTTCTTGGGATGATTCCTACATAATTATTGAACTCTTCTCCTATAAATTCAACTTTGAGCTTTGACGCGACGAATGTTGCTGGACCCAAAAGACTAACAGCCTGCAAACAAGAATATAAAATGTTCATTTGGCATTTCATGAACTCCAATGTCAAAAGTGAGAGGATGCAGAACAGCTAAGATGCCATGCGTAACATAAGTATTCAACAATCACACGGTTGAGATCTTATAATATATCCTAAAATGTCGTGAAGTTTCCCATTGTGCTAGGACAAAATAGTTATCCTGAAAAATCAATGACCCTAGCAGAGCAGTATACTCAAAATCATAGAGAGAACTTTCTACAACAGAGAGGCATTTTCTACAATTACACCCAACTCAATGGAAAGATGCCATATGGGGCTGCTGGAACTCAAAAGTCTATGAACTTCTCATGAGAATGAAAATATAACAAAATGCTGGTGGCTAAAAGCAACTCCTTGGCTAGGACATAACTCACTTGATTAAATTATCTAAAATTTCAAAATTTTAAACAATCCCTTAACAGATAATCCCTTCATATAACTCAACGGAGGCAATGCGTAAATAAATATTACAAATTGCCTAATGAAGAGATAGAGAAACAAAAAGAGAGGGCAATGCTACCTCAGAAACCAAAGTATTGTAAGAGTCTCTATTGTTGCTGATGGCAGAAAGCAAAGAGAGTGGGTCTTTTTGATGAGAGAAGAGTAGTGGTCTTGTAGAAGTTCTTCCTCAGTGGTGATGGTGGAAGTACCTAATAAGCACAATGACAGGCCATGGAAGATGCATAACCCTGTTTTGCTCCTCTTCATCTTTCACCTGAAACCATTGTTTTGTTCTCTCTGTGTGGCTGGAGAGAGAGAGAGAGAGAGAGAGAGAGAGAGAGAGAGAGGGGGGGAAGAAAGAGAGGAGAATATGTGGAGGATTGTTGTTCATAGCTGGTGGTCATGTGTACTGTGAATTTGTGATATTCTGATTTTCACCTACCGAAAGTCCAAAATCTATGAAAAGCCCCTTCCACCGCATATTTTCTTTCCTCTTTTTTCTTTATTTTATTGAACTGGTTTATTTTTAAAAAGAGAACTGTCCAACTTTGTGACACGTCACCAGCGGCTTGAACTTTTGATTTAACCAGTGTGGATAATGTGGTGCGTGGCTTTGGATGGGTGCCACATGCATCCACACGATGTACCATCCATCCCCTAATGTGATTATTTGACGTACGTTGATCCACATAATACCCAGCAGACACCTCTCTCTCTCTCTCTCTCCCTTATAATAAACTGCTATCAGAATACTTCTGCGAGCATTATCATAGGGTGAATGGTTGTTATTTAACCTGCGGTTGCAGACTTAGGGTGAATGGTTGGTTGAAGACTGCAGACGTGAGTTCAAAACTCAAGTTAAGTATGGCATCTACTCTAACTTGCATTACATTAAACTATTCAACTTAGATAGTGATTAGGCCTTTAAAATCAATTAAATATTAAGTACAGTAAAACAAATTCAATAAAAAGGGAAAAACTTGAAATTTAAATTAACTAAGAAAATTGAGCATTCATGATTTAGCCTAAGTTCAGCTTCGCTCCTAAGTTTTCTTTACACGTCTTGTGTTTTCATCAATAACATTAGTTTTCACGTTGAATTCTGTTGCATTTTGTTTGTGTCAAGACCCGTATAAATATAGTTTTCTGATGATTATGAGTCTTAATGAATGTGGGATTATGAACCCATAAAAGAGGATAGGTGCATCTAACATGAAGCACCCAAAACAAGAAGATGGAAACCACTCTGCATGAATAGAAACCAAAAACAACTCTGGATGAGAATTTACTGATGTGGGAGTTGACATGTAATGAGTTGGCAAAGGTGAAAGAAATGTGTTTACATGAATTTTTTTAATTATTTAATGATCACGAATCAAGATACTCAATTATTTGCATGTCTATAAGTATTTTTATTAGCCTTTAAATTTAGTTTCTCGTAATATTATTGGGTTTTGCAGAAAGAAGCCAAGGTGAGAAAAGCTGCTAGGAAGAAGAAATGGCTGCCAGGAAGCATGAAAAGGCCAAACAGAAAAGCCCCAAGAAGGACCACAAACCGAAAGCATGGCGGAGGGAGGATTTACAGATGGTAGAAAGAATAACTATAATGTTAGAAGATATTGCACGCAGCTCATGACATCTTGTTTTTGTTGAACAATTTGGAGAAGAAAGGACATGATCATATATGTAGCTCTCAAACATTGCAATTTTAATTAATACATGGAGAGGAAAGAATATGTCGGAATCATTTGTTATTTGCCTTTTCTTTTCGGGCTAGAATATTTATGGCCCGCACAACATATGATATTTTATGGGTGTTGTTAAATAAACTTTAAAATTAACTTAATACCCCTTATGATTTAAGGACATCATAATATTTAAATTAAAATGTAAAATTAATTAAATACACCCTATTTAACTACAAAAAATAAAATACCCTTGATACCCTAAGCAAATAGTAATACACTGATTTTTAATAGTTCATTTTTAACTATTTTAGAGATCAATATTTCATTTCAGGGATCAATAATTCATTTCATAGGTCAATAAAATGAACTATGAAATTAAATTCATTAAGCTGGCCCACCATAATTACTTTTACAATCTCTCTCTTACTGACACTTGGACAACATTGATTTTTAATTTATAAGCTATTGAACTATACCATTGCAAGTGAAATTGCACTTCAATTCAATAGCTGTCAAAAAGTTCCATAAATTGAACTATTGAACTAAACTGTTTAGTAATCATTGCGATACTCTAATGCCTTGAAACCGAATGTGAATATGATTTGCGATGGCTCAATCTCAGCCGTTGTTGAGCACAAGGCTGTGTCGGCTTTTATGCATGCACGGTTGAGATTGCATCATGACGCAATCACAGTGGGGTACCTTTTTGATAAGGTGGCCCCAAGGCCCACGTTCTCATTAGTTTGGTCAATTTCATCTCAAAAGTGACTTCGCATGTGTCGGTGCTAAAACGAATATAAGCTACATGGATTGCAATGGAATCAGATTTTATTTTGTCAATTTATTGTCACAAAGAGTCCCACCGCATTCCTCTTTGCTTAAACTATGGTTCAATATATATCCTTCATCCCATGTCGTGCCAACATAAAATATAATTAATTTGAAAAAAAAATTGTTGCAAATATTCTTTAGTTCAGAATAGTATTTTTGAATTAAGCACATTGCTAAGGGGATTGTTTTTTTTTTTTTTTTTCTGATTCCTGAGATAGTTTGATTGATTTTTTTTTTTTATTTCATACAAGCGATATTAGAGAACAAAAAATGTTATTTGTACCATATTTATTAACCACATCTCTATTTAATTTTTCTTTTACTTCCAATTGGTTGGGAAAAGGAACATATTGAAATGAATTTATATATTTTTATTTTCTATAAAAATAGAAAAAATTATGGTGGATCACCGCCCTTCTATCTATGAATCTGCTTGCTTGGACTTTATTGGCTCATGGTTTACAACTTAACCTTAGCTGGAGTGGAGACTGCAGATCCCATAAAAGGTTATAGAAATTGAAGTAGATCTCTCTCTCTCTCTCTCTGAGATAATTTTCATTCTTTAATAATGCAATGCAATATGCAAATTTATGCTAAATACATTGATCTCTCTCTCTCTCTCTCTCTCTGAGATATTTTTATAAAGACCCACTGACTGACCCAACCAAGCTCTCTCTTCAAGTAGGAGGCAATTAGTACTATGGAGTAAGCAAGAGGAGGACCCGACACTTCTCCCAGCCACTGAGCCAAGTAAGAAAAATCTCACTCTCTGTCTCATACTCTACCCCTTTCCATTATTTGATCAGATCTTTGTTTTCTTGCTTGACCGAAGTACTCTTTTGTTTAATGAATCAATGCCAAGGGACCTCCAAGTTTCTATCTTTTACATATTCTCAGCATGTAGTTGTTTCAGTTCTCATTTATTTCCCTGCACTTTCGCACCAACCAAACAGTGCATTGTTCTTATTATTGAGCCCCCACTCTCGTTTTCTGTTTGTTGGGTTTATTGCGTTGTGAAATGGGTTATAATCACTTTTTGTAAAAATATGTTTTTGAGGATATTCTTGTTGCGTTATGGAATTCAACAGAAAAAAGTTGATCTTTTACTCTGAAATTTCTTTGTTCTTTGTTAATTGATCTATCTGCTTTCATTGGAACAAAGTTGAGCTCTCTTTACCCTAGTCTATGATCCAATTTGCCATTACTTGTCAATCTACTTGAGGAAAAGGTATCACCTTCGTTATGCCCAGAGAAAAACTATCAGAGCCGTAATTTGACATGATACACGCTACCACAACTACTCTTGTATATCAAAATTAGCAAGGATGCCCTTTTTCATATATATTCTTTTAGCAGTGCAAGGCCTGTCGGTTCCTTTATTCATTCAAAAACAGTTTTTTTTTATGTTACTCTTTTTGCGTTTGTGATTAAAATCATTAAGATAAAAATAAGTGCAAAATTATGTTGCCACATGAGGGTTCAAACACTTTTTCCATAACAATTTCCAGAAAACAAGCTTGAAGATACAAACATCATGGATAGCTGAGTTTGTTTTGTTATTGTCCTTGTCAGGTGTGTTTACTATTTGTGATATCAGTTTTCACCTCATAAAGATGGCTGTGGGGAAGTATTCTCGAGTTGACGGAAGGAGGTCATTGAATTGTTGTTCGACGACCAGTCTAGTTGTATTTGTTGCATTTTGTTTAGTTGGGGTCTGGATGTTAATGTCAACGGTTGTTCCAATTCAGAATCAAGACTCGTCATCTGACGAGACCGTAAATGAGGTAAAACGGCAAACGACAACTGATAAAGATTCCAAGCAATTCGAAGACAGTTCAGGTGAATTACCAGAAACTGTAATAAAAAGGGATGACAATGGCAATGATTTACAGAGTGAAAGCCATTTGGATATTAAGAATGCTCAGAATGTTGCAGAGGATTTTTCTGTAAATACAACTGAAGAAAACAGGAAGAATTGGTTTTCAAAGGAGGAATCTGAGGTGAAGACTGAGCCAGAAAGTGAGAATGGTGTTGAGGGAAATCAGCAAGAGAAGCTTTTAGAGGAGAAATCTGATGAGAAACTTGAGACTGAAGAGCAAACAAAGACTGAGGCTGAAAATGATGGGGATGGGAAAACAAATGATCATGAAGCTAGTACAGGAGATGGGGAGTCCCAATTCAGAAGCTGGAAATACATCTGACTTCCAAGAAGGGGAGAAAAATTGGAGGGAGACGAGACTTCTGATGGAATAAAGCAGGAAGATGAAGTGACCATTCAGATTGAGAAGGAAAATGTTGAGAAATATCAAGACATTCATTCAGAAGAAAGTGATAGTAATAACATAGAAAGCCAGGAAACTACAGCTGAAAATGAGCAAGGGTCAACTGAAATCGTGGAGTCGCAGAATGAGAAAGAAACACAACAATCTTCCTTGTCTGAACATAAGAGTGGGCATGAGTGGAAGTGGAAACTCTGTGATGTCACTGCTGGGCCAGACTACATCCCTTGTCTTGACATTGGGGTTCTATCAGGAAGCTTCCAAGTACAATGCACTATGAACATCGAGAGAGGCACTGCCCTGATGAAGCCCTGACCTGTCTTGTTCCTCTTCCAGAAGGATATAAACGGTCCATTCAGTGGCCTACAAGCAGGGAAAAGGTATATCAGCTGTCTAGTAAAACAATAACAATTACCTCTTTTTAATCCTTGCAATTGAAATATGTTCTTGGTGCATGATGCAGATATGGTACCACAATGTTCCTCACACCAAGCTCGCAGTAGTTAAAGGGCACCAAAACTGGGTTAAAGTTACCGTGAATACCTCACATTTCCTGGTGGTGGAACTCAGTTTAAGAATGGTGCTCTTCATTACATTGATTTTATCCAAAAGTAAGTCCTATTGTTATATCATCTTATTTTCCAGATCATGTCATACATTGGTTTGCCAAAATATATTTTCAGAAATTTTATGGGAAGGGAATATCATTTCTGATTCCATTTACAGCACCAAGTAATAGTTATATTGAGGTAGGGCGATAAGGATATTACATTGTGCATGAGACATAATGTGTCGTACCAATTGATCAGTGATTCAGGATGCACCTGTGTTCATTCAAACTTGTTCCTATTAGTATTTGTATTGTAGGCATAGGGACAGTTTTTGAGGGTTTGGTTAATGGCTTTGTGCTGAACGTGAACTATTTTGTCCTTTTTTTTCCTGTATGCAGGACTGGGAATGTGTCTATGTGATTCTGTGTGGGTGTGCTCTAGTCCTTTATACAATTTTGAAATTATATTTTCTTTATACAATTACCAAATAGTGGGTTTGAATTATGGGATGCAGTTCCATCTGATTTCATCTCTTCATTCGTGCAACTTGTCCATTTCATTGTATTCATTTTGCCATGCTTCATGTGAAGTCCTGTTCTTTAGGAAGCAATATATTTGTATGACCTTGATTATATTTGTCTAAAAATATTCAATTGTGCCTCACTTGATCTTATATGTTTATTTTCTTTTGTGGTTCCTTGTTTAAGAAAACTAGTATTCAGCATTATTATCTTACTGGTCCGGAGTTTCAGTCTAATTATTAAAAAAAACATTATTTTTTGGTGAAACTTTTGTGTTTTTTTTCCGATGCTAAAAATGTATATTTCATTTTTGCTATGCAGTCTCTGCCTGATATTGCTTGGGGTAAAAGAAGCCGCGTGATATTAGATGTTGGGTGTGGTGTAGCCAGCTTCGGAGGTTCTCTATTTGATAGAGATGTTCTTGCTATGTCATTTGCCCCCAAGGATGAGCACGAAGCCCAAGTACAATTTGCACTAGAACGGGGAATCCCTGCCATATCAGCTGTTATGGGTACCAAAAGACTACCCTTTCCAAGTTCTGTGTATGATCTTGTCCACTGTGCACGCTGTAGAGTCCCTTGGCATATTGAAGGTAATGTTTGCAATTTATTTATTTATTTTCTTAGTCTGCATTGTTCTGGAGATATAATTCGAGTTTACATTGCAGGTGGTAAACTTCTCCTGGAGCTTAATCGTGTCTTGCGACCTGGTGGTTACTTTGTCTGGTCTGCTACTCCTGTTTACCAAAAGCTTCCTGAAGATGTTGGCATTTGGAAAGGTAGAATACTTCCTTTTTCTTTTTTCCTTTTTCCCTCCCTCTGAAACGAGTTGTATGTTTTGGTTGATCCTATCTAACATGTTCTCTCTCTCTCTCTCTCTCTCTCTCGGTAATTATTGGCAGCGATGTCTAAATTAACAAAGTCAATGTGCTGGGATCTGTTGGTGATTAAAAAGGACAGACTCAATGGAGTGGCTGCTGCCATATATAGAAACCTTCTACCAATGAGTGCTACAATGAAAGAGCACGCATGACCCTCCTCTATGCAGTGAATCTGATGATCCAAATACTAGCTGGTACTTTACCTTTTTGCCCAATATTGAAGTATTGGCGTTTCTTCTCCGTGTTTGTTATTTGTGGCCGCTAGTACGGAAATTGGAAGTGACATGAAAGAAAGATAAAAAATAATCAGAAAAAGTTTTTGTGTGGACATTTTTAATACAATGATAATTCATATAGCGCCAAAAATAAATACTAGATTACCTATGTGTACGTTTGCTACTCGATATGATGCATTGGTAAAATAAAATGATTTTGGATCTCAATAACATTTGCCATGTCAGATTTTAGAAGAATACTGATATTTTTCTATTTCTTCTGTTGTCTGTATAGTAATGTTTGGTAACTAATATAATTCGCTATGATGACGACTACTTATAGGTATCAATATTTATTTCTTAAATGGTGCTATAAATATAATTTAATAATGTTCTAACTTTTTTAAGTAATGTGTGGCATATCAGGTTATTCACGTGAATCAGTTTCCTTTATGGCTAATGTGCATTGAAGATTTTAAATTTCTTTAGGCATCAGGTTATATGTTAGTCTTGTTATACATATATAACCAATTTGCTCTAAGCTAAGCATTGTGACTCATATGTCGCTTATATTTGGAGTGTCTTTCCGGCAATAAGTTTTTGTTTTCAAACCTGAATTTTATATGAAGTTTTACGTTTTGGGTTTTGTGTATCCCTTGAAAATTCATTAGCAATGTGAAGGATTTTGCAGTCTGAAAAACAAAAGGATATTGTATTGCAGAAAATTCTCCAATGTCGTGAACTTGAGATGCATAAATATCATTCCAAATCTTTAAGTTGTACTTGCCCTTGTGAGAGTGACTAACATGTTGAACTGAAAGAGCTTTGATTGATAGCATCTTCCCTTTTCATAATTTCTGAGTTGTTAAATAAAATCTATGTCATAAGTTTTCATATGAACAGAAATAAATAGAAATTGATGCCACTATAGTTTTCAAGTCCACCTTTATTCTAAGTTGGCCTGCTAAACATCGTCAAATGTGGCTCAGAAAATACTTCACATCTTTGAATACCTATATGTAGTTAAAAGCTCCTTTATAGTATTCTCCTTGAGTTAAATTTCCAACACTGTTAAGTGTTCCATTTATTTCTGCATCATCAGGAATGTTTCACTAGAGGCATGCATGCACAAAGTGCCGGAGGATGTCTTGAACCGTGGGTCTCAGTGGCCTCCAAAATGGCCATTAAGGTTGGAAAAACCACCATACTGGTTAAAGTCTCAGCCTGATGTTGATGGAAAATCTGCCCCAGAGGATTTCATTTCTGACTACAAGCATTGGAAAAAGTTGTTTCCGAGACATATTTGAATGGGATGGGAATCAACTGGTCTTCTGTTAGGAATGTCATGGACATGAGAGCTGTATACGGAGGGTAAGCAATTTTTAATCTTATAATTTCTTTTTTCCATCACTACCTTAAATCACCCAGGTCACCCTCTTTCTGCTATTCCACACCCCCTCTTCTTTTCTGTTGCTTTGATTGAAATTATTGTTTCCATATATACCTAATGACTACTGCCGTTCACAAAAAGTTGAGTTTAGTATTGGTAATACTTTATATTTTGAACATCTTAGTGGCTGAAGGTGAAAAATATTGATGGCCTTAGATGGAACACATGGTCGAAAAGTTCAGATCAGTACGAATTGCATGTCATATTCTTTCCAAAAAAATAATGATCCCCTTTTCAGCTTCGTTTTGTTATTCTTACTTCTCTTGTGCAAATGTTTCTTTTTTCCAGTGTAGTAAAGAATTTTGAAATCTTTCACATAGTCTGACTTTTTTTGGCAATGCTTTTAGGTTTGCTGCAGCACTAAAAGACTTGAAAGTATGGGTTATGAATGTAGTCCCAGTTGACTCCCGTGACACACTCCCGATAATTTTTGAGCGTGGTTTAACTGGGATATATCATGATTGGTGTGAGTCGTTCAGTACCTACCCCAGAACTTATGATCTTCTACATGCAGATCATCTATTCTCCGTCCTTAAAAAAAGGTATCTAATGAAGCATTTTCCTATGATTATGTATAAAAACATATTTTACTGCGGTTTTAATCACAACAAAGACCTCCAAACATGTCGTCTGATACAATGTGTTTATGGTATTCTGGCTACAGATGCAACTTAGTGGCAGTGATTGCCGAAGTTGATAGGATACTTAGGCCAGAAGGGAAGCTAATCATATGGGACAATGCTGAAACCTTAAACGAGGTCGAGAGCATGGCTAAATCTCTGCAGTGGGATATCCGATTTACGTATTCGAAAGACAATGAGGGTTTGCTATGCATACAGAAGACATTTTGGCGTCCTGCAGAGAGAGAAACAATTTTGTCAGCAATTGCCTAAATGCTTCGATCTGTGTCTTTGACTGGGTAAGGCTTAGTCAATGCTGGAAGTATAGTCTGTTCAAGTTTCTTTTGTTCGCTTAGGCACTAAATTATAAGAACTATACACTGAAGTAATACGTTAATATGTAAAGTTCACATAATTGATTATTCTTTCAGATCCCCGATAAAGTTCTCGTCTCCTTTTCTAGTTGCTAAGGGAACTTATGGCCCTTCATAGAGGGATTGGGCTTTGAATTTTTGTATCTTATGTTCTGAGTATAAATGGCAGTCAACCACTCAACCGCATTTTATTGTAGTCTTTTGGTATGTTATTGCTCTTTTCTAACTCTACTACCAAAAGTGCATCTCCATGCTGGGATAGGTTAATTAGTAGGTTCGGAGTTATGGCAACTAAATGGGATAGGTTAATTAGTAGGTTCGGAGTTATGGCAACCAAAAAACCTAATTTATATCTAAGTGTGTTTGAGTTTGTCTTTGGTCGTGCAAAGCATTATAAACAAGTAGTGTTGTTATATTGGACTTCATTGTATCGGCATTACTTATTTTCTTATTTGCATATCCCTTTGGCACAAGAAAAACTTGGTTGCAACGGTGATAGCATTATTTTTGCTATCCCAACTAATAATGATATATCACGTGAAAAAGTTATCACGAGTGTCATAACATTATTAGCCGAAAATAGCATCCCCCATTTCGTGCAAATGTTTCTCCTTTGGCATGCGGGTTTTGAGTGCAGATAAGTAGCTATAACCCGCAGACAAATATCCAACGAAAATCAGGGCGGAGGAAAAAATGATTTGGAAATTAATTAGTTAGACCAAATTAAATTAGTGAGCAGTAAGACATGTGCAGTAGTTTGAGTGAGAATGGACCCTACCACTTTGAGATAGAGTACAGTGTCCATCTCCTTCCAACTCCTCCTGTCTCGAATGAGCCTGCATGCATAGATTAAACATTATCTTTCACCCGACATTCTTCCAACTTTGACGATTTTATAATTCTCACACACACAAGCGCTGCAAATTTATTTTATATAGGGACTGCTTCTCTGCAATGGCATCACACTATATTACTGACTGCCTACAAATTTCTTGGCATTTTAGAAAGAAAAAAAAATCGTAATTCATACTCGCAGTTTTCATTCTATGCTCATTTTACGAGTGATTCATACTTAAAAAAATTAATTAATTAATTTTATAATGACAAATTGAAAGTGTGAGCAGCCTTAGAAGTTCTTGTTTTAAATAGTGATTGATTTCAATTATTATTATTATTTTTTTAATACAGAGCGATAATGAGAGAGGAGAAATCGACCCTAAGACCTAAAATGCATAGATAAATGCTTTCAAACACTTGAGTTACAAGCTCTTCAAATATTAAATTTGAGAGGAATATTAAATTTTAGAGGAAGCCTGGACTACACCTTTTGACTTATGTATCAGTAGTTTGATTAATGTTTTCCGTTGCTTGCTTGTCTGACTGAACTTCACTTTTCAACTAAGGTGCACCATTAACTAGGAAATTGTGGCGCTCTAATCACAACCCTTTTCATAAAAATATACTAATATCTCACTGACACCATTGATGGCCATTACCTTTTTGTTGTAAATATATTTCTTTGTTGGCAAAATACCATACAAAAGTGTCAAGATGCTTCTTTTGAACTCTTTTAAAAATTTACTCATCAACTTTACATTAGCTAGGCTTGTTTGTTTGGCTGTGAGTAATCTGAGAAAATGAAAAAGGAAACTCTCTCCCTCATGTTTGCATGATTGAAATTTAATAATAACAATAATGCTACAATTGTAGGTTGGGTGTTCTCAACCATAGGCTTAAATGGCTTCAACAAATTATCTATATTTCCATGAATGATGCATAGCTCATTGAATTTAATTATTTTGATGAAGTTCTAACTGTCATTGCTTGCTTGACAACAGAGAAATTAATGAATTTAATTTGTTTAAAATTAACAAAGAAATTATCAGTAAGATATACCAGATTTCTGTACCCAAACCAATGCATAATGCATCATACATCATGACAATGTATGCATCCACATAAATTCAGCGAAGTAAGTTGGGTGAAGATCTTGTTCTGGTTAGGTCACAAATTGTCCAAGTGGCATTACCAATTATACCACTTTGAACAACTCTGACAACAAGGATTTGTTACCAGACATAGAAGAATTAATTTTATACCCAACCAAAATGAGGGGTCCAAGGAGAATGTTTTTTTTTATAAAACCCCTCAAATTCCTCACTTTCTCACTCAAAGAGATTCTGCTTCTAGTACACAATGAGAGCAACAACATGAGCTGCTCAAAGAGGTTTAGAATTATCAAATACCCTATTGTCTGCCATTGGCACACTTTCCTCAAACAATCAAGTTGGCAGTCTCCTTACATTACTCAACCTGTCTGCTGCCACCAATGCTCTAAAGCTGCCATCTGAGGATGTTAAAGTAGCATAGTGCCTGTCAGTTCCCAGAGTATTATTCAACATGTCTGGTTCTTGGAGGCACAAGTGCTTGCTCTTCACTCTTGTTGCTTTCATTGTTCTCTCAGAAGCATCAAGGTTGCCTAAGGACTGTTGGCAACAGATGCTGCCCAAGAAGCTACCAACTCCTTCCTCATCTCCCTCCAAAGGCACGAATTCGGCGACTAAATCTTCCTCCAAGTCCTTGGAAGCTCATAGGAAACTCCCCTCATCAGATGGAAAAGTCTAGCCACAGTGCTATGAAGAACTTTAGTTTCAATTCTATCTCTAGGTCAGCCAGAAAGGCAATCCGCAATGCTGCACCAATCAGAGGGAACCATGCACCGCTTTGAAATCAGTTATCAAATTGAGATATGCTGTTCTGATGAGATGCTTATGAACAAAGTTATATCTTTGTAGATTTCTTTTGACTTAGTCTGCGGTACAGTATGTTGTAAAGATCACAGAGTAGATTAATTTTTGGACAGGATGAATTAGCAATCATAATTTCGGGACAGTAGGATAATGCCTATGTATCTCTCTTAAATAATGTTGATCTTTGTACTTCTTCCTCGTAACGACTTGTGTAATCTATGTCTAATTTCCTCTCAAAATGACTTACACAAACTAACATATTGCTTCCTTCACTTTCTTGCTAAAACATCTTTATGAGTTAAACATTTTCTTGTATATATAAATTTCAGTTACTCAACTTGGGAATAAAACTAAGAACACATATAAATTCTTTACTTGGTTGGTTTGAGGTGCTAAATTAAAAATAACAGTAAATGAATTGAAATTTTGGGGATGGGTTGGCTAAATATTTACAGCTTCAAAGCTAGAAACCAATTTCTAGGCTAGTGTTGTGAAAAAATTATGCAGACCTGAGCAGAAGTAGTAGGCATATCTTTCATCAATTGAAACACAAAAGAATGCATGGCTCAAATCTTTGATCAATTGCTACTAAAGTGACAGTCAATCTCCAACAATATTACAAGACATACAAACAGACAGTACTGAAATGCAATCTATGAGCAGAGAGTCTTGGTATTACTTGATTCCAGTATTAACAAAAGAAAATAAGATTTATTGTTTGCAGCTTCATAACAGAAAGGGTTCTTCCTGGCGCAAACAGGATTGAATCTTCACCTCTCAGACTAGATTCTGCAGAAAAAAAGAGCATTATGAAACCAGGATGGAAATCGGATGAATTTCAATGCTTATATTATGCTATAGAAACTAACTGTTAAGGATTTAGTATTTGGTCCATGAAGAAATCATATGGCTTCACCAAAATGTTAATTTGGAATAATTTGGAACAATTTCTATTAGAACAGTTCAAATTAGATGCCTTCTAGCAAGAAAAGACTTAACGTACCTTCTTGTGGGTGAACTATGATGAGCTCTTGTCAAGCATTTCAAACGATAATTTGTAATGACGGTGATGTGTTTTACCGTTGGATGATCCACACCTCCTTCTTGTATGGACTCTATAAGTTGCATTGAAACAGACAACAATTCAAGTGTTTCTAGCTTACTAAGGTATTCAAAACCCTGTGGCAATGCCTTTAACTCCATACATCTACCAAGTGTTAATAACCGGAGATTCCTCATCACCCCTTTTGCTATAGTTATCTTATTCAATAAGGGGAAATTAAACAACTCCAGAATAGTAAGCTTTGGAAAGCCTCTGTTGAAACACAACTCATTACCAACATAGGCATTGACAAGTACAAGCCTTCCCAGACATGGCAATGCTTCAATATGAGGTAGTAAATCCTCCTCAAGTCTCGTCCAATGAAGATACAGATATGTAAGGTTCTGGAGTGAAGAGAACCAAGGTGGTACCTTTTGCAACTTGCTGGCAAAAAAAAGCCTTCGAAGGTGTGGAGGAGGTGAAGATAATTCATTGATGTCAAGAAACTCCTCCTCACCACTTACCCCTATAGCCAAGTACTGAAGTAGCTTCAACTTTTGAATTGAATCACATAGGTCCATTGCGTCTCTCTCTTTTACATTCGTAATGCCAATCTTTGTAAGTTGAGTCATATTCCCAATGAGCCTTATAATGTTTCCTTCTGATTCAACAAATGACAAAACTTCCAATTTCTTCAGCTTACTAATATTCAATGGCACTCTTGTCCCACTGGCCATTCTGAAGGCCATATTCTCTCCAGAATGACGGAGCATAATTATATGGCGCAGGTTTTGCAACTTGGAAATTCCTGTGGGAAGTACCTCTATCTTAGTATTGAGGATGTTCAATGTCTGAAGGTTGCGGAGCAGTCCTATGGCTTTTGGAAGCTCCTTAATTTTAGTTCCCTTCAAACTTAAGTATCTTAAGTTGAATAAGTACACTAAATTATGTGGCAGCTTATCAATTTGGACATCCTCCAAATCTATAACCCTTGACAATTTGAATCCAGAAGGCAATGACTTTGAGAAAGAAAATGAGAATATGCCAGTAACGAATACAAGAAAAGAACGAGGGCGTGACATACCAATGCAAGATTCAATTCCTCCTTGGGTTGTTTGGATTGACAAACGGCGGGCTCTAATGTCTTCCAGTACTTCTTTCCCATCATGTACAACAGAAAATTTTTCTTTCTCAGATGTTGACAGAGCAAGCTCTCGCATAAGGTCATGCATCTTACATGATTTTGGCCTACCGGTTTCATTCCTCTCTACAACTTGTAGCATGTTACGAAAAATGAGTTCCATAAGATAGCTATCTGCAATTTGTTCAGGTGTGACCCCTCTAGCATGTTCAACAAATCCTTCAGCTATCCATAACCTAATGAGCCTTTTCCTTCGAATCAAATAATCCTCTGGAAAAAGGGAACAATATAGAAAACAATGCTTCAAGCGATATGGCAAATCATTGAAACTAAGTAACAAGATGCTCTTCACAGGTTCTAACAAATGATGGCTTGTTAGATGCCAATTTAAGCCATTGTAGACTTTACTCCACTCCGCAGCTGATTTCTTGGAAGACATAAGACCACCTAAAGCTATGATAGCTAGAGGTAGGCCTTTACACTTTTCCATGAGTTCCCAAGCTAATTTTTCAAGCTCTGGTGGACAACATTTACCATCAAAGGTAGAGAATGATTTCCTGCTGAAAAGCTCCCAAGCGTAATTCTTTTCCAGGGGTTGCATACAGTGAACATGGCTTTCAACTCCAAAACAATGGAATGCTATGTCTTCTTTTTGAGTTGTAAGCATGATTCGACTTCCAAGCTGTCTATCTGGAAGTGATATCCTCATTTCTCTCCAAAGTTTGATATCCCACACGTCATCCAGTACTACTAGGTACCTTTTAGACTCCAGGTAGTTCAGCAGAAGTTGTATCAAGTCTCTGTAGCCCATGGATAAAAGGTCGGCAGGGATATCTTCATTCCTTGTTTGGTGGAGTTCCTTGATCAAGCTCCGAAACAAGTCTTCAATCACATAAGTTTGGGAGACAGTGATCCAAGCATAAGAATCAAAATGTCTCTTTACAGTTTCGTTGGTGAAGGTCTTGGCAACTAGAGTTGTTTTCCCGGATCCTCCCATCCCGACCACAGAGACAACAGTTAGGTGTTGCTCTTCATTGAGCAGCCATGCAGTTAATGTTTGCTTCTTTCCATCAATCCCGACGAGTTCATCTTCATTAACAAAGAGAGAAGACACTGCTTGGTTCTTGACCCATTTGCTAATATCATCCCAACTTGTTCCTACTACACCCTCAAGAGCATATCTCTTATTTCTCTCTGGAATGGCCTTGATCATTTTAGTGATTTTGTGTAACTTGTTGGCAATTTTACGCCGATAGAAGAGATTCTTTGGAATATGAATGGTCCTGTGGAGCCACCTTGCAAATCGTCCCCTACTTTGCTGCTCATACATATGATACATGAATTCATCGATGATATCTTCAACATCACTGGTTAAGTCTCTGACACTTGTGACCCAAGCTTTCTGTGCTTCTGTCTCTGTTTTCTTGCCGTCAACATCCTCTAGGAAGGATGTCATGCTTATCAGCTCCTGCTTAATCTCATCAACTTCATCACGGACAGCGGCTATGGAGTATGCTTCGTTCTCGAGAACGTCGATAATTTTGCGAACCAAGAGAGCTGTTGGAGCTGAGTCCATATGGATTCACCTCTTAGGCAACCCTAATTGACAGAATTTCCAGAGTATTGCTCTCACATATGTGCAAATGTTTTAAGATCAAAACAAAATATGAAAATGGTGCATATATAAGCAATCAACATGTGTGCAAAATGATGCAGTTTTATTATATGCAAATCCTAACTTAACTTGAATTGCATGCTTTATCAATTACAGAATAAAATTTTATTGATGAAGGAAGAATAACATACCAAGTCTTGGGTAGATCTGATCTGATGGGATATGAAAGCTCATAAAAGAAATGCAGTGATTTGCTTCAATTCTGTGAAGAACAGGACTCTCTCCTCTGTTAATGAGCTCTAATAGCAAACTCAGTGAGATAAAACGACAAGGTTTAAGAAAGAAAATGGAGAGGTACGTGGGAACACTTAGACCATGAACAAAATTTCTACTTGCACTTGTTTTCCTACCATAGAAAATGGAGAGATAAGTGGCAGCTGCAAATGGTCAACATATCGCAATATTATTGCTATTTTATCGATAATATTGCGATATGAACTTTCAAAAATGAAATAATTCAATTGAATTCACGCACACAGGGGATTGAACCCCTCCCCCTTTCAAGTTCGGGAGCCACTCAACCACCACGCTAGTGGTCACTTTGCGACTAGTTCCTATGGAATTTATATTAATAAGTCTTCCAAGCTGTTCCTCAAAATAGAAAATAATTACTTATGGTTCTATATTGTTGATCAAATATTTAGTGCAATACCCAGTAATGGATTTTCTATCAATAGCATTCCCCGCCTAGTCAACATTGGTGTATGCCATGATTTGAGTATGACCATGTTGTTCATGATAATTCCCCAAACAATGGAGCCCTTGAGGTATCTTAGAATTAATCCTTTTAACAACGTTTAAATGAGCCTCAGTGGGTGCATGCATGAATTGGCTAACAAGGCTGACGACATAAGTTATATCCGGTCTAGTAATGGTGAGATATAAAAGCTTACCCACTAGTCTTTGATAGTAACTTATATCACTGAGAAGTTCTCCTTCCAAGTCCAACTTCAATTTGCTATCAAGAGGGATATGAGCTGGTTTGCAATCCATCATCTTCACTTCTTGAAGCAAGTCAATCACATATTTCCTTTGACTTAAAAACAGTCCATTGGGAGAAGTAGCCATTTCAATCAAGGAAGTATTTTAACTGTCCTAAGTTTTTAATGGCAAATTTCTGATGAAGAGAATGCTTAAGAATGTTAATCTCATCAATATTATCACCTGTGATGATGATATCATCAACATAGATTAGAACAACTAATTTTCCAACTAATCCAGTTCGAACAAACAAGGATGAATCAGCATGACTTCTCTTGAAACCAAACTTTTCAAGTACAAAGCTCAGCTTGGCATACCAGGCACGTGGAGATTGTTTCAATCCATAAATGGACTTGTGAAGCTTGCAAACCATACTTGAATTATGTGCTTGTGGATGACCATGAGGTAATTGCATGTAAACTTCCTCTTCAAGGTCTCCATGCAAAAAAGCATTTTTTACATCCATTTGGTACAATGGCCACTCATGATTAACTGCAACAGATAACAAAACCATCACTGCACTTATCTTAGCCACAGGAGCAAATGTCTCCTTATAATCAACTCCAAACATTTGAGTAAAACCGCGAGCCACCAATCTTGCCTTGTGTCTTTCAATTGAACCATTAGAATTGAGCTTGGTTTTGTAGATCCAACACTGCCTACCACCTTCTTTCCCTTTGGAAGCTGGACTACACTCCGGGTTTTATTTTCATCCAAAGCCTTGAGTTCTTCTTCCATGGCTAGCCTCCAAACATCTTAAAGATTGGCTTCTTGAAAGTTCCTTGGTTCACTTTCATTTGAGAGTTTACTGAGAAAAGTTGCATGAGAGTGAGAGACTTTGGAGTAATTTACAAACTTGTGAATTGGGTACCTTGCATTGTATGTTACATAGTCTTGCAGCTTTGATGATGGATGTCTATCTCAAGTTGGATTCCTTTGAGGTTGAGCTGGGATCACAGTATGTAGGTTCAAGTCCACTCTTTTCTATAGATGATGTGTCATTATATATCATGAGGAACCACTTGTGCTTCTAAGGCTTTAGTTTCATCTCCAATAATCACGTTCTCATTACTGGTTGCATGAGAGTCACTGTCATGAGGTACTAAATGAACACAATCACTTGTTTCTACTGGATTTGGTAATGAAAAGAAATCTAGTAAGTGCTCCCCCTAACGATTTTGATATGATGGTTTGTTGAAATAAGGTTTGATCTCATCAAACCTTACATCTCTTGAGACAATCAGCTTCCTGGAACATGGATTGTAACATTTGTAACCTTTTTGAGTGGAGGAGTACCCCATGAAAACACACTTAACTGCTTTGGGATCTAGCTTGTCTCGATGATGGGATTGAATATGAGCATAACAAGTACATCCAAAGATTCTCAAATGGGAATTTAATTTTTTTGTTTTGCATGACCTCGTTGGTGATTTTGAATCTAGAACACAACTAGTCAATCTGTTGAAAAGGTAGGAGGCTGCAGCCTGCAAGAACTCCTTGAGACCAAAACCTCTTAGGCACATTCATTTGTAACATTAGAGCCTTGGTTTTTTCAAGTAGGTCCCTATTCTTCCTTTCGGCAATTCCATTTTGCTGAGGAGTACCTACACAACTTGTTTGATGTATAATGCCATGTGTACTCAAATAGTTAGTCATATTTTTAGATGTATATTAAGTGCCATTATCAGACCTTAGTATGTGAATTTGAGATAAAAAATGGTTCATGACAAGATTATGAAAATTCTTGAAAGCATCCATGACTTCACATTGAATTTTAGGAGGTACAACCAAGTGACTCTTGAAAAATCATCAACAAAAGTAACGTAGTACCTATAACCATCAAAAGACTCTAGAGGTGCAGGTCCCCAAACATCGGAGTGCACCATCTCAAAAAGCTTGCTAGCTCTAGATATGGAAGAATTAAATGAAAGTCTAGTAAATTTTGACAAATGACAAATTTCACATACAAGTAAGGATTTGCATAAACTAGGGAACAAAGTAGACAAAACAAATTCTGAGGGATGTGCTAGACATTGGTGCCACAACTAATGTTCTAGATTTGAACTGACTTGGAACCCCTGTGGATCCTTAAGGTCCTTTGAAAATAGTACAACCATTTAGGTAGTGACCTTTAGCAATCAGTTTTTTGGTGGCTAGATCCTGAAAAACAACATTGTGAGGGGAGAAAATTGCACGACAGTTGAGAGAATTTATAATCCTTCCTACGGACAACAATTGAAAAGGAAAATATGGAATATTTGGACTCAACACTCTTTGAAATCAATTTAACTTTCCCTCTACCTAGAACGGGTACACCTCTACCATTTTCTATAGAAACTAGTAAGATGGTTTAGTGTAGCTTTCAAAATTGTATAGCTTTGAATATTGATTCGTCATGTGATCAGTGACACCTGAGTCTATAATCCAAAAATCATGAGAATGACTAACATTTAGAGCAGTTGAAAGAGCACACATAATATCTAGGATATCTCATTGAGGTGATCAAACTCAGCTAAGAACCCTACAAACTGCCCAAGGAGAGCAGTTTGATTTCCACTAGTCAACACTTTGCTTGTGCTTCCTTTTTGGTTTGAAGATAGGCTGAGAACTCATCAATTGATGTAGCAGCAGCAACATGGTTTTTGTTTGTATGTGATCTGGTTTGTGAGCCCTTGTAGTCTCTTGATGGCCTGTTCTCAAACTTTGGCTTCAACTTAGGGTGTAATATCCAGCATCGATATATTAGATTTCCAACATTATTGCAGTGTGAACACTTCAGATCTAACCTTTTTTCCTTGTACACTTTATCTCCAGATGACTTGTGGTTTGTCACAAAAGCTCTAGCCTCAGACACACTAGATTTTACGTCAACATTCATGACTTTCCTACTTACTTATTCTCACTGGATAGTAGTGCAAACACTTGCAAATGATGGAAGTTCGGGGTTCATTAGAATATGGCTTCTAAGATCTTCATATGTAGACCCCAAACTTGCTAGCAAATGAAATTTTTTGTCTTCCTCAGACATTTTTAACAGTAGGGCAGCACTGATAGTATGTGGTCAATACATATCTAGTTTGTTCCACATATTTTTTATGCAACCGAGATGATGAACAAAGGATTTGTCACCTTGTTGGAGACTTGCAAGATTCCTCTTAAGTTGGAACACTCAAGCAGCATTGTTTTGATTTCTATACATATCTTTGACTGCCTTCCAAAGAGAAAGACAGGATTCTGAAAAATTGAAGATTTTAGATAGCTTAGGATCCATGGAGTTGAGGAGCCACGACATGATTAGTTGGTCTTTGCACAGCCATGCTTTATACTCCAGAAACGAGGCGTCAGGTGCCTTAATGCTTCCATTGACAAATCCGAGTTTGGATCTTCCTCCAAGGGCAAGAGATACTGCTCTAGACCATGGAAGATAGTTAAACTCATTTAACAACACAAAGCACAATCGTTGGTTTGCGTTGACTTCAGCTTCTGGAAAACTGGAGTGAGGTACTATGAAGCTTTCAGCTTTAGAGCCAAATGTAACACCCCGACCCCAAATTTACCCCATGTTTTAATTTATTTAAGTGGAATTGAGAATTACCAGTGGGATAGGGGTATTTTAGTCATTTTCTTACCCGGAAGGAATTTGGGAATTTCGGTTGTACCGTTGCGTAGAGCACGGTGAGTTGAGTCCATAGACACGTAGTGGGCTTGAATCGGAGTTGTAACGAGAGAGTTATGATCGAATGAAACTCAGTGGCACGATCGTAAATATTTTGAAATGGGATTTTTGGTTAAAAAGACGGAATTGCCCCCGTCACTCAGACACTCTCTCTCTCCCGCGCGTCTCTCCCTCTCTCCTCTGGTTTTCGCGACAACCACCGTGGCCGGCCGTTCATTCATCTGGCCACCACTCGGGTCGGGACCGGTCCCAAAATGACCGGCCTGACTCCGCCGTCCTACCCCACCCATTCTCCGATGTCAGCCGGCAGCGATATCGCCGGAAATTGCAGAAAAACGGCCGGTTTTTACCCAGATTTTTCGGAGCTCGTTCCGGCGATTCCGGCCACCAAATCTTGCGATCAAGGTATGCTTTCTTACCTATTTTTCGTGATCTAGCTGATGGTTGGGTAGGATTGTATCGATTTTGAGCGTAGGACGTCTGATCTTCGAAGTGGATTTCGGCCGGATTTCGAGGGGAGATTCCGGCCACTTCCGGTCAGATTTTGGGGTATGCCCAAGAACAAAAGTGGCTCAGAATAGGGTTTTACATCTAGGATAGGAAGCTTGGCCGGCGGTTTGGAGTTTTCCGGCCGTCGGAAATTACTCAAGGCACCCACGCGCTGCCGGCGCGTGTAGCGGCGCGTGGGCTAGGAAAATGGACCAGCTTGAGGTTCTAAAATGATCTCCTGGTTCTCACGAGCGCGTAGGTGTGCTCGGATCTCATTTTGGGTACCGTTAGAGTCCCGAACGGATATCGCATATCGTGTATTTTCCGGGATCGCTAGGTTTGGACCGTTGGATGGTCCTGAAGTTATTATATGTTGATCTAAGTATTACCAGGATCGTGTAGGATTCGACAGATCGTAAAACGGAGTCCCGGATACTCTGGAAATGCCAACCCTGGGGTTAGGGTTTTAGTAACCGTCCGATCGCGTGATCGTGAGCGATCCGACCGTCCGATCTGGACCAAACTTGCAGGACATGTGTCCTAGAGCCTATAGAACCTATAGGAACTTTCGGATCGAAATTTGGAGGTTGTGGGCCCCGCAGGCTCGTTTGACCCTAGGTTGACCGTGAGACTTCCGAGATAGTCTTACCTTTATTTGAGGGTTAGAATGACCTTAGTGACAGGTCTTGAGCATTGTTGAGTTAAATGGATATTGTGGGTTTAGGATATAAATTGGTGAATTTAAATGGGGGAGTTTATGGAATGTTTTATTGGTTGATGTTACTGTAGGATTAGAAATTATATGGTATATAATTAATTGTGTGGACGTGTAATGATATATAAAGAGATTGAATGTTAGTTTACAGTGCTATACGCACTACCCCACATACCCCCATATTGTGCTTATGTTGAGGCCCAAGTGACAGTAAGATGGCTGGTGAGAATGTAGCCAGGCCCGTGAGGTCGCACGCGTCTTTGGATTAGCCGGCGTGTTGACAGACCCCGTACGTGGCCGGGTACGTCCCGACGTATGAGTGGGAGATATGATGGTATGATGGCTGGTGAGAATGTAGCCAGGCCCAGTGTGAGGTCGCACACGTCTTTGGATTAGCCGGCGTGTTGACAGACCCCGTACGTGGCTGGGTGCGTCCCGACGTATGAGTGGGAGATATGATGGTATGATGGCTGGTGAGAATGTAGCCAGGCCCAGTGTGAGGTCGCACGCGTCTTTGGATTAGCCGGCGTGTTGACAGACCCCGTACGTGGCCGGGTGCGTCCCGACGTATGAGTGGGAGCTATGTGATTATGTTTAGTGTGTTGTGATGGATAAACCCGAGAATGTATGAATTTATATGGATGTGATGGTTTAATTGATATCAGGAGCCAGGATTGATAGGAAAGAGCTACGTGTGGCTTGATCCCTTAGTAGGGTACGTAGGCAGCCTGGGATAGCGCCTAGGTGCAGCCACGACCTAGACACCACTTAGGTGGTTTTATCGAGTATGATGCGGACCTCGTGGTTGGTCCCTAAACTTGGTTGAATTGAGGCTTGTCCGGTGACTGAGTGAGTGAAGGTGTGTAGGGATGGATTTCGAATTGGATTTGTGCATGTGTGATGCATTAAGTTATTTTGAAAACAGTGTGAGTAGTTATGCTAAAATCATTTGAAGGCCGGAGGCCATTTATGTAAATTGCATGAGATTATATTGTGCGTGCTGCTGGTTGGGTTATAAGATGTGTTTTATGCAGGTGGAAATTTTGGGGAATGTTCAATTTGCAGGGGAGATTCTGCCGAAATTTTGGCAGAAAGTCTAGTGCCATAAATCCTCTCTGGTAAAAGAGGACATAGTTTTAAGGAGTGAACCCGGCGTGGGTGTGACGCCGGGGTCTCCGCAGGGTTCGTCTCGGGTTCCGGGAAATTCGGGGCGGGTCCTGTCACAAAAGTATTATCTTCTGCCATTATTGAATAGAATGAACAGAAGAAAATAAGGAAACAGTAGAGACCGGTTAAGGTTTCTGCTCTGATAACATGTGGAAAATGATGGGGACAATGTGTTTTCTCATTATATCTTCTTGACAAGATTACAAAGTATATATGCATAAGCTGGGGAAGGCTAATATCCACTGGCCAAGTTAAGAACCTTTGGCCAGTCTAAGAGTTGTTGGTCAACACGCCACAACCTTAACTTCCATGATTTAATCCCTAATTATAGGGAAACTCTAATTACAAGTAACAAGATCAAGTCACCCTAAATTAAGGGAAACAAACGTGTAAATGGGACAACCACCAATAGCTAATCACGGCTAGCAGCCACCTAGCCACCAATACTTCCAATAGTATGTATGTAATCCATTGTTTGGCAACTTAAGTACGGAACTTATTAAATGATAAGCAAAAACAAAATCATGGAAATTGGGGATTGAGATTCCCAGTTTTAATTTCCGACAAAAAAGGCGTCATTTCACAATTTATATTGAGTGCTGCTATTTCCACCCACCTGTCCTATTTTCCCACCCACCTTATCTTTAAACTTTTCAAGACAAATTTAACCCTATTGTAAAATGACTTAAAAGGACTTAGGAAAAAAAAAGAGGAAAAAAAAACAACCATATGATGAGCACAAAGCGACCAAGAGAGCTGCCAATTTCTTCTCCTGTATATGTTACAAAAGACTAAGATACTAAGAACCAGTTATATTTGTAAGATTGGTGCATAATACAAGTTTCCCTATATATGTATAAGTCAAGTAGCATGGATACAGAACTAAAGCGCCATGTAGTAAACTTACTCTAGGAAAAGAACAGAGTTGAAAAGCTAAACCTGCAAAGCCCCACAGAAAAAGGATATAATATATGACATACGGGTTGGGGAGTTCGTCCCAATTAAAGAGATGAAGATCAACCACCCAAAGAAATACTTGTATATAATTTACTACATTTTCATTTTGATATATGGATTGAAACACTAAGAGGATAAATGGGATTATATTGACAGCATCCATATTTACAAAAATAAAAATAAAAATGACAGCAAAAAACTATTTTAGTTCAATAAACACAGAGATGGAGTGTGAGAGATGGAAAATAAGATAGAGCAAAAATGAGAGAGAGATGTGTGGGCCGTCAGAGAGAAAGAAGACATGAGCAGAGAGAATAAAGGAGAGAGGAAATGAGGTCATAATTAAAAGGGTATTTTAGGAATATTGGTGGGTGTAAAAATAGGATTGTGTTTTTTAAAATTTATATGGTGGGTGAGAAGATAAGGTGGGTGGGAAAATAGGACAGGTGGGTGGAAATAGCAGTACTTTTTATATTGAGTATGAATTCGCGTTTCACTGTAATTTCTGTCATTTACAAAATTCGTCATACATAAATCCAAACATTAAAATTATTTGTTGCCATAAATTTAAGAATTCTTTGTAATTTCCGATTTCTTAATCCAAGAGAGGGTAATGTAATAGAAAATGATACTTCATTCATTCATTGAGGTAAAAATAGAGACACACCCAATTTAGACAGAAAGAATGCTACAAAAGGAAGGAATCAACATACATAGACTAATCAAGGGAGAAAATCATAGCATATGATGGAGGCAATTAACAGAACTTTAACCAACAACTTTAATTATATTTAGGTTAGGTTAAATATTTAACCTATTTTCTTCTCTTCTCTGCGCCGTTACCTCTCTTCTTCTCTCTATCTCTGCGCCATTTCTTCATATCCTTTTCCTCTCTCTCTCTGTCTCTGCCACGCCGACCAGATCTGGCTTTGGCCCGTCTCTAGCTTTGACGAAGCGAGATGGGAGGTGGATTTCGAGTTCTTCATCTGGTGAGACCCTTCCTTTCGTTTTTGCCGGAAGTGCAGAGCGCTGACAGGAAAGTCCCCTTCAGAGAGAAGGTGATATACACCGTCATCTCCCTCTTCATTTTCTTGGTATGCAGCCAGCTCCCTCTGTATGGCATTCACTCCACAACTGGCGCAGATCCCTTCTATTGGATGCGTGTGATTCTCGCTTCCAACCGAGGCACTGTCATGGAGCTTGGGATCACTCCAATTGTCACATCTGGGCTCGTCATGCAACTCCTTGCTGGCTCTAAAATCATTGAAGTCGACAACAATGTACGCGAAGATCGTGCTCTTTTGTAAGTATAATCTCCATCTCTAGGCCTTTATATTTAATTTTTAATTCGGTTTTATCACTCTTGATTTGTTCGTTTGAATGCTTGAATTTGCATATATTGCAGCCAAAAGGGTTTTCATAACTGTTTCAAAATACGGGCTTGAAATCTGGGAACATTAAAAAATGGTGTTTTCAGTTTTAGGTTATTATAGAGCCATTTTTTTCTACTGCCTTCTAAAATTATACATGTTAATTGTGATCACTTGTCTCTAGTTAACTTATTTTGTTTGGAAATTTCTGTTGTTCAGTTCTTTTCTAAGGTAATATTTAGTATTCTCCTTCATTTGCAACTTGCAACTTGCATGTGCCTCTTGCTATTTTTATTCTACGTGATGATTTCTGTTTTTCGTCCCAGGAATGGAGCACAGAAGTTATTGGGCATCCTGATAGCTATTGGTGAGGCAGTTGCGTATGTTCTCTCGGGCATGTATGGTAGTGTTGGGCAACTTGGAGTTGGAAATGCCATTCTCATTATCATTCAGCTCTGCTTTGCTGGTATTATTGTGATATGTTTGGATGAACTGCTTCAGAAGGGATATGGTCTAGGCTCTGGAATTTCTCTTTTCATTGCCACCAATATCTGGTGAGTTTGTAATCCTTTCTTCTGCCTAGTTATGTCCAGCAGTGGGATCTTTTGCATAACAGCTCAATAGTTTACGAGTTCAGCATGTTCAAAATTTTCCAAATTTTGAGTACTTTAAAAGTGATATAATTCTTTATCAGTGAAAACATTATCTGGAAGGCGTTTAGTCCCACCACTATCAACAGTGGCCGGGGAGCTGAATTTGAAGGCGCCGTTATTGCCCTGTTCCATCTTCTGATAACTCGTTCAGATAAGGTTCGTGCTCTTCGAGAGGCCTTTTACCGGCAGAATCTTCCAAATGTTACAAATCTGCTTGCGACAGTGTTGATCTTCCTTATAGTAATCTACTTCCAAGGGTTCCGTGTGGTTCTGCCTGTGAGATCAAAAAATGCTCGTGGGCAGCAGGGTTCCTATCCTATCAAGCTGTTCTACACCTCCAACATGCCAATCATTCTGCAGTCTGCACTTGTGTCAAACCTCTACTTCATCTCCCAGGTACTGGAGTTTTTTATGTTTGTATGGACAGGTTGTGACTGTTTCTTCTACTGTGCAGTGTAACCATTTGTTTTTCTTTTTAAATTTTTATGTACAGTTGCTGTACAGGAGGTACAGTGGAAATTTCCTTGTGAATCTTTTGGGTAAGTGGAAGGAGTCTGAATATTCGGGTGGACAATTCATTCCTGTCGGTGGTCTTGCATATTATATCACTGCCCCTTCAAGGTAATTTAGAATACTTTCCCTCTTGAAGATGTTATGTTCTGTGCCTAATGAAGCTTGCATTTTTGTTGGTAAACCTGATAATTATGTGTGCTTCCCTCTCTATTCTTGCTGATGGCTGCTTTAATTGATATGTTGCTATAATGTTTTGCAGCTTAGCTGATATGGCAGCCAATCCTTTCCATGCACTCTTCTATCTTGTGTTCATGCTGTCAGCCTGTGCACTTTTCTCAAAAACATGGATTGAAGTTTCTGGATCCTCTGCCAAAGATGTTGCCAAGCAGCTCAAGGTAAGTTAAAATAGTTTATCCATTCTCTTTTGTTGCAAATGAGGGGGTTAGTGTGGCTCCTACCCATTGTATTCTCATATCTTACGATTTGTTTGACCTTATGGTCTTGAGTTTAGTGGCCAGATCAGACCCATCCCACTCAAATTATATTCCTACCAAATGCACAATTTATATAATAGTGCATTCGACTATTTTTATTTATATATTTTTTTATGAAGAAAAGTTTAGGGGGAGGGGAGGCTATCTCATCCTAGGGCCAGGGCATACCATGCCCCTTTGAGGACTGCATTTGACTATTCTTAAATCATTGCGTAATATACACACAGCTATGCAGCATGCTAATTACATCTCCCTTTCTAATTTGTAGGAACAACAAATGGTGATGCCTGGTCATCGTGAATCAAACTTGCAGAAGGAGTTGAACCGATACATTCCCACAGCTGCCGCCTTTGGAGGCATGTGCATTGGTGCTCTGACAGTGTTGGCCGATTTCATGGGTGCAATTGGTTCAGGAACTGGAATTCTGCTTGCAGTCACAATCATCTATCAGTACTTCGAGACATTTGAGAAAGAGAGAGCCAGTGAACTTGGTTTCTTTGGTTTCTAGGCAATTTGTTGCCAGTTATGTTTGGTCTCCCTGACAATTTTGGTGTGCTGAGAGATGTAAGTAGGTTTTAACAGCGAAGTTAAAGATATTAGGCTAGTCTCTTATCACTCCTTTGAAGAAAATACAGAAGCAATAAACCTCTAAACATAGTGTTATATGGGATCTTTTCCCTTTTGCATTTCCGCCACTACCATGTTCCATTGTCAAGTATCGTTGGATCTATGTAACACTATCAGGTCCTATGGTAAGGATCTTTATAATTGACTTGTCTGAAATGTTTAAGGACACCTTTGAGAAGGAACTGACTGAATTTTGCTCATGTTCGAGACTCTTAGAAATTCCCTTGTACTAGCATGTTGTTTCTGTTACACAAATGACTTTGCCTCTTTTGGACTTAAACAAGGACCAGACCGCCATATCTGAATTGAGATCTATTTGGCGCACTGCTCTGTATGAGAATGACGTATGTTGACAATTTGACACATTATTTGATAAATAAAAAGGCCTCATCAAGTCTAGCATTATTGGCTGGATATTATATCTTACCGGGATATGAAAATTCACAAAACAAATGCAATTAATTGCTACAATTCCATGAAGAACTTGTCCTCTCGCCTGACCAAATATTTGTCAACAATCTCTGGAAAGATGACAAAAACGTCGCTACTGAATAAAACAACACCCCATCTGTTAAAATACGTAAGTAAATAAAACAGCACCCCATCAAATAAAAAAATAAGTTCAAACAGCACAACATACGGCTGCTTGGGTGAAAAACCTTCAGTCTCCAACATTATCAACATGGCGGCTTTGATTAACAAGAAGCAAGAAAAGAAGATCAGTATTTCCATCAAAGCAAAAAGTGATCTTTGCGCCATTTTTCTACAATTTGATTCTGCAACAGATATTACAATGAAACTGAAATATGATTATCAAATAAATTAACCATACATGCATTATGCAGCTCACGAATTTATACACGGATTTAGCTTGCTTTTTGTAGCTCGAATTTTGAAAATGCAAATTTGTTTTCTTGTTTTCATTTAAAAAAAGTATTCTCTAAAAACATTATATGAAAATGTTACAGACATGCTCTAAGCAACTCCAAATGTGTAAGCTTTTCGAAGCCTATATTGAAACAACTCACTCCTAAGGGGTGGTGTTATAATTTTTGAACCCTTATGGAGGATGTTAGTGTAAATAACCCATTAAAGAAATTAGAAATCTTTTCTTAATCACACCAAATTGCAAATATCCCCTCACTTGTATTACTATATGAGACATGTGGGTGGGTTAAATATTTGTTGGGGTTCTCTAACGTACAAGTCCACTCCATCCTTCCACCTTTCAAGCATGTAATGAGCTGCTTCTATTAAAATATATTGCCTTTTATGACAGGACCCGTCCCGAATTTCCCGGAACCCGAGACGAACCCTGCGGAGACCCCGGCATCACACCCACGCCGGGTTTACTCCTTAAATCTACGTCCTCGTTTACCATAGAGGATTAAGGGCACGAGACTTTCTGCCAAAACTTCGGCAGAGTCTCCCCTGTAAATTGAACATTCCCCAAAATTTCCACCTGCATAAAACACATTTTATAACCCAACTAGCAGCACGCACAATATACTCTCATGCAATTTACATAAATGGCCTCCGGCCTTCAATGATTCTAACAAACTGCCCACACTGTTTTTAAAATAACTTAATGCATCACACATGCATATAACCCATTCAAAATCTATCTATGCACACCTTCACTCATTCAATCCATCGGACAAGCCTCAATTCAACCAAGTTTTGGGACCAACCACGAAGTCCGCATCATACTCAATAAAACCACCTAAGTGGTGTCTAAGTCGTGGCTGCACCTAGGCGCTATCCCAGGCTGCCTACGTACCCTACTAAGGGATCAAGCCACACGTAGCTCTTTCCTATCAATCCTGACTCCTAATATCAATTAAACCATTACATCCATATAAATTCATACATTCTCGGGTTTATCCATCACAACACACCAAACACAATCACATAGCTCCACTCATACGTCGGGACGCACCCGGCCACGTACGGGGTCTGTCAACACGCCGGCTAACCCAAAGACGCGTGCGACCTCACACTGGGCCTGGCTACATTCTCACCAGCCATCATACCATCATATCTCCCACTCATACGTCGGGACGCACCCGGCCACGTACGGGGTCTGTCAACACGCCGGCTAACCCAAAGACGCGTGCGACCTCACACTGGGCCTGGCTACATTCTCACCAGCCCTCATACCATCATATCTCCCACTCATACGTCGGGACGCACCCGGCCACGTACGGGGTCTGTCAACACGCCGGCTAACCCAAAGACGCGTGCGACCTCACACTGGGCCTGGCTACTTCTCACCAGCCCTCAACCATCATATCTCCCACTCATACTCGGGACGCACCCGGCCACGTACGGGTTCTGTCAACACCCGGCTACCAAAGACCGTGCGACCTCACACTGGGCCTGGCTACATTCTCACCAAGCCCTCATACCATCATAACTCCCACTCATACGTCGGGACGCACCCGGCCACGTACGGGGTCTGTCAACACGCCGGCTAACCCAAAGACGCGTGCGACCTCACACTGGGCCTGGCTACATTCTCACCAGCCCTCATACCATCATAACTCCCACTCATACGTCGGGACGCACCCGGCCACGTACGGGGTCTGTCAACACGCCGGCTAACCCAAAGACGCGTGCGACCTCACACTGGGCCTGGCTACATTCTCACCAGCCCTCATACCATCATATCTCCCACTCATACGTCGGGACGCACCCGGCCACGTACGGGGTCTGTCAACACGCCGGCTAACCCAAAGACGCGTGCGACCTCACACTGGGCCTGGCTACATTCTCACCAGCCATCATACCATCATAACTCCCACTCATACGTCGGGACGCACCCGGCCACGTACGGGGTCTGTCAACACGCCGGCTAACCCAAAGACGCGTGCGACCTCACACTGGGCCTGGCTACATTCTCACCAGCCCTCACACAATCATAACTCCCACTCATACGTCGGGACGCACCCGGCCACGTACGGGGTCTGTCAACACGCCGGCTAACCCAAAGACGCGTGCGACCTCACACTGGGCCTGGCTACATTCTCACCAGCCATCATACCATCATAACTCCCACTCATACGTCGGGACGCACCCGGCCACGTACGGGGTCTGTCAACACGCCGGCTAACCCAAAGACGCGTGCGACCTCACACTATCACTTGGGCCTCAACATAATCACAATATGGGGGTACGTGGGGTAGTGCGTATAGCACTGTAAACTAACATTCAATCTCTTTATATATCATTACACGTCCACACAATTAATTAAATATATCATATAATTTCTAATCATACAATAACATCAACCAATAAAATATTCCATAAACTCCCCCCATTTAAATTCACCAATTTATATCCTAGACCCACAATATCCATTTTACTCAACAACGCTCAAGACCTGTCACTAAGGTCATTCTAACCCTCAAATAAAGGTAAGACTATCTCGGGAGTCTCACGGTCAACCTAGGGTCAAACGGGCCTGCGGGGCCCACAACCTCCAAATTCCGATCCGAAAGTTCCTAGAGGTTCTACAGGCTCTAGGACACGTCCTGCAAGTTTGGTCCAGATCGGACGGTCGGATCGCTCACGATCACACGATCGGACGGTTATTAAAACCCTAACCCCAGGGTTGGCATTTCCGGAGTATCCGGGACTCCGTTTTACGATCCGTCGAATCCTACACGATCCTGGTAATACCTAGATCGATATATTATAATATCAGGACCATCCAACGGTCCAAACCCAGCGAACCCGGAAAACACGCGATATGCGATATCCGTTCGGGACTCTAACAATATCCAAATTGAGATCCGAGCACACCTACGCGCTCGTGACAACCTGAGGATCACATTGGGACAAAAATGCCCCTCAGCTACAGTGCCCACGCGCCGCCACACGCGCCGGCAGCGCGTGGGTGTCCAAAGCGATACCCATCGCCGGAAAACTTCCAAATCGTGAGCCCAGACTCCTACCCTAGGTAATACACCTAATTTGGAGTCACTTTTGTTCTTGGACGTACCCCAAAAACTGACCGGAAGTGGCCGGAATCGCGAACCCAAAACCGGCCGAACCCTAACTCGAAAATCAGATAATCTACGCTCAAAATCGATGCAATCCTACCCATCCATCAGCTAGATCATGAGGAAAGGATAGATTTCCATACCTTGATCGCCAAAAATGGCCGCCGGACGACGGAGAACGAAGCCGGCGAATTTTCTGTCAAAACCGGAGCTTTTCTCTTCGTTTTCCGGCGAAACCACGGCGGCTGGCGGCGGTTCCTGGCCGGGGTAGGAAGAGGACGGCAGCCCGGTCATTTTGGTACCGGCCCCGTCGACTTTGGTGGCCGGACGAGCGAACGGCCGGCCAAAACGTGGTCGGCCACGGTGGCTGTCGCGAACCAGAGGAGAGAGAGAGCGACGCGCGGGAGAGAGAGAGAGTGTGAGAGAGACGGGGGCAATTCCGTCTTTTAACCAAAAATCCATTTTCCAAATATTTACGATTATGCCACTGAGCTTCTTTTGATCATATCTCTCTCGTTACAACTCCGATTCGAGCCCACTACGTGTCTACGGACTCATCTCACCGTGCTCTACGCAACGGTACAACCGGAATTCCCAAATTCCTTCCGGATAAGAAAATGACTAAAATACCCCTAGCCCACGGGTAATTTCTTAATTTCACTCAAATTAATTAAAACAGGGGATAAATTTGGAGTCGGGGTGTTACATTTTAAATTGAGTTATGACTTTAAGCTTTTAATATGATTTGTGAGAAATTGACAATTCATTCGTTGCTACTAAATTTGAAGACTTTTTCAACATTTGCAACCAGATAGTTAAATAACAATGAAAGGCAGGTGGAATGGTGAAATCAGGGAGAAAATGAAAACCCTGCCTACTCCATTTCCAAATAATTTATCAAGAAGCAAACAAAATGAGCAAAGTCAACATACAACTCACTCTTGATGATAAAAATTAAAGACTTTCAGCAGTAAAACCTGTAGGAATTTTTTAATCAGCCAAGCTGGAGTACAAACAACACAACCTCCTTCGATTATTACATATGCAACCAGCAGATGTACAAAGAAGACCAGTCTTTCCATCTTCACACAAAGACATCTTGTCTCAGTCTGTTACATGTTGACAAATTGAGATATCATTTTCCATTTGATGCGCTCAAAATACAATTTCAAATCACTGAAATTTCTTGCACATTGGAGGAGCTTCCACTGCCAGCTGAAATCGTCACTTGATTCATTTGGCTTACCTTTCAACCTCTTCTATATTCAAATTCGTTCTACCATTGTGAGCAACTAGTTTGGATACAAGGCTAATATGGCCTTACCAACAGACTTCTTGATCGGCAAAATTGTGACCATTCTTGAGAACGAAGCATCCTCCATAGCCGGTGTTCGTGATGAAATTGATGACATCAAGCAGGAGCTTGTAAGCATGAAGGCCTTCCTAAATGATTTTGAGGGCAAGAAGGCACTCACCGAAGGTGGGGAGACGTGGGTTGCAAGCGTCAGAGGCATGGCCTATGATGTTGAAGACATCATTGACGAGTTCATGTATCACATGTATGAGCAAGGATGTCATAAGAGCCGATTTGCAAGGTGGCTCCACCATACTATTCGCATTCCGCAGAATGTTTGGTTCAGACGTCAAATGTCAGAGAAGTTGCGGAAAATCTCGAGAATGATTAAAGCCATTCCGGAGAGGAATCAGAGATATGGTGTCGGTGGACTAGAAGGAGCAAGTAGTATTTGTGATGATGTCCGTAAATGGATGCGGAACCAAGCGGAATCTTCTCTTTTTATTAAGGAAGATGAGCTCGTGGGGATTGAAAGAAAGAAGCAACTATTGATGAATTGGTTGATGAATGGAGAGCAACAGCAAACGGTTATCTCTGTAGTGGGGATGGGCGGATCAGGGAAGACGACTTTAGTTGCCAAGACCTTCAACGACGAAAGGGTCAAGAAACAATTCCACTGTTGTGCTTGGCTAACTGTTTCACAAACTTATGCGACTGACGACTTGCTTAGAAGCTTGATTAAGCAATTCCACGAAGCAAGGATGGAAAAGGTCCCTGCAGACATGAATTCCATGACATACAGAGAATTGCTACAGGTGCTGGTCAATTACTTGGAGTCTAAAAGGTACATGGTTGTATTGGATGATGTGTGGGATATCAAACTTTGGAAAGAAATGAGGATAGCACTCCCAAATACACAGTTTGGAAGTCGAATCATGCTTACTACTCGAAGAGAAGACGTAGCATCCTATTCTTTTGGAGTACAAAGTCATATTCACCACATTCAACCCCTCGGAAAGAATGATGCTTGGGATCTGTTCAGCAGCAAAGCATTCTCAGCTTACCAGAATAAATGTTGTCCACCAGATCTTCAATCATTGGCTGAGGAACTTGTTGAAAAGTGTGAAGGCCTACCTCTGGCGGTCAAGGCTTTAGGTGGTCTGATGTCTTCCAAGAAGTCATTAGAATGGATCAAAGTCTACAACAGCTTAAACTGGCATCTAACTAACCATCCGTTACTAGAGCCAGTGAAGAGCATCTTGTTGTTTAGCTTTGATGATTTACCATACCCATTGAAGCACTGTTTTCTATACTGTTCCCTTTTCCCAGAAGACTATTTGATTCGAAGAAAGAGGCTCATTAGGTTGTGGCTAGCTGAAGGGTTTGTTCAAGATGAAAAAGGCGCCACACCAGAAGAAGTTGCTGAGAGCTATCTTATGCAGCTCATTTTCCGTAGCATGCTACATGTTGTTCTGAGGAATGAAAGTGGAAGACCCAAAGAATGTAAGATGCACGACCTTATGCGGGAGCTTGCTCTGTCTACATCAGAAAAAGAGAAGTTTGGTGCTGTATATGATGGAAAAGAAGTTATGGATGAAGTTCAAGTGCGCCGCTTGTCCACTCAAACCACTGGAGGAGAAATTAAATTAGGCACTGGTATGGCACAACTTCGTTCTTTTCTTGTGTTTGTTACTGACATGTCCTCATCCTCTTCCTCGAATACATTGCCTTCTGGATTCATATTGTTGAGGGTGCTAGATTTGCAATATGTTCCAATTGATGTACTGCCAAAAGAACTTGCGTACTTATTCAATTTAAGATACTTAAATTTAAGGGGAACTCCAATTAAGAAGCTTCCTGAATCCATTGGGCAGCTCCGCAACCTTCAAACTTTGGATATCAGGAACTCAAAGATAGAGGCACTTCCAAGTGGAATTGCCAAGCTGCAAAACTTGCGCCATCTAATTATGTACCGTTACACTCAAGAACCTAATGGCTTCAGATACGTGAATGGGACAAGATCACCACCAAATATATGTATGTTGAAGAAATTGCAAGTTTTGACGTGTGTTGAATTAGAAGGAAACATTGTTAGACTTGTGGGGAATATGACACAACTTAGAAGGATTGGAATTACGAATGTAAAAGAAAGAGACGAGATGGACCTATGTGCTTCAATTCAAAAGATGAAGCAACTTCACTACTTGTTTCTAATGACAAGCGATGTAGATGAAGTTCTTCAAACAAACAAAATATGCTCACCTCCTCTCCACCTTCGAATGGTTATTTTGGTTGGCAAATTGGAAAATGTACCACGTTGGTTCTTTTCACTCCAGAACCTCACATATTTGTACCTGCATTGGTCTAGAATTGAAGAAGATTTACTACCTTACATTGAAGCACTGCCCAATCTGGGAAATCTTTCACTTCTTAATGCATATGCTGGCAGAGAGTTATGTTTCAGCAGAGGGTTTGTAAAGCTTACGAGATTGCATTTGTGTACTTGCCCTTTATTGAACAAGATAACTATAGAAAAAGGGGTGATGTCAAATCTCCAATCTTTATGGCTTGATAACTGCCCACAACTAAACACAATGCCACTGGGTCTTCAATACCTCACTGAACTAAAAGTATTGGCATTGGAGCATGTATCAACGGAACTTAAGGATTCCATACGAGAAGGAGGTGTGGATCGTGAAAAGATACAACACATCCCTGAGATCTACCATTTTTACGAAACGTCACTGGGGATGTGTCGTGAAAGCTTGTCCTAGTTGTTTTGGAAGGAGGTATGTAAAGTGTTTTTTTTTTTGGGTCTCCTTGTTTTTCCTTTTTCGTTTTTTATATATGCCTTGAGTTCCCTAACTTGCATCATATAAACTATTCTAGTACGAACTATTCTATTGTTATCCACAAGTTTGTTAAGGCCATGTATTTTTGTCCATGGACTAAATACTAAGCCTACTATAGTTAGTTTCAATAGCACAAGATTTTTGTGTTGAAATTCTGTTTGATTATCATTTCGATTTTGTTGTTTGCCATGCAGAATCTAGTCTGAGACGGAAAAATTTTACCCAGTTGCGCCTAGAAGAACCCTTGCTTTCTTGTGTGAGGCTGCAAATCTTAATTATTTTCCATCACTATCTCATGTTTTATTTGAAGCCATTTTATCATTAGTGAGTTTTGCTTTGAGACCATGGAATCTTATGCAATTTGATTTGTGAGCATGTTTGCTATTTGATTATGTAATGCCTTAAGAAGCACTAATCAGGATCTAATGCTCAATTGATTTTGAGAGTTTCCTATAATTGTACATTGATAATCATCTTCTGCTGCTCTGGAAAACTTTTAACAACCGTAGGGCACATATAATTGTATGCCGAAAAACTTGAATTGAGTTATGAGTTTAAGCTTTTATAGTATAATTGTGATGTCATATAGAATTTGTGAGCAGACTTTTTCAACATTCTTCTTTGCTACCGGATAAATAACATCAGTAACAATGCACCCTGCCTACTTCATTTTCCAAATAATTAAGCAAGAAGCAGAGAACAAAATGAGCAAAGTGAATGAATATGGTTCTGCAGATTCTCACTTTGCTTAGGCCGTCCATGGAGGAATCATCATTACTTGTAATCAAAGTTTTGTAGGTAGAGAAGTGACATGCTGGTGGTTTTTGAGAAGATTAAGGATGAATCTTTACTAATGGCTAAGACAATTAAAGTCGAGATAGAGCAATACCATATAAGGCCATCTCTAGTCATAGGGCTAAATGTAGTTCAGGGCTATAAATTTAGCACTTCAAAATACTAATTTTTTAAAGAATAGTGTAGGGCTAAATTTTTCCATCTACAGCAATGCAGAGCTATATTTTAGGATCTTTCATTTTTTATTATTTTGAGAAAAACTATGGTACAACACTCATACATTCCACAATTATGTATTGTTTAATTTAGTTAAACTACTATTTAAAGACAATATTCCATATATGACACGTATCCGTTGATAACATTTAAAAAGGCTATTTAAAAAATATATATATCCTAACAGCAAAAAATAAATTTGGAGAAGTCAGCAATTGCTTTCAGTCCGAACACTCCTATGCATTTAAGGAATGAGGTGAGCAGCGTTCTAAAGATCCCAACTGTTGAGTTTCATGAGAAATATTTGGGATTGCCAACTGTGATTGGCAGGAAAAAGAAGGATTGTTTCAACGGAATAAAAGAAAGATTGAGGAAGAAGCTTAATGGATGGAAAGAGAAATTGCTTTCAAAATCAGGAAAGTCTCTCCTTATCAAAGCGGTGGCTTAGAGCATTCCAATTATGCTATGGGAGTCTTTAAACTTCCTATAACATTTTGCACTGAATTGAATTCAATATCTCTAAATTTTGGTGGAAGAATTCAAAGTATTGCAAAGGTATTAGCTGGGCAAAGTGGGAGCATTTGTGTTTTACAAAGGATGAAGGTGGAATGGGGTTTAGAGATCTGGAGTTATTTAACAAAGCTCTTGTGGCTAAGCAATGTTGGAGACTTATTACCAATGAACAGTCCATGATTCACAAGGTGTCAAAAGCTCGATATTTTCCAAACTGTAATTTCTTGGCGGCTGGTAAAGGAAGAGCTTCTTCATATGTTTGAAGGTCTTTGATTTGGGGTTGTGAGTTGCTCTTGAGTGGGTTAAGGAAAAGGATTGGAGATGGACAAGAAACTCTAGTCTATGGAGATGCTTGGATTCCTAGACCTAATTCTTTCCGCCCTATTTCCCCTCAAGTGTTGGATCAAGAAACTAAAGTAAGTGCTTTTATTTTTCCTATTGGGAATTGGAATGTTGATTTACTAAATTTGTGTTTTCATGCAGAAGATGTTAAGGCCATTACCTCTATCTCTTTGAGTGTTAATTATCACAAGGATAGATGGATTTGGCATTATACGACTAATGGAATTTATTTTGTGAAAGTGGATATAGGCTAGAGATGTCAGAAAAAAAGGAGTGCAATGGGGCTGTTGATCTTCTTCGAAACCAAGAATACAACGTGCTTTCTGGAGAAAAGTTTGGTCCCAAGAGATACCACAAAAACTCTTATATTTTAATTGGAGAGATATTAAAAATTATCTTCCTTGTAAATCTAATCTACTTAAAAGGAAAATAATCTCTAATGACTCCTACCCCATTTGTAATGTGAATTCTGAGAGTGTAATTCATGCATTGTGGAGTTGTCCTAGTACCCAAAAAGCTTGGAAAAAAGTGCAGTTTAGGGAGGTTTTTATAGGGGTGCACTTTTCTAATTGTTTGGGCCTAAACTAAACGCACCCAGCCCAACACGGAGAAAGCCCAGAATAAAAGCTACAGGACTCAAGCAATTTGGGCTTTTGCAAAACGGAAGGCAAAGCCCAAAGTCCAGAGAGGCCCAGCCCAAGACTCATCAAAATGTGGCAAGCAAACTTGGGCCCCAAAAGAAAAGCAGTTACCTTTGGGCTCCAGACAAATCAGAATGGGCCCAGCATGATTAAAAGAAAAAGGAAGAGACCCGTTTTCAGAACCCACGTGACTACCAAAATGGAAAAGTCAACAAACTCAGCTGAGTTGATTGAGAATTAATTAAAGCAGGTCAGTGGCAAAAGGACTTCTCTGAATTTCTGCCACTAGAAGATCAAAATCCTTCTTATATATTCAAAAATATTGATTTCACTCCAAGGAGGCACCATCCTTTCAAGAGATACGCATGCCATATTTTCAAAAAGAAGATAAGCTGGAGGACAGAGAGTTGTTCATTTGGGAAATCAAACTAACCATCACGGTTGAAATCTCACAAGGGGCAGTTAAAGTGGGAAAATGAATTATGCTTCTTTTAAAAAAAACAGGGAAGTGATCTCAAAGATTGATTGATAAAAGCCTATCTGACATAATTAAATTAAATCATTCCCTCTCTTGTATCTCTTTGCAGATTTTTGAAAGGATTTGCCGCCCATTATTAAAAGAATCACCCTACTCCACAAAAACATTTCTTATAAATACAAGAAGGAGTGAACAGGGCAGAGGACAAAAAATCCTACATTCAAATCATCAACCAAACAAACAACTCAAAATCAACCAGAAGCTTACTTGAATTCCAAGTGAAACCAGCTTTAGATTATAATTCCCAAGGTTCAGACTTAGAGAATAAGTCATTTAAAACGAGATTTCTCTCGTTACAAATTTGGTTCAGCAAAAAACCAAGACAGGTAGAGCTTGAGCTTTTCCCAAACATGAAAACCTCAACAAATTTCACAGTGCAGTCTCTAGCCCACTAAAGTCCTCAAGAATAGCCACTTCTGCCCTTTCAGACTAAATGACAGGACCCGTCCCGAATTTCCCGGAACCCGAGACGAACCCTGCGGAGACCCCGGCATCACACCCACGCCGGGTTTACTCCTTAAATCTACGTCCTCGTTCACCATAGAGGATTAAGGGCACGAGACTTTCTGCCGAAAATTTCGGCAGAGTCTCCCCTGTAAATTGAATATTCCCCAAAAGTTCCACCTGCATAAAACTCATTTTATAACCCAACCAGCAGCACGCACAATATAATCTCATGCAATTTACATAAATGGCCTCCGGCCTTCAAATGATTCTAGCAGACTGCCCACACTGTTTTCAAAATAACTTCATGCATCAACCATGCATATAACAAATTCCAAATCTCTCTATGCACACCTTCACTCACTCAGTCCACCGAACAAGCCTCAATTCAACCAAGTTTTGGGACCAACCACGAAGTCCGCATCATACTCGATAAAACCACCTAAGTGGTGTCTAAGTCGTGGCTGCACCTAGGCGCTATCCCAGGCTGCCTACGTACCCTACTAAGGGATCAAGCCACACGTAGCTCTTTCCTATCAATCCTGGCTCCTGACATCAATTAAACCATTTCATCCATATAAATACATACATTCTCGGGTTTATCCATCACAACACACCAAACATAATCACATAGCTCCCACTCATACGTCGGGACGCACCCGGCCACGTACGGGGTCTGTCAACACGCCGGCTAACCCAAAGACGCGTGCGACCTCACACTGGGCCTGGCTACATTCTCACCAGCCATCATACCATCATATCTCCCACTCATACGTCGGGACGCACCCGGCCACGTACGGGGTCTGTCAACACGCCGGCTAACCCAAAGACGCGTGCGACCTCACACTGGGCCTGGCTACATTCTCACCAGCCCTTATACCATCATATCTCCCACTCATACGTCGGGACGCACCCGGCCACGACGGGGCCTGTCAACACGCCGGCTAACCCAAAGACGCGTGCGACCTCACACTTGGGCCTGGCTAACATTCCACCAGCCCTTACCATCATATCCCCACTCATACGTCGGGACGTACCCGGCCACTACGGGGCCCCTGTCCACCCGGCTAACCCAAAGCCCCGTGCCGCCTCACACTGGGCCTGGGCTACATTCTCACCAGCCCTATATACCATCATATCACCCACTCATACGTCGGGACGTACCCGGCCACGTACGGGGCCTGTCAACACGCCGGCTAACCCAAAGACGCGTGCGACCTCACACTGGGCCTGGCTACATTCTCACCAGCCATCATACCATCATATCTCCCACTCATACGTCGGGACGCACCCGGCCACGTACGGGGTCTGTCAACACGCCGGCTAACCCAAAGACGCGTGCGACCTCACACTGGGCCTGGCTACATTCTCACCAGCCCTTATACCATCATATCACCCACTCATACGTCGGGACGTACCCGGCCACGTACGGGGCCTGTCAACACGCCGGCTAACCCAAAGACGCGTGCGACCTCACACTGGGCCTGGCTACATTCTCACCAGCCCTTATACCATCATATCACCCACTCACACGTCGGGACGTACCCGGCCACGTACGGGGCCTGTCAACACGCCGGCTAACCCAAAGACGCGTGCGACCTCACACTATCACTTGGGCCTGAGCATAATCACAATATGAGGGGTACGTGGGGTAGTGCGTATAGCACTGTAAACTAATATTCAATCTCCTTATATATCATTATACCTCCATACAATCAATTAAATATAACATATAATTTCTAATCATACAAACACCTTAACAAACAACTAGCATCCGATAATCCCCCATAATCCCCATGACATCAGGACCTGTCACCACGGTCATTTTAATCTTCCTAGGAATGTAATACTACCTAGGAAGTCCCACAGACAAACCAGGGTCAAACTACCCAACCTTGGTCAAACGGGCCCGCGGGGCCCACGACCTCCAATTTCCGATCCGAAAGTTCCTATAGGTTCTACAAGCTCTAGGATGCACGTCCTGCAAGTTTGGTCCAGATCGGACGGTCGGATCGCTCACGATCGCACGATCGGACGGTTACTAAAACCCTAACCCCAGGGTTGGCATTTCTGGAGTATCCGGGACTCCGTTTTACGATCCGTCGAATCCTACACGATCCTGGTAATACCTAGATCAACATATTATAATATCAGGACCATCCAACGGTCCAAACCCAGCGAACCCGGAAAACACGCGATATGCGATATCCGTTCGGGACTCTAACAATATCCAAATTGAGATCCGAGCACACCTACGCGCTCGTGACAACCTGAGGATCACATTGGGACAAAAATGCCCCTCAGCTACAGTGCCCACGCGCCGCCACACGCGCCGGCAGCGCGTGGGTGTCCAAAGCGATACCCATCGCCGGAAAACTTCCAAATCGTGAGCCCAGACTCCTACCCTAGGTAATACACCTAATTTGGAGTCACTTTTGTTCTTGGACGTACCCCAAAAACTGACCGGAAGTGGCCGGAATCTCATCCCGAAATCCGGCCGAAACCCAAATCGTAGATCGAGCTACTTATGCTACAAATTGATCAATTCCTACCCAACAGGCAGCTAGAGCTCGGAAAATAGGTGAGAAACCATACCTCACTTGCCGGAATCGGTGGCCGGACGACGGAGAACGAAGCCGGCGAAGTTTCAGGCGAAACCGGGCTGTTTCCTTCGATTTTCCGGCGAAATCCCGGCGACTGGCGGTGAGACCCGGCTGGGGTAGGAAGAGGACGGCGGCCCGGTCATTTTGGTACCGGCCCCGTCGACTTTGGTGGCCGGACGAGCGAACGGCCGGCCAAAACGTGGTCGGCCACGGTGGCTGTCGCGAACCAGAGGAGAGAGAGAGAGCGACGCGCGGGAGAGAGAGAGTGTGAGAGAGACGGGGGCAATTCCGTCTTTTAACCAAAAATCCATTTTCCAAATATTTACGATTATGCCACTGAGCTTCTTTTGATCATATCTCTCTCGTTACAACTCCGATTCGAGCCCACTACGTGTCTACGGACTCATCTCACCGTGCTCTACGCAACGGTACAACCGGAATTCCCAAATTCCTTCCGGATAAGAAAATGACTAAAATACCCCTATCCCACGGGTAATTTCTTAATTTCACTCAAATTAATTAAAACAGGGGATAAATTTGGAGTCGGGGTGTTACAAACTACCCCCCTTATAAAAATTTCGTCCCCGAAATTTCATACCTGCCACTTCAAAGGGTGTGGGTACTGGGCCCGCATCTACTGCTCGGGTTCCCATGCTTCATCCTCCACAACCAAGTTGGCAGCCAAGTCATTCCATTTGTGATTTGATTCTCTTCTAGTTCTCCCATGAAGAGAAGTCCAAACTCCTTGACTTGTTGATATCTTCCTTATTTCTTTAGAATCGATAAGCAACATTGCCAACACGATTCTTTGAGAGGAATGTCAGAAAGGATCATTTTTACCGAATTGTAATCATCATCTTCCTCTCTCTACCATGACCCATTTCTGATTCAGATAAAAGATTTCAAACGTGTGCACATGAGATGAGACCCCAAAGCACTCTCTTCATCTCCACGGTAGGTTTACCAATCCATCTAGGTCTCATCCTTGGATTTGCTCGTGGTATTCCCACCACACACGAGCCTCCTTCCGTATGAGGAGTACGGCTATCTAAATCTTTTCTCACACTTGTGATTTTGATTATACTAAAGCCGTCCTTCATATCATGAATCCAGTGATTCACTCTTCGAGAATTCACTCTTCTCAAAGAAAGGTTGAGCTCTTATTATCTTCGACTTCGTGCTCAATGCACACAATCGAGAATTAGCAACATGTTCAGGCAATGGAGGATCCCCAGAAGTAGATTGATCAACTCCATGTCCTCCTGCCCATAAGAACTCTACAAACTTCATCCAACACTACTACTTCTCAACTTAATTTGTCACGACCCTCCTTGGTCGGACTCACAACTCCTCCATTCCCATGTAACTTGTCCATCAACTTCCTCTGACAATTTCGTCTCATCTCAGCGGATTCAATACTTTTAGCTCTTCCATTTCCTTCCATAGGATATTGAGATACGACAATTTGGATAGACACGTTTCTAGGAACGTGGCACCCTTAAGTGTACTCATCAATACCCTAAATCCATCCATGTCAAAGAATCCTCCGCGTCAAAATGATGACGTCCCGTGACGGAACCCATCATGATCCCACAACTTAAGGATGCACACAAGGTGCGAGGTCCACAAGAAATTGAACCTAAGCTCTGATACCAAGCTGACAGGACCCGTCCCGAATTTCCCGGAACCCGAGACGAACCCTGCGGAGACCCCGGCATCACACCCACGCCGGGTTTACTCCTTAAATCTACGTCCTCGTTCACCATAGAGGATTAAGGGCACGAGACTTTCTGCCGAAAATTTCGGCAGAGTCTCCCCTGTAAATTGAATATTCCCCAAAAGTTCCACCTGCATAAAACTCATTTTATAACCCAACCAGCAGCACGCACAATATAATCTCATGCAATTTACATAAATGGCCTCCGGCCTTCAAATGATTCTAGCAGACTGCCCACACTGTTTTCAAAATAACTTCATGCATCAAACCATGCATATAACAAATTCCAAATCTCTCTATGCACACCTTCACTCACTCAGTCCACCGAACAAGCCTCAATTCAACCAAGTTTTGGGACCAACCACGAAGTCCGCATCATACTCGATAAAACCACCTAAGTGGTGTCTAAGTCGTGGCTGCACCTAGGCGCTATCCCAGGCTGCCTACGTACCCTACTAAGGGATCAAGCCACACGTAGCTCTTTCCTATCAATCCTGGCTCCTGACATCAATTAAACCATTTCATCCATAAATACATACATTCTCGGGTTTATCCATCACAACACACCAAACATAATCACATAGCTCCCACTCATACGTCGGGACGCACCCGGCCACGTACGGGGTCTGTCAACACGCCGGCTAACCCAAAGACGCGTGCGACCTCACACTGGGCCTGGCTACATTCTCACCAGCCATCATACCATCATATCTCCCACTCATACGTCGGGACGCACCCGGCCACGTACGGGGTCTGTCAACACGCCGGCTAACCCAAAGACGCGTGCGACCTCACACTGGGCCTGGCTACATTCTCACCAGCCCTCATACCATCATATCTCCCACTCATACGTCGGGACGTACCCGCCACGACGGGGTCTGTCAACACGCCGGCTAACCCAAAGACGCGTGCGACCTCACACTGGGCCTGGCTACATTCTCACCAGCCCTTTACCATCATATCACCCACTCATACGTCGGGACGACCCGCACGTACGGGGCTGTCAACACGCCGGCTAACCCAAAGACGCGTGCGACCTCACACTGGGCATGGTACATTCTCACCAGCCCCTTATACCCATCATATCCCCCACTCATACGTCGGGACGTACCCGGCCACGTACGGGGCCTGTCAACACGCCTGCAAACACGACGGCTAACCCAGCTAACCCATAAAGACGGGTGCGTGCATAACACGCGTGCGACCGCACACTGGGCCTGGGCTACAATCTCACCAGCCCTTATTACCAGCATATCACCCACTCATACGTCGGGACGTACCCGGCCACGTACGGGGCCTGTCAACACGCCGGCTAACCCAAAGACGCGTGCGACCTCACACTGGGCCTGGCTACATTCTCACCAGCCATCATACCATCATATCTCCCACTCATACGTCGGGACGCACCCGGCCACGTACGGGGTCTGTCAACACGCCGGCTAACCCAAAGACGCGTGCGACCTCACACTGGGCCTGGCTACATTCTCACCAGCCCTTATACCATCATATCACCCACTCATACGTCGGGACGTACCCGGCCACGTACGGGGCCTGTCAACACGCCGGCTAACCCAAAGACGCGTGCGACCTCACACTGGGCCTGGCTACATTCTCACCAGCCCTTATACCATCATATCACCCACTCACACGTCGGGACGTACCCGGCCACGTACGGGGCCTGTCAACACGCCGGCTAACCCAAAGACGCGTGCGACCTCACACTCTCACTTGGGCCTGAGCATAATCACAATATGAGGGGTACGTGGGGTAGTGCGTATAGCACTGTAAACTAATATTCAATCTCCTTATATATCATTATACCTCCATACAATCAATTAAATATAACATATAATTTCTAATCATACAAACACCTTAACAAACAACTAGCATCCGATAATCCCCCATAATCCCCATGACATCAGGACCTGTCACCACGGTCATTTTAATCTTCCTAGGAATGTAATACTACCTAGGAAGTCCCACAGACAAACCAGGGTCAAACTACCCAACCTTGGTCAAACGGGCCCGCGGGGCCCACGACCTCCAATTTCCGATCCGAAAGTTCCTATAGGTTCTACAAGCTCTAGGATGCACGTCCTGCAAGTTTGGTCCAGATCGGACGGTCGGATCGCTCACGATCGCACGATCGGACGGTTACTAAAACCCTAACCCCAGGGTTGGCATTTCTGGAGTATCCGGGACTCCGTTTTACGATCCGTCGAATCCTACACGATCCTGGTAATACCTAGATCAACATATTATAATATCAGGACCATCCAACGGTCCAAACCCAGCGAACCCGGAAAACACGCGATATGCGATATCCGTTCGGGACTCTAACAATATCCAAATTGAGATCCGAGCACACCTACGCGCTCGTGACAACCTGAGGATCACATTGGGACAAAAATGCCCCTCAGCTACAGTGCCCACGCGCCGCCACACGCGCCGGCAGCGCGTGGGTGTCCAAAGCGATACCCATCGCCGGAAAACTTCCAAATCGTGAGCCCAGACTCCTACCCTAGGTAATACACCTAATTTGGAGTCACTTTTGTTCTTGGACGTACCCCAAAAACTGACCGGAAGTGGCCGGAATCTCATCCCGAAATCCGGCCGAAACCCAAATCGTAGATCGAGCTACTTATGCTACAAATTGATCAATTCCTACCCAACAGGCAGCTAGAGCTCGGAAAATAGGTGAGAAACCATACCTCACTTGCCGGAATCGGTGGCCGGACGACGGAGAACGAAGCCGGCGAAGTTTCAGGCGAAACCGGGCTGTTTCCTTCGATTTTCCGGCGAAATCCCGGCGACTGGCGGTGAGACCCGGCTGGGGTAGGAAGAGGACGGCGGCCCGGTCATTTTGGTACCGGCCCCGTCGACTTTGGTGGCCGGACGAGCGAACGGCCGGCCAAAACGTGGTCGGCCACGGTGGCTGTCGCGAACCAGAGGAGAGAGAGAGAGCGACGCGCGGGAGAGAGAGAGTGTGAGAGAGACGGGGGCAATTCCGTCTTTTAACCAAAAATCCATTTTCCAAATATTTACGATTATGCCACTGAGCTTCTTTTGATCATATCTCTCTCGTTACAACTCCGATTCGAGCCCACTACGTGTCTACGGACTCATCTCACCGTGCTCTACGCAACGGTACAACCGGAATTCCCAAATTCCTTCCGGATAAGAAAATGACTAAAATACCCCTAGCCCACGGGTAATTTCTTAATTTCACTCAAATTAATTAAAACAGGGGATAAATTTGGAGTCGGGGTGTTACACTAAAGAAGCCGCAGTTCTGCTCACTCAAAAGCCTCACAAAAGCTTGAAGTATATTAAAGTTCTGCCAAAATTGACCTTTGGTATCGATTTACAGCTGAAGCATAGCAGTTGAAGTTGTTAACAATTCAGTCCAGCCCAGATATTTCCAGTCCAGCCCGGATCAGAGCCTCCCATCCAGACAGAAATGGAGTTCCAGCTGTCTTTTTATCTTTCTAGCGTGGGTATTTATTTTTATAGTTTTGTAAAAGGCAGTTCTGCCTAAGACAGCTTAAATTCCATCAACCATTCTGGCCAGAACAACCTCTTTTTACTGAGATAAATTGTTAAAGTCCTCACCAGTTTGAGGCAAGAAAAGAACTTACTTGGGAGATATTCCTCACCCAAATTCACAATCGTTTGTTTATAGAAATCAGTGACTTGAGACGCAAGTTATCTACTCTAGAATAAGTCTGCTAGGATCTTCATTGCTAGCAATGACACGCTCATACACCAAAGAAAGCTGACTTGTTGACCAGTCAATGGTTTTCAAGACAGTGGGGAACTTTGCCCTTCCATCTCAGGAGAAATCACAAAACGGGGTGAACACTAACTATGGGGATTTATTTGAAGTTGCCACTATTTATCTTTCAAAGTATGAAATGCGCTTGCTTTTATACATCTGCTGGAGCTTATGGCAAAATAGAAATAAAGTAGTTGTTGAAGGTCGTTCTTGTGCACAGGAGGTGATTTTCAAAAGAGCTATTTACTTGGCTGATGAATATGGAAATCTTGTGAAAGGTGAACCTAAAATATATGTTGAGAAACCAACCAAATGGTCTCCTCCTCCCGTTGGTAAATATAAACTGAATGTTGATGTTGCTTATATTCCCAAAACATGTGTGGGTGGAATTGGTGCTGTTGTTAGAAATGACAAAAGGGAAGTGATGACGGCTATGGCCCTTCCTCTTGCCACCGCCACCTCACCTAAATACGTAGAGATCATGGCACTTCATTTCGGGATTAAATTTACTCGAGATGCTAGCTTTTCTTTTATTCTATTGAGTCTGATTCACAAGGAGTGGTAAATGATGTAAAGAAGGATGAGGAAGAGTCGTGGGCATCAGATGGGCATCTCATTGATGATATTAAGAGGAGTTTGCAACAATTTGATGATGTTACTATCTCTTTCAGTCAAAAGGGGTGCAATCAAGGAGCTCATTTTCTAGCAAGGCATGCACTTAATTGTAATACTATAGTAACTTGGATTGAAGAGGTTCCTCTCTCGCTGGCGTCAATTGTAAAATATGATATTGTTGTATCCTCTTAATTGTTATCAATGATTTCCTCTCCAAAAAAAAATAATAATAAAGAGGAGGAGAATGGAAGATTTTGCAGATGGGAGTTGTGTAATTGGAGGGATAAGGAGTGTCCATTTAAAAAATAAATGAGGGCATTATGGGTAAGTCAAAAATTCTTTAAAACCACTGGTTATTATTATTATTTTTTGAAGCAGCTCTTAAAACTTGGGTGGAGAGAGCTTTGAAGAAACGGGTGGTGCTAGAGGCGCCAACTTGGGCACCAACTCTCTAATAGAGGTGGGGCCCGCCAATACACCGGGGCCCACGCTTTATTAGAGAGTTGGTGCCCAAAGTTGGTGCCTCTAGCATTTTCCTTGAAGAAACAGCGATCATTAACCTCAATTTAAAAAAAAAAGCAGGATTCCAGATGTTTACCAAACTCTCAACCCATGACAATTTTTTTATTAAAGTTGCTTGTAAAAAAAATTAAACACTACCATACGCTACCTTAGTCTTCTCAATTGCTGTAATTTACAACTGCATGGTGATTGGTCATGCTCCCTATCCCATGTCTACCGTGAACAAAATAAGGTTGCTGATGTTGACCAAACAAAAAAAAATAAGGTTGTTGATGCGTTAGCTGCCATGAGCTATTAATTCCCTTTGGGCCTTCATGTCTTGGAGTTGGAGCCCCCCCTTAATGATATTATTGATGCTGATGTTAGTAGTACTTAGGGGTGGTTGCGGTTCGGTAACTAGTAATTTTTGCCCAAATTACAAACCGACCGACTATTTGCGGTATGATGATTTTTGAAATCGCAAAAAGCGGTCGGTTACTGTGAATTAGCGGTTTAAAACCGCAAGTTCTTTTTGTGTCATAAAAATCCAATCTTCCATATTTTAGGCCTAGTTTTGATACTTCTTTTGAAGCCTTTTGAGTTCAAGCATACTTTAACCCAAAAATATAAATTCACAACCTAAAGAAATAAATTCACAACCTCAACTTCTCAAGCATATATAAATTCACAACCTCCTCAACTTCTCAAGCATTCACAACCTAAAGAAAATTAAAGTTACAATCCCAAGCATTCCAATTAAAGTTAAACTTCTCAAGCATTCACAACCTCAACTTCTCAAGTATTTCAATTCCAAATCCTTTAAAGTTACAAACCAAAAATAAAATGCAATGCAAAATGAATTAAAGTTACAACCCAAAGGAAAAATCAAATTCAAAGTTAATTAAAGTTACAAACTAAAAGGAAAATGCAATGCACCAATGTTACAAACTCAAGTGTTGGTGATGGTGAGTGGATTTGAAGGATCCCGTTGTGTTGTTTGAGCACCAATGCTATCTACAAATAAAATAACATAAGTTTAATACATTTTATTATAAGAAGAAGCATAAAATGCAATTTTATTTATTTTTTTAAAATATAGTCGCGGTTTGCGGTAATTGCAAGTTGTGAAAATCAAATACCGCAACTGCAACCGTAAATGCGGTTCGGTTCTTCATACCACAAATGTGATTCGGTTTTCCGCGATTGCGGTTTCTTTGCGGTTAAATGTCAGTTGGTTTTTGCAATTTTTCAATTTTTCGGTCTAAAATGCCACCCCTAGCAGTACACCTAGTCCCAGGTTAATCCCTACGTAATTGTTTGGTTTTGGGCTCTTGGCCCCGCTTTGTACCCAAAAAAGAGAGAGAAGGGAAGCAGTTCATTTGGGTAAAAGGGTACCGAAAAAGGAAAAAAGAAAAGAAAACGGATTCACTTTACCTTTGTTGTCATAATGTACGTGTCGCAACTTTCAATTACTTTGTCCCTTTTTGTTTTGAGCACTGACCACTTTAGGCTCTCTCTGTAAATCACGTTCACCTTTGGGAAAATTTCTTTGGTCCAAACGGGTAGTAATAATGCAAGAAATTTTCATTTTTGTCAATTAGCTCTTGCTTTCATGTTTACAGATGTTTTTTTTTAATGGGTGTTTGGTTGTCCCATCTTGAATTGGACCTCTTTGTTCTCTTCTTCGAGAAATTATAAAATAGCACTTGCCACTGATCACTTGAGAACTTGAGAGATGGAGTGGAGAGAGGAAGAAAAACAAATATGAAAAAAAAAGAGAGAGGGAGGGAGAGTTGGAGAGAGAAGGAAAAGAAAAAGAATATAAAGAATATAACAAAAGAGAGAGAGGGGCCCTACGTAGATCCGCCACTGATCACCATCCACTTCCATTTCTGCAAGACATTTGACTCCTTCAGGAGCAGCTATGTTGCTGTTGGTCTAGAGTCTCTAGACAACGCTAAAATATGAGAATTATAAAAGAATATTCGTTTGTGAGAATTTTTTGTGTATCTTTCTCTTTGTAGTAAGTTATATTTATAATACAACGGAATTTTAACGGGCAAATGAATAATAAATTCATATTTCTATTTACAATAAGAAATTAGGAATTTCCACATGGACACTCAACTTGGTTATGGTTGGTTGAGAAGGAGAGAAGGTGTCAGTGGTGCTACCTCCATAAGGGTTGAAAAAATCATCAACTCCCATAGCGGTGGCGGGGTTGAAAACTAGAGTGAGCAATTCCAAGATCGCCGCCTTGAAACGGTATTTTATTTGGGCTACCAAAGTCAACAATTCAACACCTCCTATATTTGGACCAGTCTTTCCATCTTCACACAAAGACAGCTTTGTCTAAGCCTGTTACTTATTGACAAATTGAGATATCATTTTCCATTTGATGTGCTCAAAATACAATTTCAAATCACTGAAATTTCTTGCACATTGGAGGAGCTTCCACTGCCAGCTGAAATCGTCACTTGATTCATTTGGCTCATCTTTCAACCTTTCCTATATTCAAATTCGTTCTACCATTGTGAGCAACTAGTTTGGATACAAGGCCAGTTATGGCCTTGCCAATAGACCTATGGTAAGGATCTTTATAATTTACTTGTCTGAAATGTTTAAGGACACCTTTGAGAAGGAACTGACTGAATTTTGCTCATGTTCAAGACTGTTAGATATTCCCTTGTTCTAGCATGTTGTTTCTGTTACACAAATGACTTTGCCTTTTTCCGAAAGCCTAATATCATTGTTTACAGGATTGCCTGCTTGACTATGCAATTCTTAATTAATGTGTTGTTCTATCTTCTACAGTTTCTAAAATCAGAATTACCTACCGTTGATTTAGTCATGGATTTGGTGCACGTTTTGGTTAATTGAAAGGCGACTGCGACATTGCTTGTGTGTTGAAACAGTTTTTGCTCCTCATTCTAATATCATCCTTGTAAAATCTGAAACCGTCTAGGCATTTTAACTAATTAACTAATTAGCGCTTACGCTCTGGTGTTCATCTTTAACGTTTATTTAATCCAACTTAAACAAGGACCCATATATGAATTGAGATCTATTTGGTGCACTGCTCTGTATGAGAATGACATGTATGTTGACAATTTGACACATTATTTGACAAATAAAAAAACCTCATCGAGTCTAGCATTATTGACTGGATATTATATCTTACCAGGATATGAAAATTCAGAAAACAAATGCTACAATTCCATGAAGAACTTGTCTTCTCGCCTGACCTAAATACCAAATATTTAGGATGACAAAAAAGTCGCTAATTAATTAAACAACACCCCATCTGTTAAAATACATAAGTAAATGAAACACCACCCCATCAAGCAAAAAAAATATGTTCAAACAGCACAACATATGGCTGCTTGGGTGAAAAACCTTCAATCTCCAACATTATCAACATGGCGGCTTTGATTAACAAGAAGAAAGAAAAGAAGATCAGTATTTCCATCTGAAAAATGTAGCTCACGAAACTGATACACGGAATTAGCTTGCTTTTTGTAGCTCGAATCTTGAAAATGCAAATTTGTTTTTTCGTTTTTATTTTAAAAAAAATATTTTCTAAAAACATTCTATGAAAACGTTACAGACAGACTCTAAGCAACTCCAAATGTGTAAGCTTTCGAAAGCCTATATTGAAACACAACTCATTCCTAAGGGGTGGTGTTGTAATTTTTGAAGGATGTTAGTGTAAATAACCCATTAAAGAAATTAGAAGTCATTTCTTATAATCACACCAAATTGCAAATATTCCCTCACTTGTATTACTATATGAGATATGTGGGTGGGTTAAATATTTGTTGGGGTTCTCTAACATATAAGTCCACTCCATTCTTCCAACTTTCAAGCATGTAATGAGCTGCTTCTATTAAAATATATTGCCTTTTAAATTGAGTTATGACTTTAAGCTTTTAGTATGATTTGTGGGCAATTGACAATTCATTCTTTGCTACTGAATTTGAAGACTTTTTCAACATTTGCTACCAGATAGTCAAATAACATGAGAGTATAATAACAATGCAAGGCAGGTGGAATGGTGAAATCAGAAAGGAAAAAAAAAGTGCAAACAACACAACCTCCTTCGATCTCCAACATTATTACATATGCAACCAGCAGATGAACAAAGAAGACCAGTCTTTCCATCTTCACACAAAGACATCTTCGTCTCAGTCTGTCACGTATTGACAAATTGAGATATCATTTTCCATTCGATCTGCTAAAAATACGTATTTGCACATTGGAGGAGCTTCCACTACCAGCTGAAATCGTCACTTGATCCATTTGGCTCATCTTTCAACCTTTTCTATATTCAAATTCATTCTACCATTGTGAGCAACTAGTTCGGATACAAGGGTGATATGGCCTTACCAACAGACTTCTTGATCGGCAAAATTGTGACCATTCTTGAGAACGAAGCATCCTCCATAGCAG